TGCTATCACATTGAGAAAAGGCACTTCGAGCGTGCGGCAAATCCCTGTAGACCCTCTCGTCTTGACCGATTTCAATGTTTTTTGCCGCTCTCAATTCGTGAGACAATAAGCTTCTTTTAATGCACGCATTTCATGATTAATTGGAAAAGTCTGGCCGGGCCCCTTCAAGGTGGTACATAGACGCATACAGAGGGTGCGGTACCTGGACTTTGTGCACGACGAAACTGATGTCGTGAATGCCGTGGAAGTCCGTGCGTCGGTATACCTCAGAAGCGCGAGCCACGTGACCCGCAATCAGCGTGGAGATGCGCTCGCGCGTGCGCACATCGTCAGCCGTCCAGTTCCAGGTACTTCTTGTACAGCAGATGGTCGATGGCGATGTGCAGGGCCGCAGACTCGCAATGTCGGCTGCGCTGTCCTTCGCAAGGCTGGCCACGCTGCCAACGTTTTCCGTGTCGGGGTACAACTCCTCAGATTCGTGTTCTTCTAAAAGTTTCCTATTCGTCCAATGCTTCACTCCTGGAGCTGCGCTGCTTTTCCTGGATGCTCAACGTGGGAAGACAATCATGACGAATCGACAGCGCTTCCGAAAAATTGGAGACATTTCGTAAATTTCAAAGCGTATTAGGCGAAAGCATATGGCCATTCAACTGAATATGCGGTATTTTTTTACTCTTTCCAGCAATCATGTGATGGCATAGCGGCACATAGCAGTAGTTGCACCACTACAGCTGTGGCCTCTACCCCTTACACTCTCTCATATATAAGGAGTATAGAGGTCACAGATGTTGCTATGCGGCCGCTGGTCCATCACGTTATTGCTTAAAGAGTGTGGAAAGGGAGAGGCTAAAGCTGGCTTCCGTTCCAGGGCCCAAACGGTCGACGCGAGTATGAGATATGAAAGGCTCCGCCTTAATACGTTACGTTGGCACAAAAATCCACAATCTCATTCGAATATATAGCATATGCTTGTGACGCTATGATGAATGGGCGACGTGGCCTGGCTCATACCCCATGTTTATTCCTTTCTGCACTTCTTCCTTCTCTGCCTCTACCTAACTATCGCTACCTTCTTACGTTACAGGATTCCCCCTCCCCCCGAAAGAAGTCGCGTCAGATGAACATAAATGAAAACTGAACATGCACGGGTTAGAACTGAGCACTGTCAAAAAGAGAAGATCATTCCAAGTCCGAGGAAATTTCCGTTAACACACTATAGCTTCACAGAAGAGGACAGCAATCCGGGGTATCAAGTACAGCTCTGGAGGGCGAGGCTGGCTGTTGCGCTCTGGACAACATAAGCATGCTTTGAGCGTGAAATCAGATGGAAACACTGCCGGTATTCTTTCGATGAATGAACGTGGTGTGATCCAGCATTGGCTGGATGATTTGCGCAGGTGTCGTGCTATTTGTCTTGATTGGAACCCATGCGTCGCCACCCGTTCGCGTGCTTGTTGACCGAGGCTGGTGCGGTGATTTCTGCATCCTTGCGGAATACAGGGTATGGTTTGGCGCCTTTCTCGACGTTGTATGTCGTGTTGCCTGAGTCTTGATCTGGACTGGAGAAAGCTTACTCGACGTCCTTTGGAAAAATATCCTGGATTTGATGCTTTCTTTGTTTCGAGCGAGAAATCTTGAATATGTCGTCGGTTTGGTTGGCACGTTTGTAAACGGCTTTCCATAAACCGCGTGTGTTCTTCCGAAGATGATTCCATTCGTCGTCGTCCTTGTTCGTATAGCCCTTGGAATCTCTGTTGTTCTTGGACTTGCTGGCATTGATGATGTTGCTGCGAAAAGACCTGAGGTGGCAGCCCTTTTTCACCATGACACTGACTTTCTGGGCAATTGAATGTGGTGTCGAGTGGGCAGGTAGTAGTCTCGAGGCTGTTGTGCTGCATTTCAGGTAGTGAAGGCAATGCTTCAGAGTTGACAGATACATCATCAGGGGCTTCTTCGCTGTTCGCTGCGAATGGTTTTTGCTCCTGAATCTGGATGGTAGGTTCAGGGCTTGACTGGGTACTCTCCGAGCTCTGCAGCTCTATCCCGACCATTGTGAGCGTGCTAGATGTGAGGTGGGCGTTGTGAGCGACGAAAGAGCCAAGTGGCGGAAAACCAGGAGGTAGCCCAATTGTGCTAGATGGAAAATAAGCTGATCCAATGTGTGAAGACTGATTTTCACTCTTTGAGTCGTCATGGCGTTGTTCGGCATTTTCCTCATGTGTCAGCTGGTCTACCATGAACAAGGCGTCCTTATGACACGAATAGTGACCGTTAGGAGCCTTTGAAAAGCTGCGTCGTAGAAAATCAGGTGGTGGACCATGTATGCGAGACGACGCATGAAAGGCATCAGTAGGGTGAGTGACGTCTCGTGTCGTATGTTGAAGCGATGACTTCGGAAATGCTCACTTTCGTGCAGAGGGAGGCGCGCTCGATGGCTGTGTTTTTCCTAAAATACGCGTTGTCATCTGCCACTGAACTCGTGTGCCGCTTCGTCGTTTTGTCAGAGGTCGAATCTTGTTGTGCGTTCGAATGTGTTGAAAACCATGCCTGTAAAATTGACGACTGAGTGCAGTTGTCTGTGGATGGTGGGTTACAAGCATGTCTTCGTCGTAGTCGTCATCGTATTTTTTAAACCAAACGATCGTTTCTTTTTTTATTTTTTGCCCAAGACTCATCGTTGGCGAATATGTGGGTGAGGTAAAATTTAAATGCCTCACCGGTGACGTAGTCGCTGAAGTTCGTAACCATTTCCCGTTCCGACAAGATGCAGCGGTAGCGTGGAACTCGAACAGGTCGAACCAGTCCTGTACGGGTCCATCGTCCGCTGCTCTCCGGTGTACTTGGGGATGGGAAGGTCGGTTCGATGATTCTGTCATGGTGCTGGTCGCTGTGTGTGGCTAGGAGATGATTCCGTAGTCGATGTATGGTCAGGGCGTCTTGTGTAGAACTGCGTCGATGATGAGACACTGATGAAACGGCTGGGAGGTCTTCATCCTGTCGACTCGTGTGACGCTATGATCAATGGGCGACGTGGCCTGGCTCATACCCATGTTTATTTATTTCTGCACTTCCTTCTTCTCTGCCGCTACCTAACCATTGCTACCTTCTTACGTTACATGCTTCTTGTTGGCTATTTATCACCACCACATCTTTCCATCCTTGTATCCCTTTGTTTGTTGGTTTGTTTTGTTTTGTTTGTTTGTTTGTTTTGTTTGTTTGTTTGTTTTTTCAGCTTGCCCTCAAATATTGTACTTCCATGAATAACAGATCTCGAGTTACTTCGCCTGATCATTGAAGGCGAAAGCGTCGCGCACTTCACAAGGATACGGCCGGGAGCGAAGGTGTGTTCAAGGACCAAAAACGTGGCTGCGATTAGAAGCCTCAGTAGGGTCAGCTACACCAACCATCCCGGAAAGGCGCTGGTCGTGTGGTTCGATTCCGGGGCCAGGACGAATTTATCTTGAATCATTCAGTGGCTTTCCTTTCGGAGAATTCCGAATGGATTTCCACGCGGATTCACAAACGGGCGGTTGTCATTCATCCCTTTCATAACCCTTCCGCCCACCTAGCGAGTTTCTGCAATATTAATTTCTAATATCCTCGTTTAGCTTGTGAAATTTCACATAGAATGCACGTCTAGAACTAGCAGATGTGCACTAGCATGGCAGCAGGTAATTACATACACTCTAACTCACATTGGTGCAAAATGTATTTGAAGTCTAATGCAGCAGTAACCAGCGCAAGAATTCTTAAAACACAGTTGTCACACAGCCACTGCTATAGCTGATAATGTAAGCGAAGTCCGTGACATCACCGCATCGGGGGCAAGGCGCGCTCGCACTCGTTTCCATCTGGCCGTGATTACAGCATCCTGAAGTATTGGTTGTGGCAATTCCATTGTTACCATGACTTCAATGGTTACCTTGGATACAAGTTGAAAAGTCCGCAGATCATCTCTGACTAAACAAAAAGATTGTCTCACTGGTGCACTCGGCAATGTTCTCTGATGGTGAAATCAGTGGCCGCCTGGCTCGTGACGTCAGTCTGGAGAACGCACTTCATTAGTGCAGGCTTGTGTGCATCCGCTCTTAAGCAGGAAACACCACGTACGTCTAAAGTTGTAACCGATTATAGTTAATCTTCTTATCTAACAGATCTGCTGCGACGCCAAGAGTTGTTGACGTAACTGTCGGCAACTGGCAAGTTGTCAGCATACTTTCTAAAGTCGTAAACGGCCATTGTTGCTCCTAACGGGGCCACTAGGAAGGAAGCTGTTTCCTTGGCTGATTTCTGGAGGACTCGAGAAGCATCGACAGTGATTAGCTGAATGAATAAAATCTGATCTGAACGCCTATTCCGAAATGTAGGGCTTTTGTTCCACTCTTCAGTTTCAACAGATGATGACCGCATGGGTCGCTTCATGAAAGGACACAGACATCATGGACATATTCAGTGGGCGAATACACTTTTGCGTTGTGCGGGTCAATAGCGAACGGTAATTTGTCTCAGAAGTAAACGCTTACTGCTCTCCCATAGTTGAGTACCAAGTACTCGAAATCGTTAAACATTTTTTTACTAAACAACCAAATTACGTAGCTTTTCTTCGTTCAGACGTGTCAGGGCGGCTCTATGCCCTCCCATAGTAGAGTACGAAGTACTTTAAATTGTAAAACACTTCCCCTAAACTCAAAAATTAATGCGCGAATGAAATACGATGTTTCATAGTACATATATCTTGTACCCGTGATGACGGCATTTCGGCTAGCTTGGTAGAAGCCGCAAGTTCCTGCATCCAACGCGTGGTTTCGCTGTTGACGCCGCACCATCCTGCGTCGGGCATTCTGGCGTCTTTGGCGGCGTACATCACGGAGTGGAAGGGCGTGCGCCGTGCGAAGAACTTGTGCGCCCCTTCGACGTAGAAGCGACCCCAGCGGGACTGGATGGACCCTTCGAAGACGCCGTCGTGCAGGCCACCGTATACCCGGCTGGAGGGATCGCCTGCAAATCCAAGGAGAGAACTGAAGGCGCGTCACGTGTCTCCGGAGCGTCCGTTGTAAGTCTGAAAATCGCATGCAATACACAAAGAAACCAACAAGATTACATGTTTTGCACGTTCTATTGTAGTTTCAGGTGTACATTACGGTAATAATGAGCCACATGCTCATGCAAAGCTGTCGGGAAAAAATTTCGAACTAAGTGAATCTATATGTTGTGGTGTTGACCCCTTCGCATTATGTGAATTCTTTCCTGAAGGTGAAGTTTATTAAATGCGAATTCTTGTTTTGCTAACCAAGCGCGTCGATTCCTTATTGTAGTAACCTGCGGTTTGCATTCTTAATCAACTGTTTTTTTTTGTTTTTTTACTGTGCCCTGTTTATTGGTTTCCTTCATCGTATTCATGTAAGCCCCCAAGTTTTTTTGCTTTTTTTAATTATGTTGTGTTAAAAATCTAACCCACTCTCCTCTATGATGCCTTGGGGCCAGAGGGTACTGAAATAAATAAATGAATAAATAAAAAAAGAAATAAATAAAACATAAAAAATAAATAAATAAATAAACGAACTTGGGCTGTTTCTGGCTATATAACCGCCTACATTTTGATGCTCTCGTACAGTCACCCCCTTGTGGTATAGCCTATATACCGTAATTGGCATGGGAGGGCGTGTGTGAAGGTGAACTGCTGTCAGCCTTCACCCCCTTATACTGGGGAACCTTGTGCAAACCTGTATGCATATCAATTTTTCTTTACAATTGAAATAATAGCAAAATGCATGAAGGCATTTTTCAAGGTTAGCTTACGACCACAATATTCAAATAAAAAAAATTGTATCTTAGATGTTGTAATCTAAGTCAACGGAATAAAAAAAGAGAAAGTGTGCTTTTAGCTTGCGTAGTTGTCAGCCGCATGACAACCAGTGAAACGGTACTTGCGGGAGACGAACGGACGTCGATAATAAAGACCACGGTTGGGTTTTTATACCAATCAGTTCGCCGCTGTAGATGTGACCTATGTCCGGCTTCACTCGACCGCGGCTCGAAGTCTCGACCACGAGGTCCTTGTGAAAGGCGGACGCATCTGGCCTCAGCTTCAGATGAAACAACCTGCGAAATCAAGATATTTCTTTACAAAACAACGCTTCCCCGTGAAACATTGCTGAACCGAGCCCAGCGATCGAGATGTCCCACAAAACACGCATCGAATCTTCACGTCGAAGGCGAGTCTGTTATGAGGGCAAAGGCTTAAAAGCGAGAAATGACCCTGGGCGGTGGAACCCCGCCGCGGTGGTGTATAGTGGCTAAGGTACTCGTCCGCTGACCCGCAGGTCGCGGGATCGAATCACGGCTACGGCAGCTACATTTTCTATTACGGCGAAAATTTTGTACGTTCGTGTGCCCAGATATTGGTGCACGTTAAAGAACCCCAGGTGATCAAAATTTCCGGATCTCTCCACTACGACGTCTCTCATAATTATGTGGTGGTTTTGGGACGTTAAACCCCACATATAAATCAATAAACCATAGGCGGAGGCGCCGACACCAGTGATGCAAAATGTCTTCGCGTGATGGCATCACACTATGACGTCGTCATAATGTCACACGTACCGACATTTGTGACCTCATCGTGACATCGTCGTGCCGTCCCTGTGTCGTTACATAACATGGTCACTTGTTTAAACATGGGCTGATAACGGAGGCAACTGCAAAACCACGCGAGATGGATAAGCTTCCAATCGCTCCCATGTCGGAAGGAGAGATAAAGTACGTTGTGTGGGGAAAGCTTTCAGGCGGGACAACAGTCGACTTAGATGAAAAATAAGAAAATGGCTATCGGTAAACAGGAAGGTGGCCCACAGCGGCGTAGTTCAATGTTTCTGACTTTGGTGGCGACAGTCGACCAACTCCTACAGTGACTACTGAATCTCATCGCGGTGATATCGGAAATACAAGCCAATACTGAGGTTTTGGCGAATGGAATAACTTCACCTCCTCCAAGGCGACTGCCTAGATTGTCTCGCACGGGTGGCTAGTGTCTTGTGCTTAAGTACTTTCTAGTGTGGTGGAACTATACACTCAAAGCTGTTAGCAAACACTTAGCGTAACACTTCAAGAATGCAGTGGCAATGTCTTCAAAGCTGAGCGTCAAAACATATAGGCAACGTCAAAGTTAAAAGTTGCCGATCGAGCTCAAATAAAATTAACACAGATTTTATAGGAGATGACTTAGCTGGCTGCTCCTGATAAATAGTTGCTCAGAATTATTCGACATAACAGCGTATTTATCCGAAGGTCACACGTTCTGTCACTGCCAGTGGGAAGTTGCCTTTGCATCACTTTACTTTCTTCAAATGTGCATGCCAATTACTACAATACATTTAGATCAGTACAACTAACGTGCCATACACCTTCCTTGACTTCATGGTCCGCTGGTTTTTGTTAATTTTCGGTAAAAACAAAGATTCAAGCCCTCCAAATTGCCTTCCTTCATTTGTTTATCAGTAGATTGTGTTCGAAAGAAGAATACGCTTCCTGGAATCAAACCCTTGACATTTTTTCTAAGGATTATCGACACAGCCTCTTCTTCACATTCATGGCATGTAAAAACAAAATGTGGCTGATCCTCCTGTATATAAATCGGTATAACACGAAAGTTAAACGTGTATTTACAGAACATTTATTGTGCACTGTTTCAGCACCAGAAACAAATTTCAAAGCGTATTTTTAACGAAATATACTTTTGAACGTCACTTCTATGGCGGAAGTACGTCCGCGGAGTCATGGGGCACCCCGGCATAAAACGTTTTCGTGTTAAAGAACAGCTGAACAACCAAAATTAATTTTTTTGTCTTGAAGCTCTAGTGACGGCCGTATACGCACCAGCTTCAAATGAATCGGCTCACTTGTGCAAAAAATACGTAGAAATTGACGCCTTTCTTCGAAACACTCGTCAATGATGCAAGTATTTTCACTTAGTGCTCTCAGACAGTATTGCACTTGCCTCGCCACGGTGGTTTGGTGGCTAAGGTACTCGGCTGCTGACCCGCAGGTCGCGGGTTCAGATCCCGGCCGTGGCGGCTGCATTTCCGATGGAGGCGGAAATGTCGTAGGCCCGTGTGCTCAGATTTGGGTGCACGTTAAAGAACCCCAGGTGGTCGAAATTTCCTATGGCCTCCACTACGGCGTCTCTCGTAATCATATGGTGGTTTTGAGACGTTCAACCTCAACAATTTTAATTGGACTGCATTGCACCGTTATTGACGCTTTCTTCCCGAGCGTTTTGTGCAACCGACAAAAAATTACACATCATCATCTATTGGCATGTGCAGCCAGTAATGAATTTACCATATACTGACATAAATGCAATGTTACAACTCTTTCTGCATCAGTACTGAACATCGCGGCCAAGTTTTTTTTTCATTTACTATTTAACTTTTCCCACCATAACTATTTCGTTGACAGTGCTTCTCGGTGCAATCTCAAATTCGTTATATAGCGCAGGGCTCGGCAACCTTAATAGGCGAAAGGCCAAGTTGCAGGGAGTTGGCACAGCGGTTCGCTTCACAGCAAATTGAGGAGGGTCGGAGGCTTTTCAAACGAAGAGAAAATTTAGACGAATGCACATTAACAAACAACACTGGATTAATTTCATGTTTATTTTCATAAAGCATACGTTCCAATCAAGCATGGGTTACAAGCGAAAACATAATGTTAGGTCAAAAGTGCTTTGTCGGCTTTTAAAAGAAGTCACGGTCCTGAGCTGTAGCATGCAACTCCTTCCCCACTGTTTGCGCGCTGATGTATAACATACACCAACTGGCTCTTTAAGGTACCCTTGAATATACCGTTTACTGACTCCCGTATTCTAGAACGTCCCTCCACTCAACGCTTCACCTTCACTTGAGAAGGCTGATGGGAGCGCCGTCTCTAGGCAGGGAAAGTCACTGCATATCAGCGATAATCTGAGGCGATTCTTGAGTAGCGTAGCGGCACTTTCAGCCGTGCAGCGGTGCAGTGCTCAACTCTCTCAAGTGAAGGGTGAAAGTCGAGTCGACGGGCGTTTGTGAATGCGGGGGTGAGGGTCTTCGCGTTTCGTTGTATCTCCTTGCCTGTCGAATCCTTGGAAGCGGAAGTAAACGATGCCGTGCTGCGAGCTGCTGCCACTCAGGGATCTCCTGACGCGAACGTGTTCCCTGTGCACCCGCCGTGGCTCGTAGGACAGGGGCTCGAAGTGGCGCACGTAACGGTTGAGGCGACGCGCTGCAAATGCATACGAGTCCGCGCTTATCAACCTCACTCCGGTATAATTCTTTTTTACAGCGAAAAATCACAACAAAAGTCACGTGCTCCACCGTGTGTCCGCCGCCGCTGGTGCCCGTAACCACTATTGCATGAAATGAGAAAAAACTTCGCGAATAAAAACACCAAGGACACAACATATTTCGAACCAGGGTCCCCTGCGTGCCTGCCTAGTATTCTACCACAGAGCTACGTCGTTGCAAACTTTCCTTAGGCAGGCTTGATGTCGGGAAAGGAATCGCATTAGTATGAATAATAAAGCACTTTAGAACAGCAAAGGAACAACCAGGCGTCACACAATTTGAATTGCGTAACAAGTTGGTCGTCTAATCATTACAAGCCAAACAAAATAAGAAGGAACGAAAAAAAGTGGAAGCATTTCCCTTTATAGAATTTAACAATTCCACCCCCTTCCCCGTCTATGTTTTTTTTTTTCAAAAAGTGTTATCGCTTTCGGAGCCTGAATTATATGGCTCTTAGGGTTTATGTGGCCCCCACGGATAATGATGTGTCATGTGTAGCACTGTCATGTATGAGCCTCGAAGAAAGGCATACTTCTGTCAGAGTTTCGTCAATCTGGAAGTACAAGGCAGCTTCGAAAGGGAGTCAAACGGGACACAAAGATCACCCCCGCATGTAGTTTTTTGAAAGCGCAGCATATATTTTTTGCTTTAGATTACAGATTGAAACAGACTGATACCAATACTGTATTCCAGACAAACTCGCATGGTGCCTCATTCATACGCCTAAGACAACTCACTTGTACAAGCTATCTTATATATCTTTTCGGGCGATGTATTTATTGATCCGCATACATGTGACCGTGCAAGTGTCTTGCATTTTTTCTTCACTTTGTTATGTTAGTTTTTTTTTACTTCTTTAATTTCCGGAAACCATCCTAATTTCTGTTTTACGTAACACACTCTTCAAACTACAATGCAACTGCATAGTTCTTCGACCTCCATCAGCTAAGGCAAGGCCTATATTGTCCTAAATTTTCAAATAAAAAATAAAAAAGGTTCTCCAGATGCATTAGACTAAGCTCCCGTCTCTGTCGTGCCTTAGCCGGGTTATTACAGCCCCGCTCACAGTGGCTTCGTGAACTTTTGCTAAAGGTTGGATGCGCAAAATCAGAATACGTGACTCGGTATTTACCACCACAGAAAAAAAAAATTCAATTTCTTAATGAAAGATACCACTGGAGTAGCTAAACGTCCGCGCGTCGACGTGACCAAAATTCAAGCAACGATTAAGCCATGTCGCGCTGTAATGCTAAATGGAGCAATTAAAGTCGACCTCAGCCTCATCGCACATCATCTTCATTCCTCCACATCGCTGAATCGTTCTGTTCAAATATTTAGCTACACTTCGTTTATCTTTCTTTTTCTTGCTGTTATTTCCGTTTCTCGATTGCGTTCTCCTTATCATTTTCATTAAAACATAGGTTTGACATGCAACTCCATAAAACACGGGCTATAATAATCATTTTGTGAGTTCTTGTTCCCGTACTTTTTATATACGCACAGTTACTAACCCGGCGTAAAACAGTGATGTAACTGTCAAGCACCAAGTTAACATTCCTGTTCGTTTTTAACGTTGCCTTAATATCATGTAAATCTGATAGATAAAGTACAATTGCATGCGCCAATAATGTCCGCTGGAGAAATTATGCTTTCCTTAGATAACACCTGCACCGACCTCATTCCTACGGAACTTTACCAGACCAGCTTATCGCCTATATAAGCAGCAGTAAGAACTTCTAACATCTGTATCTTTGGATTAATTGTAAAACTTCTGTTGGTCACAAGAAACGAACCATGCGTGCTTTGTTTAGTACAGCTCACAGTATATCAGAATGAGGCCGTGACAAACGATGGTTCCGACGCGAATGGCGCCGCACTTAAATGTCAGGGCTAATTAAAAAAACTCATCTTAGTTCTACAAAGTGTGAAATCTACAGAAACAGCTGAGCTACTATTTTCCAGCCTTTTCCTTTCGATTTTTTTGTGATTCTCTTTGTTTTGTTTTTGTGATTTTGTGTGGGTGCCTGTGATTAAAGTATTTGTAGAGTTGATATGCACGGAAAAAAACTGGAGCACCCTTAAGTGTCGCCTTTAGGAGTTGAACGCGATAGCGAAATCCGGCCCCTAGTGCACCCGTCAACCGCTAAGTGCATAGTTGTTCATATGTTTTGTTACATACACACGCACGCACACAAACACGCACGCAGTAGATTGGACCAGCGCGCGCTATTATCACTGAATGGGCTAGTTTTCGTCGTGACACCTGTCAAACAAAATGCGTTAAAGGAAATTTGAAACACTTTTTCAAGTAAATATGGAATGAATTCACTAGAAGAGCTTATTGCCTCACGAATTCAACGCCGCAAAAATTTTAATAATCCGTCCAGTACGAGTGCAGTTACAAAGGTTTGTCGCATGCTGCAATTGCCTTACCCCTGCTCTCGTCCTGACGAAAGCACTGGCAGCTAAGCGGGGAGGGGTGGTTGGTTGGTTGTTGGTTGTTCCTCAAAGTTCTGGCGCAACCCCCCACCGGTGATTGGCCATGAAACGGACGGTGCCTCATTTGTGAGGTGGAGTTGTTTTACCAGCCGGATTATTTAGATAACGATGTTTAAAGAAAGAACCAATTGGTAAACGATAGATTTGAAATAAAATTAATAGGGGTAATACAAAGAACGAACAAGCAAATGAGAATTGAAATAAAGTGAATTTATGCCTCAGCTTAACATTCTAATCGTTTTGTTGGCTTTAGAAAGTTGCATACGGCCTCGCAAACGTTCCTGTGGCTAAATCCCTTTTCAGTTGCTCCAAAGGAAAGGACCACCGGAAGGGATAAATTTAGAGCCAGCCTACGGGGAGGTTCTTCTAACAGTCTCTTCCTTTGGTTTGTATATAACCTGCATGTTAAGAGGAAATGATAGAGGATTCACTCTCGTTGCAGTGCAGGCGTATATAGGGGAGACTGTGCTAGACCAGACCTGTGCAGATAAAAGTTCATGGAGGGGGGGGGGGGGGGGGCTCGGCATCTTATAGTCTCGTAATTTATATCTCCGCTGTTCTAGAGGAGCACCATCGATTTTTTCAAGGGTACTTAAGATGGGAAAAATCCGATGTTGCCAAGCGATATTTTTCAAACTGATCTGACATGACAATTTTTTCAAAGCGTGTTACGGCGATAAATGCTAGCGTCGGCAATATATAAATTATAGGATAATTATGTGAGGCCACTGAGAGTGCATCTGCATATTCATTGAGAGTTAAACCTTTATGTCCTGCTATCCACGCCAAGTGAATGAGTCGTAAATGTCTTGGGGCAAGGTCGTAAAATACTTTTAAAGCATTGGACATATTAGGCGCAGTAATTAACTACACACAGACAAGCAGTTTGAAAGAATAATAGGATCTGTTATTGAATGAGGTAATTTTTGCAATGCTAAGAAAATTTCCAGTAATTCCGTTTGATAAATAGGTGTAAAATTGGGTAAACGAATCGAAAAAGACCAATCCAACACTGAAGATGTATTTCCGACTCCTGTCTTCTCTTCGCGAACTGAAGCATCAGTTGCTATTACAATCTGTATGTCTAATCTTGCCAGGTGGTCTTTCAAAATGGCATTTAGATATCTACTGGGAAGTGTTTTGCAATTATTAAGAAAAATATTGTGAAATTCTATTTTCATTGTTTGAATAGGTGTTCTTATAGTACCCGTACTTCACGAAGGTTAACTTGTAATGCTTTCAAGAGCTTCTGTACGGCGATGACATGCGGACACTTTAATCTATAGAACACTGTTGGTTAAAAAAGGACGTCGGCTCATTATTGAAAACATATTGCAACCTCCTATGTTGGGATACGTATATTTTTAGGAAGGTACGGACTGCTAGTATTTGGAATCTAGCACGAAGAGAAGGCAAGTGCGCTTCCTTATATAAAATATTAACTGCCACAAATTTAGGGAGCCCAAGACATAAACGTAACGCTTCGCGTTCTAGTAGTACCAGTGGTCTAATTTTGTAGGCGGGTGCTCCAGAAAACAAGACACAGCCAAACTCTAATATTGGGCGAATATACATACAATATATCATGACTAGCACATCACGACATAAACCACAACGTTTATTGCTGAGTCTACGAAGCATCCCAAGCGTATGTGCTCCTTTAGCTACCATAATTTTTTATATGCGGACTCCAATTTAGGTTTTCAGTATAAGTCACTCCTAAGTATTTAATCGATTTCACCTGCGGGATAAAGTCCTGTCTTTGAAGTACGGAAATCTGCACTGAAACACTTATAGAAAAAACTACGACTGCGCTTTTCCTGGTGCTTAATGATATATAGATTATTGTCGCCTAACCATGTGTCCACAGCTTTTATATAAAACTGTAGCATCTGATATAATGTATGTATATCTGTAGCTGTAGCAAAAAATGCGATGTCGTCAGCGTATACATACACCTGTACATTATGTTGTACTGGAATTGTGCACAATAAAATATTAAATAATAATGGTGAAAATACCGAACCTTGGGGGAGACCTCTAGTTTATTTATACTTTGAAGACGACATGCCAGAGCAATAGAATTCTCTATCTTTTAGAAAGGAGTAAACCCATGCCACAAAGTAATTTGGTAGACCGAATTATTAGTTTAATGTGTTCCACACTGTCATAATCTTTTGCATTATCTAAAGTTAATAAGGCGGAAACCTGTTTCTTAGAACGAGCTAGTTGTATCCTGCTTTCCAGATACACATGAGGCACACCAAATGGAGCAGCCACGCCTGAATCCCATTTGGCATGGGCTTAAAATTTCATTTTCTTCCAACCAGTTGTCTATCCTAATGTGTAGAAGTCTTTCGATTAGTTTTACCATATATGTGAGTGAAATAGGCCTAATGTTATCCAAAGTAAACCCAGCTCCATGTTTCTTTAATAAAGTAATTATTTTTGTGATCCTCCACTCAGGCGGAATCCACGAATGTCTAATGAAGTGGTTAACTATTGCAAGTAAATCTTGAGGTGATCCTTTATTGATTATTTTTATTACCGATACAGTTATTCCATCGGGACCTGGAGCAGAATCGGGCAATGTGTTCACTACTTGTGCTATTTCCGACGCTGTAAGCTCTTCAAAGTCACCGCTGTTAACAGGGCACGGTGAGTTGTAAGAGTTAGCAGCCGTGAAGCGGCTTTCCAGCCCTTGAGCAATATTTTCCAGAAAAGTAGGCAACGCACTTGGCGTTGAAACAATCGATTCGAGGTTTGTTGATCATAAGATTACTTTTTGGGCTTTAAGGAAGTTGAAAAGTGATTTCCTGTGGCCAGGCTTTGAAAGGAATGGGAGCGTTGGCTTTGATAGTTATCCTTCGCAGCGGCAACTGTTCGCTTAAAAATTGCAGCCACGTATTTGTAATCGCTCCAATTTCTAGGGCACTGATCATAGAGCAGTTTTCGCCACGCTGCTTTTCTTAGCCTGTAATGACGTGAACAATCAGAGTTACACCAACGATTCAAAGGACGTTGTTTAGAGACTTGAACTGTGAATTTAGGTTTATTTAAAGATTGTTTTATAACATCCTGAAAGTTGATAACATGTCGCTGTTTATTTACCTCGATTCGTTTTCACAGTGACACGTAGTGTGTGATCAAATGTATTGAAATTGATGTGAGAAGTGGGCTGCCTGATTATTGAAGTTACGGGACATACAAGCTCAAACAATATAGGAAAATGATCGCTATATATATTTGTACCCGAGTTTAAAGTAGACCATGTAGAAATACAGAGGCTAGAACTACAGAAAGTCAGATCAATCGCAGAATGAGACTGATTGCATACAAACGTGGGGGTTCGCTGCTTAATGCATATTAAATTCTTTTTACCAACGAAATCTTACAAGCGCTTTCATATCTGTTCTGAATCCCCACGAAGTGTGATGAGAATTGAAGTCTCTTACAATTAATATGTCTTTTCTGCAAGACGAAATTACGGTATCTAAAACACTAGAATTTTGAACACCTAACGGAAAATAAGGGTTTACTAATGAAAAGGGAAGGTGTCCCGGAAAAGAGATATCTAATGTTAAAATTTCACTTTCTAAATTCATTTTGACCTGTAACTTTTACCCGATGCGCAATTTTTGAAGAGATAAACATTGTTATACCGTGCAACTCCTCGAGAGGTGTGGTCTAAGCGAAATGTTCGGTAGTTTTTAAGATGAAAGGTTTTTTCTTTAAAGAGCCAAGTTTCTTGCAACACTATAACATCTGGGGAATGCTGATTACAAAGGCAAAATAAATCAGTAGTTGCGGAAAAATTGACCGGCAATTTCACTGCAAGATTCTCAATCCACCTATTTTGAGGATATGCCGGCAGCGTTCACTGCCTTCTGCAATAAGCTATCTTTCAAAAAATCCTCTTTTGAAGCTATTTTATTCCGACATTTTTTTCCCTCTTCCCTTTAGGACTCACTGAATATCCATGTTTTCGTGGCGACGCCCACCGTTTCATTTTTTTGTGTGTGTGGTGAATTCCATTTGTGAGTCCTGTGAACCTGAATCAGAGCTCAAATCCAAATGGTCAATGGGGATTATTTTACGGCCGCAGTCTGACGGACCAACTCTTGATTAATAACTCTTCAACAGGTGTTGTTATCGGGTGGCCGGGTTTAGAAGGCCTTGTTTCTACAGACCCTGTATTCACCTCTTTAGCTGAAAAAAGCATACATGAAAGCTGCATGTGGATGATTAACATTCATGAGGATTTGAGCGATTTGTGCATTTACTATTTGAGCAAATGACTCCGTCAGCGTCACAAAAGGGTTCTCCACTAGCTTTGTCATTGTTTTCTCAACGGTCGAGGCTATCACGTCTGAGAGTGACGAGTCCAAGACATGGTTATTACGGATCGCAGCAACAGCGTGCCCACGAGAGCGCTCTGCGATGGCGATTCGAGCTTCGCGTCTTGAATAACGTTTTTGCTCAATTATTTTCATAATTTGGATCCCCTGAGCTCTTGCAGGGCATGTGCCATCGTCAGATGGGTGAGGGCCGCCGCAGAGACAGCAAGAGCTTTCCTGAGCTGTGCATTCTTTAGAGTTGTGTTGTCCTGCACACATTTCACACCGCTCTACTGATCGGCAACCCTTTATGCTATGCCCAAAAAGCCAGCATTTATGGCACTGCAGTGGACGAGGAGATAGCGCTTCGACCCGATATATCAGGGGCCACACTTTGATCTCTGTTAGTCTAGTAGTTCCAGCAAAGGTAACTATTACTGACTCTGTCGGGATCTTATTTTTGTCAGCACTATGTGAATAGTGAAAAACTTCCACCGCGACTGCTGCAGAAAACATCTCTAGAATTTCGGGTGGAGACAGGCTCAAGTCTACCCCACGAACCAAACCTTTCACACAGGCCAAGTCAGGAGGAACAAAAGGGCTCACCGGGAGAGAGGCAAACGATGTGCATTTTAGCAGATCTGATACGCAGGCCTGATCTGGGAAACAGCACAAAATACCTCCACGACCAAATTTTCGCACCTTGGTGATGAGTTGGAAGTGTTCGGTCACCTTCCGTAGCTCCTCCTGGATGCTTTTTGGGGTTTTTCATGTGAATAGAAACTACCGCACCTCGTGACCTTGAGCACTTTTTTTTTTCTTCGAATATGCGGCTTTTTCCAGTGTGATCGCGCGCTTATGCGTGGACAAGTAGCGGCCTCCCGTGGCTATCTCGGTAACTTGATTTTTCGGTCACAGACGCACAGACGATTTTTCGCTCACAACCAACGGGGCCGACGCCGCCGGCGGGTTTTTTGCGACACTAGCTCTTTAATGCTATCGCGTTAATAACGTATGACAGCCCCTGCTATATCCACACCTTCTTAGTGACTTCAGGCCCTATATCTACGCTGTAGCCACTCTTGCCAGTTTTGAGTGTGCGGTTACGTCATCTATGGGCGTATCTGGGAACCAGAGCATGACATGCGACGCGCACACCTTTCTGCTGTCAGGCCCAGCTCTAGAGTAGCTCCGCAGTTAAAGAGTGATATTTCGTCTTTTAAAGAGCTTATCGTGCATTGCCGTTCCACATACCGTCAACAAAGCCCGGGGAACAGGTCAGTAGAAGCAGCAGTAGAAGTAGTCTACCATAAGGTGCGGCCGCCATCTTGTTCTTCTTCGCGTGCCCCACGCTGCACCTTTTCTTTGTTGGTCCTGTGTTGGGTGCTCATATCCGCTATTGTGGATGGGCCAGATAAAGCATATAGTCCTAACTAGAGAGGTGATAAATGTGAAATATTCGGAAAACGAGTGCAGAATAGCAGAACCAGATGCTATCAGAACCAAAGCTGCTAACATAGCAGCTTTTTGCTCTTATCCTTGCGTTTTCTTTTTGCTGTGCATGTCTGGAAGCCGTTGTGGGCACACACATGTTGAAGAATTATTGACAACATTCATTAGCCTTTACAAAGATCTTTACAATATATAATACGGCTTAGCAAGAATAAAATATTAAATTGAATCCAATTTTGCAAAGGAGACGAAATAGAGTGATGTATCGTCAACGACTTGGCACAGGGGAAAAAAAGTCACAACTTTGCCGCAAAGACGAAGCAATGAACGCGATAGCAACCAATTGGAAGGTCACGCGCAGAATGGCCAGCAGATGGAAACGTGCCGCACGTTTCTCCCGCACAAATGACGCACGAAACGTACTCTCAGGTACAGATGAACGCGAATAAGGGACTCAGTTGTTACTTCACTCTGTCTGAAAAGCGCGCTTTTTTTCGCAAACGGTGCAACGATTGCAGTGATACTTGTGCGCCCTGTAAGTGAAACAGAATCGTAGCTGAAGGCCAGCCAAAGATCTTTACCACCGTGAAATAAGGGTGCGCGAGTGAGCGTCGACCGCCTGCTTTTCTTGGGGCAAAGTGCACGTGGGAGATGGAAGCGCGCGCCGCCGCGTCGTGACGATGTTGCTACGCGCGCTCATTGCGCCATCTTGCTGGGAATGCTGAAAGCACGATACTTCTTCCCACCCGAGATGCCCGTCATCAGCGGTAAGTGGTATATATAAATAGCTTGCCATTTAAACGTTGGACCTCGGTGGCTCAGTGGTTAACGCCTTGCACGCACGATTCAAAGGACCCAAGTTGGATTCCGCGCGCCGGAGTCCTTTTCTGGATTTTTTTTCTTCCTTGCATTTTCATATATACAGATACATATACGGTGAGTGACGGTGACGCCCACACCGACGCCGGCTGTAAAATCCAGCCGATAGTGTCCATATAATTGCTATTGCAATAATATGTAAAAGTGTGCTTCGAAATATATTTCACGATCTGTAACTCCTGTAGCTGTGTCCATTGGTCTAGTCTTGTATGTGTACGTAATATACAAATTATCAAAATGTGACAAGTCTCCACCACCCCAAAAAATTAAGTATATGCCTTTCACATGGGAAATATTGGACCAAGCAATCACAATATGCGCTCGCGGCGCTCCGTGCTTATGGTGGCGCCGTGCAAAGAAGAACAATTTCATCACACATGTGCTATATGTATTCGCTACATTATGAAAAGCTTTTGAGCCCGTACACAACAAGCAAGAATGTAGGATATGAAGACAAAAACAAGCGCTTGTTTTACTACCTCATGCCTTTGTTTTCTGTGAGCGCGTTCTGAAGCTTGCCATAATGAATTCCAACCAACTCGCTCAGTTTGTGCACTTCTGCATTTTAAATATATTCCCTTTTCACGGTGTTAAGGAACTGCATATCCAACATTTAGTGAGCGACCGCTATGTACCGATTATGAAATGTGACGAATGAAAGTTCGAGGCGTCAACGTACACGAAATGCAGTTTTCTTCTGTACTTTCTCTACAGCTGCGGAACTGTTTGCATACGATGAAAATTTAGTTATTTCACGAAAGATTTTGTTTTCCACTGATTTATTGTGGAGCGCGGTGCATTGCACTTAGCGCACTATGCAGCGTTGTTCCAACTTTGCAGTCCATTTGGTCGTTATATAAAACATTGCACAGGTATTGGTTAAAGTTGAGGTTAAAGTTGAGGACTGCATACCATTAGTTAATTAGAGAGAAGGAACACTCTGAGGAAACAACTGTGGCTCAAAAGTACAAAGGCTGATGCATGCTGACGTCACTGCCTCGGCAGTGTACGTATTAACAGTGGAGCCCTTAAATCTCGACGTTGGGTACAATGTGTTCCAATATTCTCGTTCACTATAATGTTAGGCCATGCATAGTGAACAGAAACTGTCATTATAGTCCTTTAATATTTGTTGTGTTACTCAGCTGGGGCACACTCTTCATCCTCTGCTTAAGGCCTTGCTAAATATGGTTAATTTCAATTAAGAACACCTTAAATAGGCACTAATTATGACCAAGCTAATTTATCATTCACACAGTCATGACAACGTTTGGACAATGAATATAGTTCGACAATCCACATATAGCAAAGCCTTGCAATGCCCAGCTGAACCCATCAACAACTTTGTCGTTGCTAGGTTTGGCTGTGTTAGTGGGTTCGCGTTCTTGCATGCATGCATGCGTGTGTGAATGAGGAAATGCCAAGTTGTGCCAAGTTCCAACAGAAGCTAGGTTGGCCACACACTCCGCTGTTAGTCCAGCCTTGCACCACTATTGCATGCAGACTCCCACATTTTTGGGAGGTGGGTGAGGACTCACTAGTAGTTATCCCAGCTTAGGGGGACGATGGTGGCACCCAAGTAGTCGTCATTGAAAAGGTGTCGGTGTTTGCAAAAATTAGCATCCAATTGTATCCCAATGTTTGGCTGTCTACCATCAAACACTTCTACTTTGCCATTCACTGGCAACACTCTCCTTGACAGGAGTGGCTAGAATATACTGGCCAGTATATTCAAAGACCTAAACTTCGGCAATTAAGGTCCTCAATGAGCTGTGACATAACACGTGCAGCTTGCAAAACTCTGAATTTGTCACAGTGTATTTATCTCACTTTGCCTGCTTCACTGGTTATAGCAGGTGCAGTAGGTACTTTAGTCGGAAATGTTTACAGCTTTTCACAATTTCCTGTAATGGGTGCACAGTTGCCTCGTGCTAAATCATGCCTGCCGAACTGCACATTGCACAATGATGACAAAACATGGAGTTCAGATAGCTGTATGAGAAACAAAAAAAATAAACATTTCTGTCTTTTGAAAGCCTTCCGTTGCAATAATGTTAAAACAAGGTGGCTTTCCTTCGTCTTGGCAGTTCAAGAAAGAACAGGCTTCGTTCTCAACCCATTGGTACATCACATTTCCTTTGCTCCATTGCTGTTGATTGCCTCAAATCCACACCTTCCTGCAATATCTCTAGTTAGGACTTATGACTTCTGCCAATTACATTAAATTGATTATGAAATCACTAAATCAGTAGCAAATAAAGCTGAAGAAATCTTCAGCTTATTACAAATGTGGTTTCGAAGTAAAATTTGCATTTTCATCTAAATTTTTTTGCTTTCCCATATCTAACACAGTTTCTGCAATACTCAGTAATAAATAACATTGACCACTGGATCAGATTCCCAATTTCAAGTCAAGTGGCCTAGCTTAAACAAACCAACAATGGCAACTCTTAGAAAAGTGCAGGAGACACTGACCGGCCATCATCTTGACAACTTCCAGTATTCTTTTATTAGTTTATGCTTGCCAAAGAGCACATCATTGCTGCCTTTAGCAACTAGTAATTTATGGGATAAAAAAGCCAGGTGCCAGAAAAGACAACTAAAAGGAAGCTCACAACCACACAAGTGAAGACCAGGAAATGTATAGACACAACAGTGAACAGATAGAATGCTTGGGAGAATTATCTGGATATTTAGTGTGAGCCAGGTGGGTCATATAACGCGTGAGACAAACAAGTTGTAGTCTATTGAATCAGTCGTGAAGGGAAAATGAACATAAATGAAGTTGCAGATTGGTGGAGATAAAACTCTCTAGCAAGCAGTGTTTTGAGCCCCTTTGACAAAGTGACTTGTCACCAGAACGAATAACCGCGCAAGTTTCATTACTGCCTGCATTAGGCCAACTGCTTTGACAGAATAAGACCAAGTCTTCCAGAATAAACATTAGCTTTAGAGACATTTCTTTGAACAATAGTAGATGACTTTGTCTTTATTTATCTGTCAATAACTTTCTCATTTAAATTCACATGTGTTTGATACCGTACAAGGACACTTAGGGCCAACCTACATGAAGCAAACATTACTGGCACACTTTTGGCCAGGTACCTTTGTCATACTGCACATATATGCCATAAAAAATAGGCAGGAGTCTCCAAAATTTCTGTCTTTTTATGGCTGTAAGTCATATATATGCATTGCGCCCTGATTAGGACATCCCACCCGCTTGCATTTGCCACTTTGGGTGGGCAGCTAGAAATATCAAGACCAGCTTGATCAGCAGAGAACAGCTTTATCTCAGCTGCCAGCCTCCAGGCTAATGCTTTTTGCCAGAAACATGTGCCAAGTGGGTCTGCCTTTTGAGGTCACTTCTGGTTTGATTATGATGACAAACTTTGATGTTGCTCAGAGAATACCTTTATTATTCTATTTAGAACATGTGGGACTTACAGTCTGCTTTCATTGGAGGGGGGCTTTCGCATGGCAGTGACCCATACAATATTTGTGTTTAGTATGGTTGCAGTGTAGTGAAGACCTGCCCCCCCCCCCCTCTCCCCCAAATTTTCAAAGCCCTGAGAACACTACAGCGGCATGTTCTTTTCCACACTACTTGATTCAGTTTCTTTCAAGCTGAACAACCAGCACAATGAGAGGGCTTAAGAGTCCTTACATGGTGATTTACTTCACTGATTGAGCTCACTCTTACGAGTTCTGCGCACATAGGCGACAAGTCCTTCCACACCTGTTAGAAAAATGGGAAAGGTGCCGATGCCAGATGTGCCATCATGAAAGCTGGACTAAGTTTGATCTGCCTAATGACCACACTGTCCAGTGGGCATTATCCTCAAGGTACACCTAAGTTTTGTCAGCTTCGAACAGGGAATTTGGTTGCTGAACAGGGAAACCAGCACTAGCCAATTGAGATATTGCACAATTGTTTGAAAAACCAAGATTGAAACAGGGAGATCAAATGTAACCAGGAAGGCTTGGGGCAGCCATTTTAAGAACCATTTTATAAACACCAAACTAGTTAAGCTGCTACTACTGCCAAACATATAAATTCCTGCCATATTTTTTTGTTGAAGAACCTCTACTACCTTGAGAACAGCAGTGCAATATTTACGGAAAGCACTTGTGTTATGTGAATCATTATGATCATTTACAACCAACTACCTGACCAGTACCCCCTCTACTACCACTGCCAAGCATACATTTTGGCTCCATCTTTGTTCCCAAAGAGCCTCTATTAATGCAAAAAGCTACAAGCGTAACAGTATCAAATTGTGACTTTCAAACATGTCTAAACATTCCAAGTTGAATATACCTCTTGAAAATGCTAATCCTCGCTACCAACTGACAGTGCAGTTGACTGCATGGGCACATCTGACCCATTTGAACCATTCTCGCTGAATTCACTTTGGTGTGCTTGCATGCCCTGAGCAAGTTCAAAGGGCCGCTCAGCCAACACCTCCGCCACCTGAACGACGGTAGAGCCATCTTCGTTTGTCTGTACAATCTGTACCAACTTCACTGGCCGCTCCGACACTTCGGCCGTCACTGCAGCAGCAAGGACTTGGGGTTCCGACAGAGTGCTCGTCGTGTCCGCATTCATTTCTCCTGGAATCTCCGTTCTGGCTTCAGCAAGGTCGAGACTCTCATAACGAACAGTCTGCACCGTGAAAATGTTGTCCTTGTTGCAGCAATAATTGAAGCGCATGTGACCAGATGGCCACTTGAAGCGGTGCTGAGAGACCAGATGGCGCGACAGCGAGTTTCCCTTGGTGTACTGCTTCTGGCAGATGTGACACATGTAGATGCCTTTGGGACACTTGAGGTGTTCATCACGCACGTGGTTACGCAGAAAGTGGGTGCTACGCTCGACAAAGTCGCAACCAGCGTAAGGACACGCGAGGCTCTTGTTGGAATGCATTATTTGTATGTGTTTTCTCAGGTCGCACTGCTGCTTGGCCGCGTAGTCGCACTGGTCGCAGGCGTACGGGCGAAGCGACGTGTGACGCCACTGCATGTGGTTCTTGACAGCCGACGGCGTCGGGCAGGTCATGTCGCAGAGAGGGCACTTGTACTGGTTCACGTGATGCCGCATGTGGTCGCGCAGAAGGCGCTCCGAACTGAAGCTGCGGCTGCAGTAGATGCAATTGTGGCCAGAGCGCTCGTCCTGGCGCTCGAAGTGGTCCAGCAGTTTGGTGCGAGACCAGAACACGCCGCCGCAGTTTGGACACGCCAGCCTCTTCTCCTGCGTGTGCGTGCGAACGTGCTCCTTCAATTTGTGCACCGTGGCGAAGGTCGCATCGCAGGAACTCCAACCGCAGGGCGCCTTTTTCGAAGGTCGCGCCCCGTCGCACACCTCCTCGGCGTGACAGTCGACGTGTGCGTAGAAGGCTTCCGGGTTTTCAAAGCAATCGTCGCAGTCCGTCCACTGGCACCGGTACTTGTCGGGTGTGTCTGGGATCATGTTGCGAGAGCTCTTATCCATGAGGCAGCGCACAGTTGGCGCGTCTTGTCTGTCCAAAAGATTCTGCCCGAAGCACTTGATTTTGGTATGGAAAGCATGATAGAACACATGAGTGCGTAGCTCGGACGTGCCACTCAGCGTTTCAGCGCACTCTGTCCAAGGACACTGGTTTGTTTCCACAAAGGTCAGGTCATCGTTCAAGTGTTTCCTTACGTGCTGGTATAACAGCGGGCTGTCGTCGCACAAATAGTCGCACTGGTCCCACTCGCAGCGAAGCTGCAGCTTCTCTTTCTTGAAAGCGATAGTAGTCGTCGCCTTTTTGCGTATCATTGCCACTCAGAAGGAATACGAAACGACGAGACGGGATCACGTTCGATAAACCCTGCGAGACTTTTCCCACCAATTTTGATCCCGGTCATCATCTACGGCTTGACTTACATTGAATTGGCTCAAAGTGACAATTAACAAAAACAATGCAAATATTTTTTACACGTTTGTGTAAACTTCTAAAAAAAGTAAATAAAGAGTAATATCAAGTACAGGTTTGTAACGTAGACTGATATTAATGCTTTTATTTTATATTATTTGCAACTTGTCAAGGTAGTTTGATGGGGTTTCGGTTTCGTTTTCTGTGCACTGCACATGGCTGTAAATGCTTGATTGGCTTTTTTTATTAAATATTATCGAATCTTTTCTCGTGAGTATATGAAGCCTCTCCCTAAAAACGAGACGAAATGCTCTCACAGTGTGTTGTTTTCAACCATGTTTTAAACGCACGTTTTTTTTCTGACCAGAAGACGTAGATAGCAAGCGATCATAGGCGGTCAGGCAATGTGGTAGTAGCCTGTAGTTGTTATACTCACCAATAACTTTAGCTGTCGCGATGCGCCTCTGGCGAAGAAGGTGTCACTTGGAGTATGAATCCAACACAGTGCGGAATAATCAATGTATCCTGGCCACTTCCCCAAGTTACGCACGAGCCACACCTTTGTTGGCTTGCAAAAAAAATAATAATAAGTGCTGCATTTTCTTTGACTGCATCCGCTGTTTCTGTTTTAGACATATCTCTGCGTAATTAACTAAGATGGATCTGCGAAAAAAGGCTGGCAGCAACCTCTTTTTTTTTTTTTTTGCCTTCCATGCAGCCTCGGTGATTCAAGCCACTGCCAATACCGAAGTATGTTTTAATAACGTTTTTTAAACCAGCGTAAACTTGCTCCACTGCCCCTTGCCAGGTCAGTCGTTACGTTCCTCTGCGCGGGCATTTTTTCTTTCTAGGAAAGAGAGAAATGGGGAGAGGAGGGGTGCAGCTTGGCATCTACCCCCCCCCCCACCCCCCCCCAATATAAATGTTATAAATGATGTCCACGCCTCTTAGTTCTAAGTGGTGCCTGTTCCACAAAGCAAAAGGTACCACTCACTCCAGAATTTTCACTCCTCTGTTTATTCATTGCACATGAAGCAACACACAAGCCAGTTTTCCATATGTAGCGTACATATGTGGTAAGCCTTTTATATCCCTCCAACATGAGAAAAATTAAAATCACTTGCACATTCAATTGAGGTCATAAATTCGATGTATAACTGTTGGGACGAAAGGAGAAGAGTGCCCCTTCACCAAAAGCACGGAGTAGTGAGGGCAGCTTTCGCAATGTTTTTTTTTTAGAATCAACCAAATATTGCAAGTGTCCCATAACCACAGATAACAGCACACCAGAGAAACATAATATTGCACCCATGTAATGTTTAAAAATCAGGCAGAACACAGAATACTGCATAAAAATTTGCTCACAGAAGGCAATGCAACAATAACTTTAATTGCATTCAACTTTCTTGACTAGACTGAAACTGTAGCAATGATACTGTGCCTTGTTTGCAATGGTCAGAATCAGCAACTATCACACTGCTGGTAAAAAAAAAGGAACATTCACAGGAATGTGCAGAGTAATTGAGGTACAAAAACATGGTCAGGCTAAACAGTATAACACAGGTAAACATGAATCGCAGCAGGGTGATCATTACACCCAATGTCATTCCATTTATCTGTGCTTGGCCACAATTCAACAATTTAACAAACATTTCTCTACCCATTTCACATTGCAGCACCGGAAAACATAGCACAAAACAAAGCCACATGTCCTGGTTCTATTTTGCTTTTCTACGCTTTCTTGCAACATAGTTTGAAACAGTTGACTTGATCACCCAATTCAGTTTATCATAATTTTTTGCTTAAATGTCTGTTTTCTAATGTGAACAATAAAAAAATTTTAATGATATCAGCTACACCTCAACAGTTAATTATCAGGCCTAAATACAATCTTTTTGAATGAGTCAGCAATACAGTACTTTATGGTTACCTCTTCAAATCACTAGATACAAGTGATATTTGGGCAACAGTACATAACTGAGACAATTAGGAGTAATGCTACTCATTACTAAGCCCAGTTATTTGCAGTTATTTTGTCCTCCTGCAGTTATTTTCGTACAATAAAAGGGTTCCTTGAAGTGTATGCAAGAACGGCTCAATATCACACGCACCAAACACAACAAGGCTAGGTGTCACTGTTTTTACACAGCTCTGTCAATTCTCAGGCACAAAAATTTTCTTTAGCAAGTTTTAAATGCTTATAATATTGTAATAGTGATTTTCCTAAATCCCCTTTTTTTTCTGTCACTTTTGTTTTATTATAGGAAGAGCGTTGCGAATCTCTAGCAAAATGTCTGAAAGTGCGACACAGAGAAAAAAATAATAGACAATTTACTGCTTTAGTCCTACAGTTTCAGTGATGCGTGAACGAAAATTCAGTTATGTCTCAGGGCATTACAACGGCTTCCTCAAGTAACCATGGACACTACAGATATATCAGGTATCTTTGAGTTTACGACGATGTCCGCAACAATCTACTAGGGTAAGCATATTTCACGTAACATTTTCAAGTTGGATATGTGCACATATTTAGTCAAAAAAAAAATTTATTAGCACATGCCAACTGGATACGCTGTCCATGCACTTTTATCTGCTACCAAGCAGCTACTCTTAATTAAATTGCATAAGGCATTTGAATGCCTATAAGAAGAATATTATTTTTAAAAACACATTTCTATGCCGAATAAACAAAAGCTGTTCATCGGTCTATTGCTCTGTCACGATATTAATGACGTAGACGATAAAAATTTAAACGTAGAAAAGAAATGATTTTCCTCGACGGTGCAGGGTTTCGAACACAAGACTTTAAGCTTCAACAGTGAATGCCCCAATTACTGGGCTACACCACACACTTAAAGAATGTCACTCTAGGTGAACCATACAAATGCGGTGTACCCACAGTGCAAAACCTAGTGCAATAATAAAATTACCTGTGGTGCAAATGTTAAAGAAATAATAATACATAATAATAATGAAGGCTTTGTTGAATTTTGTGGAAGTGGAATAAAGGCCCTCTCAATGGTATGTAATGCCATATGTGGAGTGTTCTGCACATTAGGAAAACTCAGGCTGAAAATCTAATGCCAAACTCGTGTTTCAGTGATGGCAGGATGAACTTTCTGCAGGGTTGCTCCAAGTGCTGAAAAACACTAGTCAGAAGATGAAAAACTCCACACCGTTCTAGAGAAGGCTGGAACCTATAATAGCACGTATTAGAACTGGGTCCGCAACAGAGTTGCTCACGTAGAATGGCTGCATTTTGCGAACTGGGAATGAAAAGATTTGTGCACGTTCACTTTATATAAAACACGATATTATTGTGTATGCAAAGCTGTAACAGTCAGGCCACAAATGTTTAAACCACTCAAGACAATAGCGCGAGAATTCAGAAAATTTGGGAAGTTGTCAAACGCATGATATAACCCAATGTGGCTAAGATAGACCACAATGACAATTATCCTTTCACTGACACGTAAATTTCCAACAATCTTTACCGTTCGTTCACCTTCTGAGAATATGAATTCATGAGAAAATAAGGGGTTGCATGCAAGCATATAAGTATTAGTATGTTATATCTGTAGAGGAGTTTATACTTTCATTTGCAATGTGCTTGGATAGCCATTGTTATGTCTACGTTTTTATACGTCTACTATTCCTACAAGGGCAAACAATCTATGAAAATATCAGTTGGACATCCAGCACACATGTAACCCTGTGATGGGTCAATGATATCTGAGTAGGATATTTCTGAGTTGTCCATGGTTACTTCGGTCAGTATGGTGAGAGCTACTTTCTTCATAACCGCTCTTGATAAATCTGCACACACACTAACAAATGCACTCATTACTGATAAGGGCATTACCACTGTTCACTTCAATAGCAAAGATAAACTTGGTAGGCACTGGCCAGTGAAATCTCAAGCGACTCAAGCACAGAGGCTGTCACACCTCAGCAAGAGCAGCAAACGCTTAGTGATGTCACCTAAGTGATTGTAGCAACTAAAAATGTCCAATAAGACCAACTACACAGCTGTCACGGTGTGAGCTAACAACGACCAGCCCTAATTGCCAGCGAGAAGTTGTGAATTTGAGATGAGCACTATAAAGCCTGCAGACATTACAGTGGCCACAAATGCTCATATGCATCACTTTCGTTAATAAAGGAGTACTGACACAAAAGTTTGAAGGTAAGATAACCTGGAGATACAGATTCATGTAGACTCACATACACTGTCTAAAATAGATCATTGGCCAATAAAGCCAAGAACATGTTTAGAATCAATTTCAAAGCCTATGCTACACGACTGAATGCAAAGCAAAAGAGCCTTGCAATAGTGACATTAACTTGGTTTTAACGTAAGCAGTCAGCCATGCACCTTACACGTGTTTTGTGCCACAGCTGTCATGCACGAGCACATGCTTACACATGCAGGCACACACACAGAGTCCCACCTTTTCTAGAGCTCTCTGAAACTGAAACTTCGACTGTGCATTTGTTCAACCGTCGGAATTTCATGTTCGGACAAGCTAGGGTTTTAGTTTTGAGAAGCAGGTATAATTAGCAACTTATTGCAGCAGAAAAAGTAACATGCAAAACTTTTGTGTCAGTACTCCTTCGAAAAACCACTCTAGGCACACCAACAACCCGTTACTTGCCTGGTTACATCACAGAAATCCAGCAAACTAAGGACACCATGTTGACCTCTGCTAGAAGAAAGCGCATGGTACAAATTTTTCCTCACGACAACATATTTCATGTATTCATGCACGTAGAAATAATACCTGAAAGAAAACATGGTGTCACTGGTGATGGTAGTGTTTTAGCAAACACAAAAGGAGTGCCCGGACATATGGAATGTTTGGCTTGTTTTGGAAGTAGTCCGACTTAAAATGCGAGCAAGGCTTTTTTTTTTAGACCAATGACATACCCAAGTCTCCACAAAAAGCGCCCATTCTTTCTAATGAACTACGCACTGGCGTTTACTTTAATGTACCATCACAAAAAAACAAAGAAAATGGGAATATAAAAGAGAAAGCAATGCTGGCATGGTGCAATTTCACTTGAAAAGGTTAATAAAAAATGAAAGTGAAAATGTTCACATTGTGTGCAATTATGTGGACTAGAACAAACATAGCTGCATTATAGTAATTTAATTATACTAATGTATCAGATATAGCACCTTGCAGGTTCTTTTGATACAGGCTAAATCATTGCAAAGGCAGAACAACAGTCACTATGAGAACAACATTCAGCTTGCTAAGCATTCAGTCTGTTTACGCTGTCTGAGAAAAGTCGATCTGGAGCCAGTGGTTTTTGAAAAGTTCCTGCATGCAACATCACTGCAGTGGTGCTATTTTTCGCTAGGTAATGCAGTACAACGTAGCCCTGCAATTCCTGAACAATTCAGTGCACTCGGAATGCAAGGTTCGACACAAAGAGAAAGGCCAACAGGTTGTACTGAAATAATGTGTCTGACCGTAGTTACAAGGACTTTCACCGGTACGCTGTACAAGGGGTGGCCACACAGACTCAGCAGCGTCCCCACATCGCATCAATTTCGCGCACTGTTCACTGCATACAACGCCACTGCCAACCTCCCACTTTAACATACATAAACAGTAACATTCATTGGCCTGTCCTTAAACAGGCATCCCTACAAGTTCGATGAGTCCCTGCATGAGTTCAGCACCTCTTGGTAGTCTTGTTCGAGCACACGGTCTAGCAAAAGGCAGTCGATCTGCCGGTCGTCGAGAGTACCGCCGGTGCCTGTGCTTAGGAGGCTGTCCGTGTCGGAGCCTTCCTCGACTGTTTGAAGCCGCTGGGAAGTGCCGTCCAGAGTGAGTCTTCGTGCTGCTTTCGCCAATGACGCCTCAATGTCCAGTGCAACGACTGGTGAAAGATCTTCAAGCGTGGCGAGAGGAACCCCAGGGGCACTGCGTCCGCAGAATACACGAGTCACTCGATATCGATAAGGATGCAAAGTGAGCCCTTTATTCAGCCAGCTAACAGAGAGGACTGTCCCTTAAACTTGACAAAACATCAAGAAAAAATTGTACTAGAAGTCCATTGTCAGTTAACCATACTGGTTTCTCTATACCAAGTTGCAACCATAAACATAATAATTCATGGTTCCTCCAATAAGTATATAAAAAGACAGAGCACTGGCAGCCCATGAAAGAAACTGTAAGTAGTTCTTATAAGCATACAGCTGTGGCGCAGAGACTGCTACACAATGAGGCAAGCTTGTACTGGTGTGGCAGCTTGGGCTAGTTGGTATGGCATGACGACAGTTATAGCGCGAGAACAAAACGTGTGTCGTCGTTTTGTTCTCGCGCTATAACTATCATCTTGTACTGGTCTTTCAGTTTCCCGACTGCATGCTTTCCCCTTAAGGCAACCAAATTCCCTATTCTTAGACAGGAAGAAAGGCAGTCAATAGCACTGAGGAATGAAACTTTTGCATACCATTTTCTATCTTGATCAATTTTTTAATGAAATCTGATAGCACTACTTCAACACATCAAGTCATGTCTGGCATTAGGGGTACTGACACGAAAGTTTTCATTTCTTGTTTTTTTGTGTCAAACGAAAAACCAAGCCCTCAAAAGCTTCAAAAATGTAGCGCTGTGTGCGAGTGCACCCTTTAAAAGTAATTACAGAAGGCTTTCTAAAAGCTAGTTTCGGTTCCTACTATACAGTGATGTCACAACACAATACAAACTTCTCATCACATGTTTGTGCAAGATATGGTGACGTGTCCATGACTGCACCGCCCTGTGGCTTCGTTAGTGATGCACCAACAGTCAATTTAAAAGTTTTGGTGATGCACAAGAGCCCATCGTGGAAGTTTCGGTACCTATGTCATCAAAACTAGCCAGACTGCACTGTGAAGTTACCGGAATTACTAGTACTGTAGCCTGACGTCATGTTAGTGTTGATGCGGTAAGTGTGCCATAAAAATTTACCTCAATATCAAAATCAAATATCTTATATGTATTTTCTGAGCATCATACTCTATAAGATCTGTCTCTGTATATAGAAACTTTGAATGGCAAAGTAAACTCGGCTTCGAAAAAAGGTGTCAGTATCCCTTTAACAGCTAGCACGGCGCAATCAGTGAATAGTACTGTTACTGGAGTCTGCCGCACTTCCTTATACACATGTCCTGTGCTGGTTAAATTACTTACCCATTGTTGTTTGAAGCTGCTGTAGTTAGATCGAGCACAATCTCTTCATTGCCGTTGCACTGTGTGGTGTCTGGGAACATCCGGTCTATCACCGCGGCAACCAGCTGCTTTAACGTCGGCACGGCATACTGCGGAACCTTTGCACACTTCTCTTCTGCGACTTGCGATTGAGGAGTCTTGCCCGTGAAGACTCGGTCGACAAGCGATGAAACAAGTCCTCTGTGCTGACTAGTTGGTGGCGGCGACGATGGGTACCTCACGTGAGCTTGACGGCCTTCCTGTGTGAAAGTGAAAACCAATATGTAACATAGGACTACGCACGAAAATGCCTATAAGCCATAGCAACGCAATACTCCCCACCATGTCATGAGCTATAGAAGATTCTGCGTAAATCAGAACTTCCGAAAAAGGAAAATGAAACACCTGCCACTATTACGGTTCCTATTACAGACCATGAACACAATGACCAATATAGCAAATGGACCTAAATTAATGGGAAGAAGGTAAAGGGCAATTGTCTCCCTGTGTCACCTCCTTTATAGTATTTTAGCACAATGTTTATTTGCATTAAGTGGCCAAAGTGCTTATGGTTCATTGTATAGTGTGCATGAACCGGCTAGCCCAGCAACAAGTACTATTAACAGCCTCTGATGTGTTGTATTTTTGTGCGTGTTAGGCAACACACAAGACACACTTCCGCAATTGTAATAAAAAAAATTCATATCTTTCCGTAACCAGAACCACCAGCAATGTCTAGTTCTTTAAAAAAATCCTAACTGGTAGGGCAGGCTCTGCCAGTTGTGCTTTTTTAAGGAACTCAATGCTAATTCATTTTCACATTAAGTAGGCAATTGAAGAAAATCATTCACAAAATGAAAAAAATGTTCCCATACAATTAAGCATTGCTTGCTCCGAGTGATTACATGTGTGATAGTTTTTGTCGGAGAAACATAATCACATTTAAATAGTGAGACAGGCATGCATGGCGGTATACTGACCCAGAATTTGCTAAGTCTTCACAACAACATTCCTGTGCAATGAAAGGTGCAATTGTGCCAAAAAAAAAAAAAAAAAAAAACATCCCTAGTTTCTGTGCACTAGTAGTCTTCCCTAGCCTCCATTACTGCTAAAGCTGACCTCATCAATGTTAAGAAAGTGTTCAACAAGATGTAAAAACCCTGCTTCTCTCTGTAATGCATCATGGGTACAGAGAGATTAGGCAATTAAATTAATAAATAATATTAGGAATAGCAGCCACAAGCCTACTTAGTTATGCGAGAGGGTTCCTTCATAAATATTGTTTCATATTGAACAGATTCAATGGCACTTAGATCTCTGTCACCACGTTTTTCTGACATTACTACTTTTGTATAAATACAATGAAATCTCAAACAAACCTCAGTACAACAAAGTTTGCAATGTGATAAACATTTCTTTGTCACCTTCCCCCTTCTTTTTTTTTAGGGGCAAAGTGGCGTCATCCGTTCCTCCTCTCATTGAGAGTCAATGAGAGTCAAGTCTCAATGAGAGTCACCTCTCATTTAGTTCTTAATATGTCCGCTAGATGGTGGCACTTGTATATAATCAATATATGATGAAAATATGCTAGATGGTGGTACTTGGAGTGTTCCCTAGACGGACGGATGTACAGACAGACAGACAGACAGACAGACAGGCAGAGGCACGGACGCTTCGCCCCACTTATCATCATTCAGTCCGTGGATATGCTGTAATTTTTTTTTTCCACTGAAAGTCATGTATATTTCTCTAAATATAACAAAACAGTTATCTCTGACAGATGTAATACAAGAGATCTTTGGAGTGTGCTAGAAGAAACAAGAATATTTGGGCAAATCTTCTTGTCTTTACAGGTAATGAGAAATTGTAATGTATTTAAAAGCTACTTCAGTGCAGACAGCTACGAGAAAATTTTTCAAAGCAGTGCTGCGATGCAGAAAGCACACTTTCTATGAGTGTACAGTAGACTCCCTTTAAGACGAATTCGAAAGGACCAGTATAATTTGTTTGTTTTATCAGGAGTTCGCTTTATCAGAAGTGCCCCCAAAAACCAAATGCTAACATGGCAAGTGTGTACAGATATGTTGCTTGAAAACACTGGAGTATACTTACAGTGGGCAGGAAAAGAACAAGAAAAAGCATTTATTTGGCTCGGCTTAATAAAAACTATGCTTTCAAATAGAGTATTTGAAATACACCAATCTAATGAGTACTCGATTTTACAAGTTCATAATATGCTCATGAATGAATTGCTACCACATTTTAACAGTGGAACTGTAGCATGACTCTGTTTTCACGATTAGAAGAAGATTAAAGGAGACAAGCTCAAGTAAACTGACTTTCTTTTTTTCATTCTGCTTTCTCTTGTTCGCCTGAATGCCCCCATCAAGACTAATGTTTGTTGCGCAGAATTTCCGTCGTAGTCGGTTGCTGTGAGAGTTTGTCTTAACAGAAAAGGCGTGTTACGCAGTTCGTCTTAAGCAGATTTTATTTGCTCTGAGTCTAAGGAAAACCAAACAAACATTCCCGAGTTGTTCGTCTTAAGCGGGAATTCGTCTTAACAGAGTTCTTCTTAGAGGGAGTTCACTGTATTTTACTACATGGGATGGCGACAAGTGTATCTATCAGAGGCTTCTGTGTTTCGCTTATTACAACAAAATTTCCCATGGTAAACTTTAGGGTTAATTAAAGGTGAAAAGTGCTGAGATAATATCAAATGTAGAAGGACTTCAAGATTTTAGGAGTGCATAAATTCATTAGCGCAGCTGGAATACCAAATCAACAACACAAGGAACTTACCAAAATGCAGTTTGACCTGAACATGATGAAGTAGGATGTCAGCAAAAAGTTCAACTCTCATAGACTACGCTTACAAACATTCAAACTTGTGTACAGTTTCTGATCATCGTCATCTTTATTATTTTTTTTGCAGCCATAAAGATTATCATCCTGTGGCTTTTTCTTCAATACATAGTCACCATTCCCTTTTGATAGGTGTATTGTAGCACAGCCTTTCCTTCAAAAACCTAAACTTGTTTAAGGTATCTGTACAAATGCAAATATGAACAAGCACAGGTGAAGCATGGAATGTTACCTCAGAAAGCGCTCTTCGAATGGCCGCTGGATGCCTTTGAATTCTTCTAGGCTCCGGCAATCTCTTATACGTCTCTTCACAGCAGATATCCTCATATATTTTTAACATCTGCAACAAGCCGTGGCACCATGTTTATCGGCGAGCTTCTAAAGTGAGTGGTGAAGCTTTATTAACACACACGTATACAGAAAAAAACAAACATGCTGTGATTGTGCATACCATTATTGCAATAGGCATTTATTATGCATTTTTATGGTGAGATGTCAAAAGACTGACGTATTCAGTACAATATAAATACACGGCACGGCAATCGGCATCACAATAGCAAATATCATATGGCGACTCGGGAACCAATCCATTCTCCCATTCTTCATCCCCTAAATGAGCGACACATAGCATTACCCTCCAAGGTTGGAAGCGCCAACTTGGTGCATTTTAGCGAAGACAGTAGTTAGAATGTTCACTCTACAGAGAAATCAGCGATGTTCGATATACATGTAAGGCATCAGACAGACTATGTGAACGATGATGGTGTAGGATTAAGTCCATGGAGGTGAAGACAGTGGTACGATTTCACAAGTCTCATCAGTCACTTGGTAGCCCCAGTTCCTAGTGCATTTCAATCCTGGTGACATTGTTACTGAATAATCGAAACTAGTGAATTTTAGGAATAGCACATTTAAATGGCTTCACGTACCTAAAGTTTTGAACCCTCCTTGCATTCTTAAAACTACAACTCCCCACTGTCGTCTTCTAGGTCTAACTGCTAGACAGAGAAAGCCAGCTTGTCATGTAGTATCCGTCGCAGGGCATTTCAAGTGTCTATGTATGCTAGCGCTGCACTAGCCAAGAGGCTGGCGGGAAAACAGGATTCAAGCCCCAATTAAGTAATGTTTTTCATTTCATTCAGGACATGAATAAAACAAAAAATGGGACCAGAATTTAGGATTATCAGAAGCTAGACGTACACTACTGGTCATGTCCAAGCAGATATCCAGCTAGAGAATGCAATGAACAAATATGGGCATTTCTTTATGCTTGCCCACTAAAACTTGATTACTTGATCATGATTTTGTCTATGACAGCCATGGAAAAGTCACCTAAAGTATTTCACTCAAACCTAATTACACTGAAACCTCATTTTAACGAAATTGCATCTTACTCTAAAATAAGTTTGTGGTATATAAAAATTCGTTATAAAGGTGTATTCCAAACACGATATATATTAGAAGACTATCCTTCAGTTACTTCTTTATAACAAAAATTTCGTTACATATAGGTCTGATATACTGACCATATCACTTATGAACTACCCGGGGTGGCAAACACACATTTTGGAAAGAATAAGTAGGTTTATTCGATGTTCTGGTAATTAATTAAATCATACGTTTTAACTTTAAGTAACATTGCATCAAAGACCACCAAAATTATCACAAATATTTTTGTTTCTCTGGAGATTATCTTTTTTGCATATTCTTCACCCTCTTTGTCTGCTCTGTCTTTCTCATTTTATTATTCATTTATTTATTTTGTTTCACAAATTTTACTGCCGCATGCCTCGTGCCCAGTTCCCCGTGGTGGGTTGTCATTCTTCCGGGAATCGTCATCTGGAGCAGATGTCAACTTCTCGTTTTCTGTCTTGTTTCACCCGCAACAATACTGATGTTTGAGTGCATTGACAGCAGTGCGCATTAAACATGCGTGACCTTGCGCCCTTACCTCCGAACTAGATAGGCTAGACGATTTCACTAGCCGCTGCGGGAACCCATCACCCAGCGCATGAGCAAAGCTGTCGTCTCTGCTACCACGGCCACAGCAGTCATCGCTGCTGAGCAGACTGCTGCCACTGCTGCTGCTGTTTGGCATCAGAAGCCGGTTTTGATGCATCTGGTCACTGATTTGCTCCAAGTTGTGCAGGGCCTCAGTGTACGAGAACTTGACCCTCATGACGTCCTCTTCCATGTGGAAGACGCGCTTCTTTTGCTCCTGCAATGGACAACATCGGGTAATTGAAGGGGGGGGGGGGGGCAATTTTGTAAAAGGATGAAAAGAAGAGAAAAGTGAGCCCCGCAACTGTCTGCAGCTAAGTGCGACATCTCAACAGTAGCTCACGACTGAATGGTTAAGGAGGGATTTAAGAAGATAGAGTGAGAAGCAAAGATCGAGAAATGAAAAAAATTAGGATACGGTCGAAGGAGTCCCGGTACAAGGCTAGAGCTGCCCGGCGTCAGGAGTTCATGAATGGCGGGCTGTCAAAGGAGTCCCAGGACAAGGCGCCGATTGGCTAGAGCTGCCCGGCATCAGGAGTTCATGAATGGCGGGGCGATCGGTGAGGGCTACGCTGGCGTAGGAGATGACGACGACAGTACCGTTCAGCACAGAATCCACCAAGCGAGTTCGTAGATAAGATGAATAAATACTAAAGTGCTAAAGTGTCATTAGCATGCATTATATTTTCAGTTCTGATTGTTTGATTGATTTGTGGGGTTTAACCTCCCAAAACCACCATATGATTATGAGAGACGCTGTAGTGGAGGGCTCCGGAAATTTCGACCACCTGGGCTTCTTTAACGTGCACCCAAATCTGAGTACACAGGCCTACAACATTTCCGCCTCCATCAAAAATGCAGCCGTCGCAGCCGGGATTCGATCCCGCAACACACGGGTCAGCAGCCTAGTACCTTATAGACCACCACGGTGGGGCAGATTTTCAGTTTTACATGCGCAGTTGTTACTAAGGCAATCGCACAATTCTCGGATAACAGTGGAGGCAATGTACGGCAATGTGAATGTTGTCAAACAATAGCCAAAGATCAGTCAGCAGCCATGCCAGCGAGTCATCGGAATGAACATTCTTGTCAGAGCAGCCAATGCAGGCACAATAACATACGATGGGTGCAGTGAAGACCACAGAAACACAAGACTAGGAGTAACTAAGCATCTGAAAGTACTTGGCAAAATTCACGTGGTGCTGTGCTGATACTCAGGACTTCCAAAAAGTGTGGAAAACAAAATATAACCAATCCAAGAAAAAACATGGGAAAGGCACAGTCTTCATGACATGCAAAACACTGCCAAAGGTGCCACAAAGAAGGATCCACAAGATGCTAAGAAAAAGGGGAGACAGAGCCAAGAAAACTTGTGTCCCAAATTTCCCTTAAACTGATGCTGGTCACACATATGAGAGCAGAAATTTATGGCTGTTCTATATATATTTGATGATATTATTCCGTAATTGAACCATACAGCATAAACCTAGCCCTCTAAAAAAATAACCCCACCAGGCAATTCAATTGCAAAGTTCTCAATTCCATGTAGCACATAGAAACACAAGCATCAATTAATGCTGCACTGTATGGTGTAGACCATGGGTTCTCAAACGAAGGTTGGTGAAACCGAAGTGTTACATGAAGGACATGTTGGGATTTCGCAGGCAGCTAGAATGAACGCTGTATGCATCCGTATTACCCCCATTAGCAACTAGTGTTGTGCATTATTGTGGCCAGGGCAGAAGTCCGTGCTCTGCCAGGCGTTCAGTTGCGTTTTCATTACCCCTTCCCATCCAACCACTTGATAAATCAATGTTGTATGTTTTCGATTATGAATAAACTTCAAACTTCAAGTTTATTTATTTGAAAAAGCTAACTTGCATTGGATTAGACATGCATTTAACGAAGGCATCCCAGGCAGCATCTACACATCGAATGTCTGTGAGCAGCAAAAAAAAAAAAAAAAAAACAGGTGGTCACAGCACTAAGAACTCGTCACCTAGTCTGCACCATGAAACTTGCATGATTTGCAGAACCGTAGTGACAGGACGCATGAAAAACTGGTAATTCATACTCGAGAGTGTTCAAACCAGTTGAACAACAATAACAAGCGCATCAGCGATTTATTTGCGGATCACAGCAAGTCGGCGATCAGCCAGCACTTTTCATACAATGTGATTCGCTACTGCACTATGTTGGTTTCGTAACCAAAATGCGCAGCAAGCACTTTTATACGCTTATGACTGTGGGGTGCACAGGCATGCAAGCTTTGCTTTACAACCGGTGTGTCAGTCCACGAGAATATCGTTGTGCAAATGGCATGCCTCTTTCTTTATTTATTTATTTTTCACAAAAAAAATTAAGGCCTCTGTACGTCCAGCACTTCGTTTGTGTGAATATATTGCTTGTGCTGCGCGGTGCCTGAAGCATGTAGTGTGTGGTCAGCGGGCGCTAAACGACTTGTAGAGCAGTGCAGGGGCATATTGCAAGTCTATGTATTATCGGGAGTTCCAAGTTCTACGCCAACAGCGATGACCTTCAATATTCAAGAAAACAAAACACGCCAATGTGGGCTATGCTAATACTGTGGTTGCGCGTGTAAGAGGCGTTATCACCTGCCCACTCCCCGCTATCGACTGTCTCCATGCTCAGAAATAGTTAGCAGTTTCGTGGCACTCTAGAACAGCTGTTGAGAATCGCCAGGGCCAGATAGTTTGGTGACCTATGGGGTAGACTGTTGGTACACTGAAATTCAGTTGGAATGGGCAATGAATTGCAAGAACAATATATTGCAGTAACTAAATGCAATGCATTGTTCTACAAAATGAACATACTACAGATACACATAAACAATGCCATGCAGCTAACTCAGTTGAAACTCTACAAACACCGCTCTAGCAGATACAGTAAACAACCATGAAATATTGAGAATTTTCTTTTCAGTTTCTTCCCTCGGAATTCATTTAAGTGAATTCTACAAAAGAAGACGTAAATATAAAGCAAACTTAGTTTAAGTTATAGTTCTACAACAAGCAAATGATTAACCTCTGACCTTGGAACATTCGCATTGTGTTATTGAGTCCCTCACACTTGGTGCGTATTGTGCTAACCTCGGCAACAATTAGTACTTTTGCTCAAATCTAGCATTTACCTATTATTTCAAAATTACATCAATGAGTATAAATTAATTCTTTATTTCTACTAATCTGGCAATATTATAAAATAATTAACTTCAGACATCCTTATGAGAGAAACAAGCAAATCTTCAATAATAGGTTAAATGGACAACAAATTATGTGCTTCCTAAAAATAACTGTATCCAACACACTTTTTCGCCACATGCCACAAAAATCATGCACATGCAAACATATGTAAGTCTATATATTCAAGTCAAGCATGTAAATCAATGGCAACTTGATTATTGAGGATACAGATCAACTTACTATTGCAAGCATTTGTAAAGCAAGCTTCACTTGGAGTTTTTTTTAATTTGAAGGAGAACCCATGCAAAACCATTTGTTGCAAAACATAACGAGACAGTTACTACATCTAAGAGGTGCTAAACTTACCTCAAGAGCTTCATTTAGCTGAGCCTTCATCTCAAAGTATGGCCTGTAAGCGATCAAGCACACAAACATTCTCCCACCCGCTCTGTCACTCTTGCATAGAGACCGTTAGACCACCGTGAGAAGTTAATCGAATGCTGAAGCATCTGGTGCTAAAACACCTCAAAGACTCGCACATCGAAGAGACACTAAAGAGCAAAACGATTTTTGGCGTATCAGTAAATTACAATTTACACCACTCTTACTGCGACATGACACTTGGCAAGAGAGAAAACGCGCAAAAAAAAAAATGCGGGTGGCGACGCCACCTTGAGATTCCTGCACCAAAAACAGTAAAGTAAGAAACTTTGATGACGTGTACCGAGTTTCATGCAGCTTCCAATCGATTAACACGAAATACATTATCATCCGTGGGTGCCACAGACTTAACATGCGAAGTTTCAGAAAACTTCATCAAGCCGATGCCACGAAAATACCAAAACTACATTGTGAAATTTCGAACGTCAAGCGCAGAGAATTTGGCAACAAATTTAAAAATTGAACTTCTACCTTGATTTTTACCACTAATAATTACCTTATGATAATGAAACACGCGACATTTGAGTTCTCAGAGCACAGTTTGTAAATCTAAACCAACTCATTGTTCCAATTTAGTGTCCCTTTAAGCAAGAAGCAATGGTACACATGCAGAAAATGTGAACTCTAATATTATGCAGGTTCAAAAAAAAAAAAAAATCCTCGAGTATAACTGGTAGTACATATAATAACACAGAACTGATTTAGTGAGTGCAGTGATGACTATACATAAATGTGATAATTATTTCAATTAGTAATAATTTTAGCCACCAGATACAATCACATTACAGCACTTGTGTGGTGTTAAGTTATTCAGGCATTGACCAAAAGCAGTGGCATGTATCTGTGTCCATAACAACATGTGCGCCCACATTTATTAAAAGTGATGCAACAGAAATTCACACAACATTGACTCCCGTTTTGCTTTACTATGTGCTAACAATATCTATGCATTTTTTCCCCTGCTTACTGACCTCCAGAGCATTCTAACCATTCTGACTACGTTTCTGGACAATGGATGCATGATTTCTAAGTGGAACAATGTTGTCTGGTACATGCTATGTCTGTATAATTTTTAAATGTGCAATGTTTAAAGTTGCACAAAAGCAATGTTTTGCTGTGTGCCATTTTATACACAGCTCAGAGTAGAATACTTTTTCGCACTTGGGTATAGTGCTCAATGATCGACAAGAAGTTATGTGCTTTTTATAAGATGTGGTGCTCCCACAAATGTGGAGTAAAACAACACTACGTGCGTACATACAGGGCTCTGCTTACTTTTCGCAAAAGTTCCACAGGTAATCGCATATTTTGAGATTTAAGCACTAGTGATTTTTACTTCAGTTTCCCAATCACTAAGAGCTTTCCCAGTGCGAACCTACTAGGTTGAGCTAATTAACCACTTTTTGTTAATTATGGGTGAATTACCACATGTCAATCAACACCACAGAGTCACCACCACTGATGGAATCAACAGTCTTTCAAAATGACTGTTTCTAAATACAGTGGAGCCTCGATTACTATACGACTTTCAGGGGACCATGCAAGACCGCCGTATAATCCGGGCATCGTATAATCATAAAACCAAAATTACAGGCACTGACACTCAGCCTTGCCTAGAAAACGGGTACAGGCCACCTGAATAAGCCCACGGCACAACTTTGTGCCATGACATCATTACTTAGTTGAAGGAGACACGAGTGAATCTTTATTCTCAACCTTAAAAAATTGAATCCAACGGGCATCTTTCCACCAATTAATGGAGTCCGAGAATTGCCTGCACGCAAAAACGAAACCACGTTGCCAACTGCTTCCCATCAGAACAGTCAGACACAGTGTCACCATAACACAGTCATCGCTATCACATAATGGCGACGGACCACGAGTTCACACAGAATGCGTTCGTGCGATTCGTGCATTACTGAGCTGTGCGTGTTGTAATTTGTTGCCTTGTGAATTGCAACTCCTCGTGTCTCGCTCGTACTATGACATTGACCTCGAGTATGAGCGTTGATGGAAGTAATTTTGCACAATGAAAACAGCTGCGTCACGCCCTTATGCGAGAGCCTGTGATGGCGAGTGCAACAAAGACAGAAGATCATGAATGTCAGAAGATCATGAATGGCAGAAGATCATGAAGATCAGCTTACGTTGACCGGGAAAACTTTTTACAGACTGGAAACGTGAAAGTATCAGCTTTCCGGCCGGCTGAAGCTACCTTGTATAGATGGAGCTTGACGAGGTAACGACCCCGGATACGTACGCATGCGATCAATGCATATGCGTGTGAACTTCCAGAAGAATAACTTTTCTATTCTAAAAAACATGTCTTACTCCTGACTTTTATACTTTTCTAATCGCCAACCTAGGATAACGCTAGTTCATATTAGGCACTTGCGAATATTTGGTCGATGTTTGATCTGAGTAAAGGCTTTTTCTTTTCTTTCGGAGGGAATCTGAAAGTCATTGTGAGATGCAGGGCTAGCGTAAAACTACGTCGTATAACCAAGGTTTTTAATACAATGTTCCAATGGCAATTTAGCTGACATCAAACTGATTCATCGTGGAACTGGGGGATATTGAATTGAAGTTCGAAACAAGGCCCAAATTGCAGCCCCTTAGATATCAATTATTTGAGACAGTGAGATTCTGCTACATTGAAAACAACCTTCAGTGGTGTACTTCAATTACATGAACATAGACATTGTGTATTGCACAGCCTCACTTGCATTCAATTTCCTATTGACCACAGTGTTAATGAAAGCAAGCAATAAACGGGCCAAGAAGCCAAAACAACTTCTTATGCAAGAAGGAGCATGCTTAGGCTACATAAAACAAGCAAGACTCAAAAAGGTAACCAAGGTTGGTTATCCAGGATGAAAAATTCGTGAAAAGAAACTGCAACAGCACTTCACGACAAAAGAGTGGGGACGAAAGTAAAAGCACACGTGTATAAAATATGTAAGGCTGGGGTACTCACAGCAACTGAAGTTCATGCTGGTTTGCTAAATTGTTAAGTTGCAGCAAACTTCTGCGTGCTGACAGACTAAGAGGTTGAAGGGGAAGGGTGAAAGGAGGGGAAGAAAACAAAAAAATATGGCAATTGCCAAACTTATAGAGCATTCCTAGAAAAAAAAAAACAAATAAATAAGGCAAACCATAGTGTGAACATACCGGGCTATCTATCTATGAGAATAGAAATGGACTCTATGAAAATTTCCTGTTGCAGATATTGCGATTTCCGTCACGTCAACAGTTTCAATGCTTGAAAAGGCAGAAACCAGTTGCGAGATCAACCGCAGAGTGATATCAGCTGGTAAATGCAACTTCATTATTAACTGGGTATAATTCGAGACATCAAGGCGTTTTGCTACTGCTCTAGAAGAATGATTTTTGAAACCCACCGCTATGCGAAGGATTTCAGCTACGTTATTATTGCTTTGCTGCTTCACAAATTTAATTTTGCAGTTCGCATACATGCCAAGCACAATACCTCTATTTAATAACTCAGGGGTGACAATATGATGTTATAGACTTATTCCACGTTTGTAAACAACTGCAGCGGTCGTCTATATATATGTGTTGGTTTGTAGTAGTAACGTCGCAGCGCTAGGCTCCGCCCAGTCGTACCAGCCAAAAGCGCGCTACCATCCTGTGTGATCATGCGACATTTGACGCAGCGGATGCGAAAGCTGCCTGTGAGCACTTCGCGTGGATGCTTCCCTTTTAACCTACCTTTCAACCCATAAAATTCTTTTATTATTGAATACGTGCATGTTTCGTACAGGTATTAATATATTTTTATTTCTCGCAAAGCCACGGCTCAGGAGGGCTAGGGTCATAGTCATGATTTCAAAACTGCATTTGTTTTCGACGTGTGACAGCCCGCAGGTAAAATACACATTAGGCCCGCCTGATGTCATTCGTTGTACATGACATTAGATTTGCCATGTGACAGGGGTACAAGTCTATTTCTCAAAGACTAGATTACCCGGTATTAGTAACACACCACTTCAAGCCATATACGACACCCATATGAGGAATGGCCTTACAGCATGCAGTGAACAAGCATGACATTCCCTCGACATTACACATGACGACTTGCAGGCATTCCTCCATTCTATGCAACTGAACACATCAAAATATTTGTGTATCGGTGGATGTTACTATGACTATAATTTAAAATCCTGCTGCAGCTAGGGAGCAAGGTTGGGGTTACAAAGCCACAAGTTAATACCACATGAATGAAATTCGAGGGGACACAATGGGATCTCCCCTCTATGTTTTCATGGCTACAGTGGACATAAAGCCTCTGTCTTAATCAGCCAACCGTGTGCGCTAGCCCAAATAGGCCGAGTCATCATACTTGAGTGAAAAGACACCATTACAAAATATGTAACAGGAACTCAGCTAAAGATGTTCCTCAATACCCTCGACTATATCTGCAATAAGGATCTAACAAATGAATGATTAGCTAATGGAACCACGATGTATTGAGCTCAATGCCCTTCGAAGCTGAATGGCAGAAAAATGTGAAATTCCAGAAACCAAATTCATTTTAGCATATTATTTGTAGTTGTTCATAAAGTTTTAAGGTGTTCGAAATGATGTCCGGAGTGTAAAAGGTAATTGTGAAAAAACTTTATTTACACAGCACCGCTTAGGACAAGAACAATAACATCATGACAAAAAATTAGCACCTTTTTCACATAGATATTGTCATTTACAGGTCATCTCAAAATAAAAATATGCCAAGTAATTCTTTGCAGGACTTGTTACATAAACAGGAGCCTTGCAATTCTCTGAGCAAGGTCGGGAACATTGCGAATAGTGACTACAAGTCTTTTCACTGGAAAAGTTAGCAATTTTCATGGCCCTCTGTGTAAATGAAACAAAATAGAATATGATAATAAGAGCCTTGCAGTGCCTTTGTGACTTCCCTATTCATTACTCCTTCAATGCCCATAGCTGAGCCACTGGTTCAATGCAGAATGGTGTCTGCAGTGCTGTAGAAATGCCTTCCCAGTCCCCGTTTTCAGCGACAAAAGATAAGCAGTTCAGAAGCCCTACCTGGCCTTGACGATAGACTTTTTAATAGCATGGTGTAGATCAAGCACTGTTTGTTGCTGGCCTTTACAGGCGTGCCATAGTCGACCCTGCTCAGCCCCACTCAGCACCCGCTCACGTTCGGCCTCGTTCACCTGCACCAATAAAACAGCTCTATGCATTCCATCATTCAATGCGAACATTGAGCTACTTCTAAATCCTTTGTAGCTTTACGCTAAAGCAGAAGTGGGTGTCAGTTTTCCCTTCCCTGAAACCCGCTCCTTATTTTCGGCCTCTGAAAAATCAATTTTCCAGTGGTACCTTGTTCAGTAAAGAGGCAGTAATATATATGTTGACTCTCGTGAATTCAAACTCGAAGGGACCTCTGAACTTTGTTTGAATTATCAAGAAGTTTTAATCATTAGAAGTTCTCAGACAATGACTCTGGGTGAGGTGTCACCACACATTATGATTATGCATTAATTTTATCCTATTTAAAAATTTTTAAGTGCTTTTAAACCCTAACTGCGCGCAATGAACAGAAAGCAGAGGTGCAAGGTCCACAAGGTTATAGGCTATATACTGCCGATCAGACCTTTTAAAGAAATCGTGAGTTGCCAACTGCTTCTTTGCTATAGGTAGGTGCTTTCAGCACAAAGCCATCTATACCAGTTGAGAAGCATCACGGTTTACCATGCGTGTGTTTTGTTTGAAACATTTGTTTACTAGCAAAGCCTTTTTCCTTGAAGGCCTGACATACCTATGTTCAATTTTTAGACTGTTTGAATTATATAGGTACGCAAATTTTTAAACAATAGTGGGAAAGCAGCAGATATTTTGTGGTATAAAACTGCAAAAAGTATGAATTAACCAAACAATGAAGTTTGAATTAGGAGGCTTTTAAATACATTGAAGGAATAAAGGGCCAACAAAAAATTAATTTTGTTTGAATTACTCGAAAGCATGAATTATCAAACCTGTAATTAATTAATGGCATCTCCTAAACCCTTCAAGCTTTGTGGCTGGCACAGGAAGCACTACTTATCGTCAGGCTGTGATGATATTGGACCCACACATACACAGGTTTGTTTACTTGATAGCATGATTTGTTTACTTGTTTACTTTACTAATATTTAAACAATTATTTCACTTTATTAGTCACTAATTGGTAGCAATATCTCAAATGAATAAGGGGGATTACATAAAAGTGAGGATAGACAGAAGTCCACTAGGTACAGGGGTAATAAATTCCTCGAGTTTACTTGGCTCAGTAGTGTGCACAGTGTCAGTAAGCAAGTTGTTCGACACTCTTGCTGTGTGAAGAAAAATTTATTAGAACCGGGATTGGTGTGGCAGTTTACAGTAGCTGCGCAGTTACTGCCAAATTTAACACAAGCATCAAAGCACGTTGATATAACACAGTGCGAGATCAGAAGCAAGGACAGCGAAGCTGGCAACGGTGCACTAACCCGGACAGTAGCCTGGTTGAGCATTTCCTGAAACATCGGGTCCAGAGAACCTTGGGTCCCCTGGCGCCGTAGGCCTTCCTCCGCCAGTGCAACCATCTGACGAGCAGTGCAATGGGCCAACGTCGCCCGTTCGTGCCGCAGAGAAGCCTTGCGTGCTGCGTCTTCAAGCTGCGCAAGCCATTCATAACACCGGTTGCAATATCGCATGAAATCGCTTTTACACAAAAAAGCTGATGACGAAATGGTTTGACGGTGCCATTCTGCATGTCACGATATCTCACTGTTGAGCCACATCATGTTCCACCGGGGAACTGTATAACTAAGGGAAACGTGAAGGACGCAAAATACGCCCTGCTCTCTTTTGAGTGGCTGGAACTTAAAAGAGCGCACAACACAGCACTTGTCCTGTGCTGTGCGCGCTCTTCAATATCCTGCACCAAATTTGCGCTCTTATGCTTAGCTCCCAGTACTCAATGCACAAGCGTTCTTTTGCATTCTGCCTTTCACCTACAGAATTTTATTTTTTATTTATTTAAAAATACCTTATAGGCTCTATTACGGAGCATAGAGTAAGGGGGGTACATAGGAAAGAATGCTAGTGGGTGATACTTCTGCCACAATACAAAGCAACTACAAAGCAAAGCAACTACAGAGCAACTAATAACTAATAAAAATACAAAGCAAGTAATAACATTGGAACTAATAACAGTGGTTGCACAAATGACAAAGAGGGGCTTCAAGCAACAACAAGAATTTCCCAGCTGCAAAAAAGCACAAAGAATAAAAACAGAATTCAAGGAGGTTATACAATGCTATTGAGATAGATGTATCATTAACTGCTCGCGAAAATTTTCATGATTAGTTAAATTGACAATGACGTTGGGTAGGTCATTCCAGAGTGCTATGGCATGAGGCAAAGCCGATGAATTGAATGATTTTGTTTTTCCAAAGATGCGTGTGATGCTTCGCTGATTGTGAAGTCATTTAGACATGTGCAATGGTGCCGTTAGTGGGAAGAGTGGTGGCCTGGATGCGTGAATATATTTATGAAGCAAAGACAGGAGGGCAACTGTGCGTCCGTATGTCTAGATGCTTTAATGAAAGGTCATGTTTTATTTGTGTGACGCTCGAGGGGCGACTGTAAATAAGTGAAATGAAACGTGCCGCCCTGTTTTGCACAGCTTCTAGCTGGTTAATGAGATAGGCTTGGAAGGGGGACCATATGGGTGATGCAAATTCCAGCTGTGGGCGAACAAAGGTTAAGTAAGCTTGTTTGCGGACGTTATTTGGCGCGTTTCGTAGGTTTCGACGTAAGTATCCCAGTGTTCTTGATTCGTTTGCAGATATGTAGGTTACATGTGCCGCCCAAGTAAGATTAGAAGTGAAATGAACGCCGAGGTACTTATACAAAGACGACCGTGACACGTTGGAATTATTTATGGAGTAATCAAATTCAACAGTTAATTTTTTTCGACTAAAGGATATTACCTTACATTTTCATAAATTTAAAGTCATTTGCCATGCACCACACCAGTTGTTAATGAGATTAAGGTCTTTTTGGAGAGCAAGGTGGTCATCGGTACTAGTTATAGAACGGTTTAGAATGCAATCCTCAGCAAAAAGCCGTATTGACAAAGAAATATTAGTTGGAAGATCATTAATGTAGATTAGAAAAAGTAGTGGCCCCAAGACGCTACCCTGAGGCACTCCGGAGGTGACATCAGAAATTGGAGAGGAAGAGGTATTAACCAGAGTGAACTGCTTTCGAAAAAACAAAAAGTTACAGATCCACGATAAAGTTAGCGAATCTAAACGAAGTTCTGTTAATTTTGAAATCAGACGGGAATGAGGTATGCATACGGTCGAATGCTTTAGAAAAATCTAGGAAAATGCAGTCGGTTTGTAAATTATTATCCATATTGAAGTGAAGATCAGTGGTAAATTCCAGTAATTGGGTGTCGCGAGAAAAACCTCGCCTAAATCCATGCTGATTCTCAAAAAAGAAGTTATTGGTTTCCAAATGACAATAAATGTGCGAAGAAATGATATGCTCAAGCATCTTGCAGCAAATGCATGCTAATGATATGGGGCGATAATTTTCTGGTGAGTATCTATTGCCACTTTTAAATAAGGGAACTACTTTACCTATTTTCCAATCAGCCAGCAGTTGTCCTGTTGATAAAGATTACGTGAAGATGTGGTACAGGATTTTACTTGAGTATAATGACGTGCTTTTGAGCACCTTAGAATTAATGTTATCAATGCCTGAAGAAGTTGATAATTTAAGTTTTCCAATAAGATTCGCAATCTCTTCAGTGCTGACGGCAATAGGTTCCATGAATGTATAATCAAACTCGGGAACTTCGGGCACTCTGGAATGATCTTCACAAGTGAACACAGATGAAAAAAAGAGAGTTCAACACTGAAGCGCTATCTACATCTGATAGACGCATGTGGTTAGCATCTTGTATACTGACAGATGTGGTAGCATTGTGAGGGGAAATTACTTGCCAGAATTTGACCTACACAAATAAGAATCGATCCCACAACAATCGCAAAATAATGTTATTGTCACTGAATTGCAGCACTACATTAGTGGGCAATTCATCAGTGATTCGGTCAGTCTTGTAATTGCACATAGATTGTGCCTTTTTGCAGGACAATACAAAACTAGCTTTCACGATTATAATGATTTACTGTTCTATTAGTCAGTTACAGCATAAAATGTGACACTCCAAATGGCTGCATTATATTTTGTAATTAGTTAGGTCCCTGAACTTAGATGAATGAATGCTATAGCTTACCATGCTTTCCGACGCTTGCCTCCGTTAGTAAAGGGTGAAATACAGATTTTTTTATAACTGAACTATACTGCTCAGATGCGCAATGCATAGCTCTCAATCACCTCATGTTTGCAAAGCAGGCCCCATGCGTAAGCATGTTTTTGCAACCATCCCATCAGTCTACACAGCAACTGCAATAAACTTGACATTGCAAATTGTAGTTTGAAAGTGTGCCAACCTCACCTCTTTCGCTTTCATTCTAGCCTCGTAATAAGGCCGCGCTTTTTCCACATGGCTTCCCAGCTTTTTGGCAAGTTGGTTAATTTTTTGTGACGACTCCGAGAGAAGCAGGCGAAAATTGGATCTTGCTTCCTGCAGCGTGTAGAGGAAACGTAACAGTGGTGATGATGGCAAATATAGAAGAACATACCAACGAATAAGAATGGCATAAGACATTGTGTTGCGAGTCAATCACCATTCAACTTACACACATTTTATGCATACTTTATAAGGTCCACTAAATTCGTTTAGTCAGGATTGTCATGCACACAGATGTACAGAGCAAGAGTGCCTTGTGCACGGAAAACCTAAAGGGTACACCTGTTGTAATAACTATGCCTACAAGGGTCTCGCCCCGACGAAAATGTATATGTAATCATCTTCCGATTGTTAACTGCAGATTAACCTAGGTCAAGTGGAAAGGTAACTTGCACAGAAGAAGTAGACTGCCTTTGGGTTTGTTTGTAAGGACATGTAAACACAAAAGTGAACTTTGAGATTAACAGTGAGTTGCCGGGACTATTTCCTTACCCTGTATTGACAATTTCTCTTTCAGAAACCGAAGATCATACGTTCATGCCTTTGATCGCGGGTTACAGGCCCGGTTCCTAAAACTATGCGGTCAGGGTATCAGTGTGCCTGTCGCTGCGAACAAGAATTCTTCGGACCAATGAAAGCGTACTCGTTGAAACAACTCCTCCATGGCTCCACAGCTTGCCTCAATATGCGTGCACTTGACGTAGATCAGTCAACGCGGAAATCCACACCATTTTAAACATACCTGTATCATCACGTAAACAGCGGCGTTTGGCTTGTTAGAAGAAACTCTAGCGGGAAGTACTCACATCAAGTTCGATTTCCAGCTTGTTTATAAGCTCGGTAGCCGTGTTCAGGCGTTCCAGTTCAAACTGCAAAGCGAAAGTAACTCAGCACCGCGTGCTCGGGCATCCGGGCTGACAATGTCAAACCGTCATTGACATCTGCGTGGATTATACTCACCTGGACACGTTGATCGAGTGGTTCCCGATCATCTTGATCGCTGCTGTCCGGCAAAGATCCTTCGTCCGAGAACGCGGTGGACATATCGATTTTTGGGTTGGTCCCTCCGCACGCACGAGTTCAGTCACGATCAAGCACAACGCGGCGACGATCAATCAGCAGTAAAGCACGGATGACATTTCTAACACGGAAGAAAAGACGCTCGTCCACGTCTGCCATGTATACATCGCTCTCCTTACGTATCTTGAATGTTTTTGCTGACGACGCTGACTTTCCGGAGCCATCGCGGTGACCTGCTATCTGCCGATGCGCCTGCCTGTTACCTTTAAACATGGCCGACACAATCCTGCTACTGGACGTAACGCAGCTGCAAAGCATGAGGTAAAAAGCGAATACCTTGTATATAATAAGTTTTTGAAGTAACTACTACTATTTAATCACAAATAAACCTCAGCATAAATTTTATATTTTTATTGATGTATAGAATGATGTGAAATTGTGAAATAAACGTGCTATGCATGGCGCTAGCAAACGTCCTGCTTCTGATATTTTATAAACGTGTAAAGCCACATGACCACATCTCTCTCCCTCAACAACATTCAGAACTCCGAGGAGAGATCCCCGCAGCTGGGAAGCCCTGTTGGGAGCGGACTACTGTGGGCGTCATGGGCGAACTTTGTTTCTGTTTTGGATGCCAATGCTGAATGCTGTCATGTTGGAGAGGCGCTTCTGAATGCAGGTAAGTGCGCAGCCTTTCTTGGTTTTTTGCTTCCCAACAACATTAAAAGTGTCGAACGGAGGCGTTTGCACTCGCCATTGGGTTGCATCGCCCCAGCCCTCTGCCAGGTAGCTTTGTTTGTTTTTCCTTGTGCGTAATTTTCATTAGAGACGCTCTTCCTCGCTCGCGAAATGGATTTGGTAAGCCTAATAATTGAGAAAAGCGTGTCGTGCGTGCATACTGGACTTCATTATTCGCTACCGCACGCCCGTTCAAGGGAAGGCGCCGACTTTAGGGTCGTCTTGCGAGTTGCTGCGAACCGATTCCGGCGACTTGTAGGGAGGAAGTGGGGGGGAGTGTGCTACGGAGCTCGTATAGACTCGCTGCAGGCAGGTAATAGACTCAGCATGCGTCAGTATTTGGCCTTCAGATGCTGTTTCCAAGAGGCGGCGTGTTATGCAACTGTTCGCGGACACCCTATTCTCTACGTGCGCAGCAGAATGTACCGGTGGTCGTCGTCGCACACATCGCACGCTGCTGTCTCTTGTCGGGAGCTAGCTTTGGCATTATTCCCTTTTTGTTCGTTTTTTTTTTCTTTCCTGTCCGCTTCTTTCAGCGCTGACCTGAGCGCTGAAGCGTTTACGCACGGCGCGCCGGGTGCACCGTCATTTCGTGAGAAATGGGACTGCAGCTGCGGTGCGTCTGACCCAGCCGTAGAACGAGCCTGCATGTCCAGGCAAAACGCGCGAATTCTGTCGGGACGTGGTGCACCGCCACCGCGTCAACTTGTGGTCAGCTGACGGCCGGTCGCGCGCTTTCGACTCTTCGCCAACGCCGCAGCGTGGCTGCGCACACATCCAATTCGTAAACTGTGGTCTTGACAGCTGCCGCAATCTCGTGTGCTTCTCCGTTCGCGTGTGTTTTTCTTGCGGCCGTACCCGGAATTTGACCAGCTGGGGCGAGCCCCGATTCCTGCGACGGCGACATGCAAGAAACTTGTCGCCTCGCCACTCATGATTGAAGGGAAGTCGCGACCTGACGTTCGGGCGGCCTTCGGGCAAGGCATTCATCGCTGCCACTAGACGCTATTGTGTGCCGTCGTCGCCGGCCCTTGCCGTTAACGTCGACCTCTCTCGAACGCACACTTTAACTCGTCGACCTGTTTTATTGATGCATTGTTCTTCCATCACGTTCTTCTTCCTTGCCGGGGCGGGGACAACTATGCGGCTCGCCTCACTGACTAGCTGGCACGCGGTCTCAAATTGCCGTGACGTCTCCTTCGGTGAAAAGAGCGATCGACCGGAATATCGCTGGGTTATGCTATGAGGAAGGCTTCGTCACATGAGCTCTTCCATTCGGAATCGAGTCTGCGCTCGATTGAGCGGTCGAGGAAAGTTTATATTCGAGTGCGAGCGCAAATAGCTGTGATGCGCACGTGAAAGCAAAGTCGAAACTTGCAGTAGCGACCCGCGAAGCTAACGAGTCTGCTCGTGATAAATTGTTTGCAGTGTCGGCAGCTCCAAGCGAAATAGTGTGCATTGTATTGCATGCGCGAGCCAAACTTGCAAGGAAGAAATTAGTTCTTGCCACAGAAGTCAATCATGGGCTACTCCATTGCTAGGTTGTGTGTAGTCTCAAATATTTGTGGAACCCTTTTACATCTGGTTACCATGCTCCCATTGCCACTGGTTTGACATGCTTTCTGTTTTTGTTTCATGTGTCTAAGCTCCAGTGATTTCTCTGCTTTCCAGCCAGTGTGAGCTATCTCTAAAGCACCACGATAAGAAAACAATTGGCATTGTCAAGCGCGAGTACATGTTGCTAGTCAACCCAAGCTTTTTGTGCACACTTTAGTTATTACATGCAAGGACAGATGATCGTCCCATTCATTAAGCAGTTGTAGCTTCAAGGTATTCATACGGTGTGCCTTGATGTTATCGGAAAAAGTACATGCGTGGTATTCGGGAAAACACCTCTGATAGTACAGGAATGTATGCAATAATGGTCAATGTATGTGCATCACACAGCACTTGGTATTTCTCTAAATATACGGGAAATAACCCTAGCACAATCTTCACAACCAAACCTGGCTGAAATATCTCGTGAGAGAAATATGTTTGCACGTTCATTGATGCACTTGAGCAAATTTCCTTACTTACATGGTGCAAAGGTCTGTTCCTATAGAGAGTTTTCGAATAGGAACCCCAAAAGTTTAGGGCCCCAAAGCCCTTTGCACATGCACGCATTGGGTCAAGCAGGAGCGAGGAGTTTTCGAATAGGGTCTGCGGCACTTTAATTACTCGCCCAATTCTTGGTCATGTCACTTCAGTGAGTGGGCGCCATCACGTTTGTCTTATGCAAAGCTTTTGGGGCAGGCTGTGGGGCTCCTGCTAAATTCGAGAAACAGCTGCCCCAACCCAAAATCCATACACCATTTCGGTTTTGCGCGTGAGCAGTGGCCTTGGCGCTATTTCTTTAGGGCCCCAAAATTCGAAAACTCCCTGTGATAGAAAGGTTGAACACATGAGGTGTCATTACAAAGTTGTCCCAGACTTGTGGGGCTTCTATTCGAAAACTCCCTATTGTAGAAAGGTTGCACACATGAGGTGTCATTAGAAAGTTTCATGGGAAATATCAGTCTTGTTATGCAGTGTGGTAGCAGTGATAATTGAGCAAAGATAATTATAGAAACATAGGCAGGTCCAATAGGGTATCGCTGTGTAATATTTCTTGATCTAGAAATGTAGAACAAACTTGAAAGAATTCATTCTTTATGATACAGTATTAGTTAATACTTCCACGAGTGCATAGTTTTTTATGTAGGTTGGTAGTTGTAGAAGGTGGTTCTAAGATTTTTAAGGAGAAAAACTTTTGAGTATGTGATTGTTTTCATGCATCAATTTTTAATATAGACTCGGAAAGCGACTTGAATAGAGTCTAAAAATTTATTTCCTCTGCACCCCATAGTTTCTGCATCCTGTTTTCTCTCTTTACCCCTACCTGGCAGTCTGTGTGATAGCCGGCCACCTCTCTAGCTCCATTAGAAGCCAGTGCCAAGCATTACCCGTGGCCGTCACGTCTGATAATGGCGTTCTCCTCGCTCCTATCCGCTCGTGCGTCTTCCGGATTTTCTCTTTCCTCAACTTTTTGCGCAACTCTTGTTTTCACTTACGGCCGAGGTGGGAGCAGGTCAGGAAGCTCCTTTGCCAACCTTGAGCAAGCAGACACGCTTTCCGCTAAATTTCATGCGCCTTGGCAAACTTGAGGCCGTCCTTGAAAAAAGAAAAAAAAAAGTTTCGTAATTTCTTGCACATTCGAGGAAAGGATGTGGCTAGAATCGCAAGTGGGAAGCTTTCACTTGAGGCGAGATATGGCACTCATTCAGTTGGCCTCTGATGTCTTCATCTTTATTTTATTGCACATTTTTTTATTTCTAAATCATGGAGTCGTTTCCTTTTTATTTACAAATATTTGAATTGGTATAAAAAATTAATACGAGAATCGAGTCTGGAGTCTGCATTTAAAAGTAATGTTCTTACATTTAGCATAATGATTCTCCGCATGCACTGAAAGCATGCGAGTTATGCATGTCAGCATGTCACGTTGAATTATTACAGAATTCTTCGGTTGCTTGTTTGTTAGTACCAAGTGCCATTTATAAATTGTATATGGTTCAAGTTGTTAACCATATTTAAGCAGATATAGGTGTATAAAAATATAAATATTCATTTACATACAGAAGTAAAAGTGCAAGAAAATAACTCAACAATATCCTTTTTCTCTTCCTCTCCTGACTATAAAACAAGCAGTCAATGGCATTATATTATTTTTGTTGCAAAATATATTGTAAGCTGTAGCTGGATTAAAACTCCTGTGGTATGTTCTATAAATATTTACCAAATTGAAATATCATTACCAGCAATGACAAGGACTATTTTGTTTGGTTGTTGTAATTACTATAGTCTTCAAATTAATTGGGCAATTCAATATATTTAACATTATTTACTTCTTTTGTGAGGTAATAATTTAGTAGTTGCCACCCCGCCCCCTTTTTTTTCTGGCTACTTCAAACACACAGAAGTGGCTTCATGCTGTAAAATACTTCTTTTATGGAGGAGGCCAAACATAAAATTTTCTCCAAGCTGTGTGTGGGTGTGTCTCACTTAGCTGGGGCCAGCTAAGTGAGACAACTTAGCTGGCTGGTACAACTACTCACTAGCTATTTTTTCCTTATTTGCTTGAGCGCTGCACACTTTTCATGTTTATAACTCGGAACTGTGGCAGTCTTCGTAAACTCGCACTATTCTCGAGCAGTAAGTTTAGGGCAGTCACCTCTGGAGAGTCTTTGTTTGAGACATTTGGCACGACTTGAACACATCCGCATCACAGTACAGCGACTGTGCTGGCACGACTCCAAGCACGTAGTCCTAGCAAGGCACCAAGAATGCTGGTGCCCATAGACGCACCTGGCACTGGTTGCATGAGATGTTGCGAAAGTGACGTTATCCCCTAAACTGATTGCCAGAGAAAACTGCGTCCTGTTAGGAAGCTGAGTAGGATTGACTTTTCTTTAGTGTGTTTAGTTAGCAATGCCGTGTTTGTCTTGCCATGCAGTTGCTACTTCAATTAAGAGTTTTAATTGTGCAGCAGCCAAAAATAAAGATTGCAGATATGTCACATTGTTACTTGCACAAATAAAAAAATATTGCTGAAAGAAAGCGGATAGCAATATGGTTGTCAATGCATCATGCATGCACTACTCATGTAGGTCAGTCCAAAAAGTATTTCGATAGGGGTGGGGGTGCTATAATTTCTTGTCATTGACTCATAGTTGTGCGACACTAAATTAACACTATATATCTTGGTCATTTCCAAAGATCCCTATGAAAATGTATAATACCCAGGTCCTATATTAAATCACATTTATCTGAATCATCTTTACAGTTTTCTAAGATCCATTATCAGGGGTAAAAGTGCTGCGACAATTGCACCATCGTGTTCTAATCGGACCTGCTGCACCAGGCTGTGCATAAACGGCAATTTATGCGAGAATTGTCGATTAGAAGGGTGAATCCAAGCAACACTGAGCATTGGCTACGCAAAGGACGCAGCCGCATCCATATCCAGTGTTTGATCACGTTGAAATTGGGCTCATTCCTGGGGTTTGCTAGTGCTTCGTGGTTTTCCCGCTGAAGTGGTGGCACCAACATGAGTCATGTTTAACCATCTAGTAATCCAGTGAAACCTCGATAATTTGTACTAGTTGGGAACGCTGCACGGTCATGAACTAAATGATGGTGCTCGTGTACAAGTGCAAATGAGCATTTCCTAATGGGTCCCATCACCACCAATAGACAAATACAGTACCACAGCAGATGTTGCCCAGAGTACCCACCAAAATACTTTTCCTTTTTTCTTTTTTGCCAAAGGGCAGAAAAGATGATAGGCTGGCAGTCTAGCACGATTGTCCTATAGCGTGCAGAGGCAATGCCTATTATTGAGATGGCAACAGATTGAACCCCATCGGCTTTCCGTGATACATATGTGCACTTTTCTACCGCAATCTGATCATCAGCCTAACTACGTCCACTGCAGGACAAAAGCCTCTCCCATGTTCCGCCAGTTAACTCTGTCCTGTGCTTGCTGCTGCCAATTTATACCTGCAAACTTCTTAATCTCATCTGCCCACCTAACCTTCTGTCTCCCCCTAATCTGCTTGCCTTCTCTGGGAATCGAGTTAGTTACCGTTATAATCTGATAATAAGGGACAACTGAAAGTTTCATTGAAGCACGGAGTGGTCGTGTGGACTCGATTGAATTTGGGTAAGTTGCGTGCAGCGGAGCGCCCGTGCCATCACTGCATCGTACGCACGGTTTTGCAGTGTGAATTGTTTCGTCCCCACTCCACTCTAAACCAGGCCCAGAAGAGCAGTGTAGTGTGTTGATTTAGTGTGGGAATAACAAATTTCTTCCTAGTGGAGTGTGCCGCGAGTATAAGCGGTCATGAAAACAAGAGATAAGGATCGCTTATCCCTTGTTTTTTCAGAGTTCTCTGTTAACTAAGCTGGGATATTTAATGATGAGAACACATGCGCACACACTCACACGCACTTTGAGCGTGGCAAGTCTGGTAAGTTCATTAGTACTGAATTCATGGGGAAAATTGGAATTTTTTTACCAGAAATAATTCTGATTGGCGATAGTGTTTCACCCTAAAAGCTGCTCCAAAACTGAATTGCATTGCTCCAAAACACACTTTTTGGTGGTCAGAAACTGCTCCAAAACTTCCCTTTTGCTGAGCAAAAGCTGCTACAACACAGTATTATTACTGCTCCCTGAGCTGCTCCAAAACACTAAAGTCCACTTCCACCCCTGATTCTCCATATTTCATGCTGCTTTCATTAAGTTACACTGCCTGTATGTTGTACAAGCTTGTTTTGAGGAGGGCTGGCTTATCGGCATGCATGATCTTGTAGCACTGCACTTGGAACTTCACATTTGAAGTGTTAGATCTCGGGATTTCTCGGTTGGCTACAACACGTGACTGTTCCTTAATTGCAGCTATATGTTTTTAAAACTCTTGCTAACTCTACTGGTTTGTCAAGGTTAAAGTTCAAAAGCCTCTACACATATTCTGTTGTCAAGCCATGCGTTTCGAACCCTCCGGCTAGTTTAATTCTGCTTTGATTGAGCGAAATGCCGCTTTGTGTATTTGATTTCTGAAGAAAGGTTGTTTCTATGAGAGTCCTTCAACAGCACTCAACTAAACGTGTTGCTCCTATGAAACCTTTCACTGCTCAGTATACAGCTTAGTCTTTTTCACAGCTAGAAACGGAAGGTACAGTGAAACATATTGGACCACTGCACTGCTTATCTTCTTTATTTGGAGATGAGACCACATATGTGCTACTGGGAAAACATGCTGTGGACCAGTATATGTTAATGGGGTTCTCATGGCAACCTTGAAGGTGTACTTATGCATTGGCTTCCAAATTTTTTATAGCTCGAAGACGTAGCTGTCTATGCATCTTTTTACCCCTGTGATTCATTTTAACTGTGCTGAGCATGTAAAATATCAGGATTACAACTTACCCAAGGGAGTGCCGCATTAACATTTGCTTTCCTTCTTTTCTTTTTCTTTGGTCAGGTGGCATCTCACCCTTCCAAGAGCTGTCTTGTTGGTACTGTTCTTGTGTATGTAAATATAATCACTCATCATGATCAAGCAGTCTTCCTTCCTCAAGTGGGCCCAAAACAACAAGAACTCCGTCAAAAAAGCAGTAAGTACATGGGAGCAGTCATTGAAGGGTGCAGATTAATGCAAAGTGTTAAATTTTACGTTTCCTCGACTTTATTCTTCTCCAGTGGAACTTTACTTTTAATGTTTTTTTATGTGGTTAGTGTAAACCTACAGTGTGTGTTATGATGAAATGGTGGTTCAGTTGCATGCATCTGCATAGCTTAATTTTTCTATGAACCTTGTGGTAAACAATTTTGAGGGAGGATTCGGGGATACAGTCGTAAATTGGGGAAGTGTTATTTTACTAGAACAGAATAAAAACGTCTCGGCTGAACTTTGTGACATTTGTCGCTGCGAAAATGCCGGCCTGAAGTGTTAAGCAGCGCACTTTAAGAAGCAGTGTAGTGCATGCTCTTGTATTCTCGTACATATTGCTGTACATTTTCATACAGTGTCACATATTCTTTTATGTATTCTTGCATGACTTGCAGAAAGCGAAGATGAACCGGGTAAGTGTCTCCCCAGCATATTAAGCTGGTGTTAATAAGGCGATAGCTTAGAGCAACATTATGAGACCAACATTGAAAACAAGGAATGTATAGGGGACAACATTTTCATTATTTAACTGTAGTGTAGTAATTGCGACACTTGTGGAAAGCAAGTTGACAGTAAACAACTTTGCCGCCATTAGGGATTGAACCTTCTACCTTCGGATAGTGCGTCGGCTTCCCATCCACTTTGTTGGGAGTGTTAGCCAAAGGTTGTTGGTTTCAACCCTACTGCCAGCGAGGTTGTTTCTGCAGTCGCATGATGTGATTATTATTTATGTAATATTACAATTACTATGCTACAGGCTACAAATATGGTCTCAAGTACTTTCCTGCGTCTCTCATAAATATATGGTGGTTTTGGGACGTTAAACCCTACATATCAATCAATCAAGTACTTTCCTTGGCCTTATTGTCTATTGGTTTAATCAGGTGGGGCTTAACCAACAATTGAGTCCTTGATTCATTCTTTTTCATTCATTCATAGATGAGAGCAGTGTGATCGATTTGCATGTGATTAAAAAAAAGTGTTAGCGTGCAAAGACATCATACATAGAGCTCAAAATTGGCTTTGTCCAATCTCATATTTTGTGAAAGGTGGCCAATCTGAGAAAGATATTTCGACAATTTCTAAGCAGTTGAATAATGTGGAGTCGAAGGGAACACCAAAAATATATAAGGCCACAGTTAGCGCTGAATTATTTTTGAACAGCCATATTGCATTGCTGACCTTAAATGCTCACAATGGTAATGCTCTTCCCATGGGTCTATTGTGGTGAACTCTGGCCATGGTGGCCTCCATGTTGACAAAGTTGTGAGCATGCCCATCTTAATGATGCGCCAAACAGTAACCAGTAATTTCTTGAAGTATAAATGTTCATATCACACAACATATGAAGGTGCTACTGTTCAGGGTGTCATAGATTTTTCACAATATCCAGGGCTTTCTTCAGTCTTAAGATTAAAAAATCAAAAAGCAGCATAGCTAACCTTGGGAACACTGTGTACAAATGCTTCCAACTTAATAGTGTTGTGCTGTTCCTGGCAAGACTTCTCTACTGACTGTTCAGAATTTCATGGTTGGCAGCATATGAAATTATGGCGACATTTCTGTTTTAGCCATGCTTTGCTCTTATATTAACTATTATTCAGAGAGCGTTGCTCTATAAAGCTGATTGTGGGACCGGAAATTTGGTTTTATGGGTCATCATTGTGCCCCATCTATTGTAGGTGGCCGTAGATGGATCCATCCAGCAGATGCTCTGCAGAAAGGACATGTTGCGTATCTGGTCAAGGTACGTTGACTTCTCAAAACACATTATGTTTATTAGGGGAAAATTCAAGATTTCTTTTTTTTTTTTACTGCATTGTTTGTGTATTTAGGAGAATTATGGCATTGACAGGCAATGTGACACTGAAGCCCGGCATTATGGTATACCAATAGCTCCTTTTTTTGTGTGTGTGTGATGCTCAAATGCATCATTATTTTACTGCAACCCTGAAATTCGTTTTTGCGAATCTCTGCTGTGAATATCAGATCTTTGTTTCCAAGGTAGTCTGACTGTAACTAGGGTGAAATCCTAGAAACAATAATTTAGGCATGAATTATCTCCTATCTAGTTTTCATAAAACAATTGTAACACATTGCTTGGCTGCCATCTCATTGTCAGTTATATTTACTGAGAAATTACCTTGAAGACTCGCGTTATACTCAAGTCTACTGCAGTAGTTAGTCTTTAGTAATTTTTAACAGTGCCACGACACTTTTTTGATAACTTCTTGTCTTCGCATCAGTATCATATTTACAAATAATTCATACATTGTCTTTGTACAAAGCAGTGCGTTTTGAACAGTGCCTCGCTTCATGTTGCAGTTTCTCGGCTTCACTGAAGTGGAACAGTCCAAAGGCATTGAAGTTGTTCGAGAGGGAATACGCAAGCTTAAGGTATGCACATTTGGCAAGCAATGCAGTTTGCAGTGTAATGAAGCCTGTTGCTGCTAAGGCCTTGACGACATGACTCTCGTTCGCAGTTTAATCAGCAGCTGAAGAGGTCTGAAGGCGGCAAGGTACCGAAGGTGGAGCTGACGATTTCAGTCGATGGTGTTGCCGTGCAAGATCCCAAAACAAAGGTTGGTTTTTGTTTGTTTCCTAAGCATTGTTTGGGCTGTAGCAATACCATCCACCAATCTAGCTTAACATCGTGGATATTTGTGAATATGCTGTCATGTTTGGCCGTGATGCACAAACGAACTGTCAGAATTTACGTTAATACTAATATGTTTCGCTCAGTTTTCAGTTATGTTCTTTTTGCTCTTGTCATCTTCGTCAATGCCAGTGTTAGTGTTAATGAACTTCGATAGTAAAGTAGCCTACCCTGCAAGCAGTAAATGCACTTTTAGGACACCTTTGTTAGATGTCTTTATTCTGGAGGCCTGAAGCTTTTTTGGTGTCATTTATTTGGTTGTTGTGGTCAAGAACCAAATGCTGCGAGGAAGGAATTAGATTTTCACTTGTTATGACCGTGAGCTGTGTTGAAAGCACTATAGCAACAGGCACAGTCGAATGTTGTCTAAATGTGAGCAGATTTCAGTTGCTTATATGTACATGTATCTGTGCATGTCGCTGTGATGGCTGCTATTCACATTACGGGATGAATGCAGCTGCCTAGTGCAGTCAACTTTGATCAAATTACATTGTTTTCCAATAACTTGTGAAAAGCGTGTAAAATCGGCCTATACAAAGACAGAGCGAGGAACCTCCAATCAAAATGGGTAAACAGTAAAATGTTGAGCATTTCCTGAAAAACATTGATTTCTCGTCGAAGTCATTGGGACAGCCATGGGTAATGCAGTAGTTTTCAGCTGTTCACTTCATACTTCGGCAGTAACTGCTGAAAGACTAGTCAGGTATTTTTGTCTAGAAGATTAGCCTGAGTGGTAACTTGATTATGCCTGCCACCTTGCATGATGGTGCTGCTGTGCAGAGTACATACTTTTTTTTTGTGCATTGAGCTAGTTGTCATTTAGTGTTGCAGAGGATATTTCACCAGCACCCGCTGCATCGTATCTCCTACTGCGCGGATGACAAAACTGACAAGAAGTCATTCAGCTTCATCGCCAAGGAGTCGGATGGTGAACGGCACTCGTGCTTCGTGTTCTCCAGCGAAAAGTTGGTGCGTAGCGCTTCGATTATTGCTGTTGTGAAAAATGTTTGTAGAGGTGCATGAGTGTTTCCCTTGCTCCGATCTGCCATGGCTCATGAACTGCATTAGCACTCCGTAATTTTTTTTTGCACAAATATCTGTAATCTCTAGGATACACAATGTATTATCATGAACGTTAGAAGCAAGCCACCTTGAGGACCCTCATGGCAAAAAGTACAAGCAACTGAAGAAAACTTAAACTTAATGCAAATGTCTAATGTAATGTTAGATATAGAAAAAAAAAATAACTGAACGTTACTCCTGTCTGTCAAGTCCTATTTCTTGGTACACATCTGTCTTTGCAATTGTCTCCAGCCGTGACTGTTGCATTTTAGTTACGGTGACGTGTAAAGCACACCGGGGGCCTTGATTTACGTTCACATTACAGAAAGCCATGCAGTTCCAATTGATCAGGACTCTACCACTACTGCGTGCCTCGTAATCGTACTGGGACTTTAGTATTTAAAATCCTAGCAGTTATTAGTCTTAATTGTTTCTTTGACAAACACCATCTTTGTTCATCACTGAGTCAACTTGTCTGTGTGCATTTACATGATCAGCTGCTTGAATTTCAGCCCAGATTGGGAGAGCTGTGATGTATAAGTGAGCATGATAATTGCGTGAAACTTTTGCAATGGTAATGAAAAAATTGTCTACAATGCATTCAAGTTGTATAAGTTGTACACTTTTACCATAGTTCCTTAATTTTGATCACGAAACTGCTGCCTCAGTTTAATGCAGAGCCACTAAGGACACCACGATAAAGGAATGTCCGTCTACTGGACTGGCTGCTGCAGGCGACTCTTGTAGTATATTTTGTTTTGTTCGCTGCGTCACAGCCAAAATACGAGCTGCTTTTCGACAATATTTACATTTTATTTTGACGTAGATACTGTACGAGTAACACTTCACACTTTCAGAATGTTTTCGAACCGAAGACAAGGCACATAGAAAAAGTAAACAATGTTAAGTGTAGCTGGCGGCTCAGTGTGTCAGTAGATGGCGTGCATATACCTTTTAGCTACTGTAAAACTTGTCTTTATTTGGCCCAACATACCTACAAAACAGATACATGACAGTGATCTATTGTATAAAGAATAACGTATAATTAACGTTTACATTAAATTGACAACCTGAGCTCAAGGTCAAGAACTGGTATTTCCGAAAACTTCAAATTGCACACGTGGCAATCGTGCAGTGATGATAGACTATTTTTGCGCAAAAAGAAATGTTTTAGGGCGTGCGTTTGCTCTTGCAGATATCCACCAATGAAATGATTTCTTGACGGCAACTGTCGTTTTCAGGCCTCAAGAACTTGGCTAGTTTTCATGCTTATCAGTCAAACGGTGGGACACAGTTTTCTAATTCGTCTTTTGTTGTCAACATCCCGAATGAAAACTGAATGGAATACTGTCCCCTGTGATTCTGTATTGTGCTTATTAGTTTATATCTTGTACAAGCAGGGTGACAAGAACTGACGCACGATTGCATTTCATTTTGTACTTCTTTGGCAAACCAGGACACTTGATAGAATTTTAACTGCAATATTTCTTTTAAGGGGGGACATGGGTCTTGAAACAATTTCGCTTACTTTTTAAGCAAACTTAACGAAACTTGCCAGTCTTGTTGCTTTTTTTCTGCTGATTTGAAATATGCAATTATTTTTTCCATCAGCCAATTAGTTCTCAAGATAATTAGAGGTAATCCGCCATGTTCTTCCGTAACAATAAAAAAAAAAGTATTTATCAAAAAACTATAATCTGCATATGTCAGATACTAGAAACACTGGTGATTGCAACATAGCAAGCAGTTTTTTTATTAATTGCTTGTAAGAGATTTTACAGCTAACTGAACTTGAGCACTTGAAATAGTGCCACCAGTCACCCAGAAATAAAGCAAATTTAAAATTTGCTCGAAAGAAATTTCAAAAATCTGTTTGCTACATTGCAAACACCACCCCATTGGCTTTGTCCTAAAAAAAAAAAATTATAGCTCTATCTACCCGCAGTGCTGAGATATTGCTTCGGCAAGCTTGCAAGAAGTCAGAAATTCAGCTTTTGAGAAAATGAGCAAAAACACAAAATGTCAAATTTAATGGGAAACACCAGGAAATATTTACATGCTTACACTAGCAAGTGCCTAGTATCCACCAGGAACATAGTCCTTTTGACCTTTGTCAACTCTTTGGCGCTTTCCCAGGGCCTGCTTCACATTTTCAGCCGACACATGCTTTCGAGCAGATGCGGTCATCCTCCGCTTGTCCTTCTCTGCCAGGCGTTTCGAGTTTTGCCGGCCAGGGGTCAGGCTGAGCTTTTTGAGGATGCCTGTTGCAGCTCTTGTATAGCCAGCATTGAACTTCATGACGGCCTCACCGACAGCAGCCTCAACAGTAAACAGTGAAGCGTGCCGCTCCTTTGGTGCAAGCGCCCAGATCATGGCGTGCAAGCTTTCATTGTTATTTTGCGTCTTGCCACGCTGGCACCGCTCCAGCAGCTTCCTATCCGATAAGCGCTCGTAGACAGGCAGCAACGCTTCACACACATGGGCGGGCAAGCTGTAGCGGTGCTTTGGCGGCGGCTGTCCTTTGGCCTCGGCTGCATTTTGCCGGCACCACGAGTCAGGGCCTGTTGGACAAAGGCTGTGGTTGGGTGCATCATCACGTGAAGTGACATGTAAGTAGGTTGCCATAACAGCCCTGTGCGTTGCATCTACATCCCCCTTGTGGGACTTCAAGGCCCACCCATAATATGATGTCAACTTGTTGACCAAATCTCCAGTGAGTCTGCCCTTGCCCCCAAGGCCATGCCCCTTGTGCTGGGAAAGCAGCTTTCGCAGGTTTGTCCCCATGCGCTTCTGGACGTGGTTGACGCAGTCCTCCTTCAGGATGTCCATGTAGCCGTACACCTTTTCTTCCTGCAAAGCGAGGTAGGCCCGACTGTCTCCGTCTGACAACACGGTTGTGTAGCGGAGGTTGTGTTTGGAGAGAGACCTTCGGAAAAGGATAAGTGCGGCCTCAACTTCCATTTCACCAGCTTTCTTGCTGGTGTTTTTTTGACATTGGTGGTTTTCCACCCACGTTTGGTACGAAGGGTCGTTCTCCTTAGGCTTCTGCTCACAGGCTGCACAGAAATTGCTCAAGACAACATAGTCCAATACAAACCCTGTAAAAAGCTCAATCACCGTTCCGACGCCGATGTGGGAAGAATGTCCGCGAGTCATCCAAGACCCATCGTAGGAAACGGCGATGTTGCCAGGTATGTTTGTACCGAGCTCGCGATAGAGCTCTCGAACGGAACTCGCGCACTCGGTCATCAACTCCTCGGAAGCAGAGGCCACTGCAGGCGTCAGTTTTTTTTTCACATAGTTTTGCCACGTCTTCGTGGGCAGACCCCGGTGCGATATATTCATGGCAGAACAAATGTCGTTGAGCGCCGTTTGACGATTGCCGGTGCTTTGCATTGCACGCGCTGCGAGGATGTAGACACTGAATGGGTTTATGTTTTGGTCCCCGGCCACACGCGGCGAACTCCACGCTGACGAAATGTCACCACAGTTGACGCACGTAATCAAAAGCTTCACAGCCAGACCGTACTCCCGATCGCATTTGCTGATATTCACATCACCGCCGCAAGTTTTACACTTTACGCACCTCAACAAGTCATTCACACAGTCTAAGCTGATGACGACGAAGCTCACGTTGTCAGCCGAGTCGGCCGCGGCACCGTCACTGGCAGCAGCCAGGCGATCTTGTTTTCGCGTCGTTGCTGAAATTGACGCCAGCTCTTGTAGCTTGGCTTCGGCATTTCTCGCATTTTCGTGCAACTCTGCTGGCTGCAGGATTTTTGTATCAATGCGAACGCGGCCACTTCCACTCGCACTTTCACACGCTGGTGGAGCCGTTAGGCCTACACCAGCTGGCTCGGCGGCGGCGATGCTTGGCGCTGATGACCGGCCGTCCTCGACGCTCGCTGCTGGTGCTGCCCGACGCTTCGTGGTGTTAGCAATGAGGCTTTTTTTTCTTTTCTTTCCGAAGCTGTGCACTGAGTGGAACTTTCCCGCTCGAGACGCCGACGCACACCGCTCCATCGTCGATCGCAGAATTCAGGAATGGCGCCGACGGGGGCCAGCAAAGCGCGCACAACGCAGCCAGAGCAGACGCCACAAGCCGACTTCAGCCAATCATGCTCTGAGAAACGGTCACGTGCACTAAACAACCAATCGTAGCATGCGTTTTTACTCTTTTTTGATGGTTGTTTTCTCCGCAACCAATGAACGCACAGAAGTGACAGTGGCGGGAATTTGAAGGCGAAAAACTGCTCTTTCAAACGATACCAAAATGGCCGCGAGTGCAGCTGTAAACATGGAGTTACGAATTTATAAAAAGCTGGTTTTTGGTGTCCGGAGCTGCGCGAATTCCGCACGCGCACGGGCTAGGAATTTAATATTACAGCTAAAATATTGATCGGAGAGATATGAAAGTCAGTACACCTGTAAAAAAATACCTGTAGTTTCTGAAAATGCTGTTTACAAAAAATTGCTTTTTTGGCGATTTTTCGGCTCCAAAGACCCGTGTCCCCCCTTAAGTGAAGCTGTGCAAATGCCTATGATAGAGATATAACGGACTATTTTCACTTTCATTCAGCACTAGGTTTCTGTGGAGTTCAAAAGACATCTTAAGGGAGTGTTGATTCTGAAATCATGCTTTCTTTTTGTTGTTGTTATTGTTATTAAAATGAGTAGCTAATGGCCCGCTTACCTCTGCTGGAACACATTTATTTATTTATTTATACAATACTGCAGACCAATTGAATGGTCCAAGCAGGACGGGCAGAAAAAAAAAAATGTTCACGCACATACAATGCAATGCAAAAAAAACAATGAAGCAACAAAACGCAGAATTCACTTAGAACTACAAAATAAACAAGCCACGGTGAAACCGACTTTTCGCACAAACATAGCAGGGTTTCCAATACAAATAAAACTAGAAAATCACGCACAATTTCAAGAAACATTGCTAAAAACCCGATCGCCAGTAATTCAAAGTTTCTAAAATGATCGTGTAGGGCTGTCATAAAATTTCCACTAAAAATTCTTTCTGGCAATTTATTCCAGTCATCTACCGTGCGTGGAAAATATGAAAACTTAAAAGTATTTGTTCGGGCAAAGAATGGGGATAAACTGTGGCTATGTGTGTGTCGTGTTTTCCTCGTGGTGGACGGACTAATGAATGGAGTGGGTGATAATCCAGTCTTACACTTAATTAGGGATTCCATAAAAGCTAAGCGGGCAATTTGGCGTCTAATGTGTAGTGGTTGGATTTTATTGAGTGTCATGATACCTGACGGAGAATCGCTTCTTTTATATTTATTATAAATAAAACGAACAGCCCTCCTCTGCACCTTCTCCAATTCGTTAATGTTTTTGTTCGTGTACGGGTCCCAAACAACCGCTGCATACTCCAGTTTAGGCCTAATTATGGAATTATACGCTAAAAGCTTAACGTTACTAGGTGTACCTCGAAGTTTATGCCGTAAAAGACCAAGTTTTTTTAGCGCTGAAGAAGTTACCTGCTGAACGTGGTCGTTCCAATCTAATCTGGAGTTCAATACGATACCTAGGTATTTAAACTTACTAACCTCCTCGATTAAGGTGTTTTTAATTTTGTACCGGAAAGTTATGGGGTTTCGTTTCCTGGTTATACGTAAAAGAACTGTTTTTGTAGTGCTAATTTTCATGCCCCATTTGTCGCACCAAGATGATATGTCACATAAAGCCCTATCTAGCCGATGTTGATCAGAAGCAGACTGCACTTCAGTATAAATCATGATATCATCCGCGAACATTCCAATATTCACAGTATCACCAACCACAGACACTAAATCATTAACATACAACAAAAAAAGCAGGGCCCCAGCACACTTCCCTGGGGCACACCTGATGTCACTGTTAGAGAAGAGGAACAAGTACCATCGATGTCTACAAATTGCGTTCGATCTTTCAAATATGAATTTACCCAATTTCCATGTGTAGAAGGAATTCCTGCTTGTTTAAGTTTTAAAAGAAGGCTACCGTGAGGAACCCTGTCGAATGCCTTGCTTAAGTCTAAAAACAAAACATCAATTTGCCCGGAATGATCTAAGATTGAACTAAAACTATGAACGGCGGTGACCAACTGCGTAACGGTAGAAAATCCCCTTCTAAAACCATGTTGGAAGGGACTCAATGTTTTATTTTTTTCCAGTACATTAAGAATATGGTTAGCTACAATATGTTCTATCATCTTGCAACAACAGCACGTTAAGGAAATTGGTCGATAATTGTCAACATGGAAACGGTCTCCTTTTTTAAAAACTGGAATTACCATAGCCATAAGGCAATCATGGGGCAGCACGGACGTCCGAAAAGATTCACGAAAAATGACTGTCAAAAACCGAGCTAAAGATTCTGCATAGCGACGCAGAAAGGCGTTCGGGATTTCATCCGGGCCAGTAGTGCACTTATGATCTAATCGCAGAAGCATTTCAAAAACTCCTTCAAAAGAAACAAGCTCGATCTGTTCCGAATGAGGCTCCATATAAAATTCATCACCTTGATCGTTTGAAAACACAGAATGAAAAAATGAATTGAAAGCATTAGCAATGGAGAGACGAGATGTTTCCATCTTGCCATCAACCAATAATTGATCGACCGATTTACGTGCACTACGGATGTGATTCCAGAACTTTCCTGGATCGTTTAAAATGAACTGAGGCAAACTTTCGCAAAAATACCGTTTCCTTGCGGATTTTACGCTGCTCGAAAGTTTGGAGACTAACCTATTTAAGACATCACAATCGGGACTGCGAGTCTTCTTGATACGTTTAATTCGCCGTTTTAGGTGAATAATATCTCGGTTAATCCATGGATTGACCCTTTTGGTTAGTTTTTTCTTATCAGGTATAAAAGACTTTAAACAAAATTTGCAATGCTCTTTAAACATTTCCCACAAATGCCGCACATCATTACCTTGAAAGCTTTCGTAAGCTATGTCAAGGTAATCCAAAACAGACTCGTCCCTCGCCCTGGAGTAGTCTTTGACATATGTATGCTTAACTCCCGCCAAACGTTTTTTAGGTTCTAGAAAGACATTGGTAACTACAACCTTGTGATCAGAAATCCCGTCAACTACATTTATTGAATAATCAGAAAAACTGCGATCTAAGAACACAAGATCGAGTACGGACCTAGCTGTACCGCTCACGAGGTCAATTCATAATGGCTCACGAGGTCAAGTAGTTTTTAAACTGCGGCCATGACTCCAGATTTGTAATGCATGCTGGCAGGCCGCCTGGAACACGCAAGTAACGGCCTTAGGCCTGAGGCACGGCTTCCCCCTCGGCAACGATACAGTGTCACCTTTTATCGTGAAATCATGCACATAATTTTCAATGAATAAAAGTTCCTTCGCACACACATTCACATACTTTGAATCAATGCCGAAGTCGTTCTTTTCGTGCCGCGTTGAGGCTCATTTCGAGTTTTTTTTTACTTTCTATGAACTCCTGGCATGCAAAAAGATTTTTCTTTAGTACTGCCCTCAAACGGCTCCTTGGTACGGAGCAGCTGAACGGAATCATCACGCAAATGTGCAGCTTCAGCTTTATAATAACTGAACTTGACCCTTGTCCAAGGACGCAGGGTACACGGGCAAACTTTCAGCCTGCACCAGCTGCATGTGCGGTCTCCGCAGAATCAAACCAGAGAGGCAAAACGTGGCCTCTAAACAATTGCGGTGCCGCGATGTCGCAACTTCCCATGCCATGTCAAGCTCCCTCATAGCGTGATTGCGAAGTTTCATGACCAGAAAGAGTATTGAAAGGCTATGGTATCACCGGGCTGCTTGACAAAATGATTCTAATGCATTGTATCTACATAATATTTTGAGTAGCATGCTGTTCTTTACATATGTACAGCTTTCTTTTAGGTTGTGATGTAATCAGAGCCTCAATTGTTGTTATTGTTACCTCATTCCCTGCAGGCTGAAGAAATCACACTGACCATAGGACAGGCATTCGACTTGGCTTACAGGAAGTTTCTTGAAACCTCAGGCAGAGACCTTGAGATGAGGAAACAGTTCATGATTCTCCAAAAAAGAGTGGGTACTTGTTCCTTCCTTATATTTATTTCTGGTAGGAGTGATTACTACTGTTGCCTATTGAGAAACTCAAGCGCATCTGTTCTATATCTGCACCTCGTAGCCCATATTCCCATGACGACTCCTTTTTATTGCTTGCTTTTGCCTACTGAGGCAACTCTTTTGTTGCACATCTACTACATTGCGAGTGATGAAGTAGCCCTTATAAAACTTTTCCCTCAAGTTTTGAAGAGCCCGCGACATTTCAAGGACTCCTACATTGTCGGGTCATCCATTCATGGGGCGAAATGCACTTGGATCATCACCATCCTCGCACTGTTTTACGTCCACTCAAGGATGAAGGCCCCGTCTAGTAATTTCTAATCCAACCTGTCTTGTATGTATGCCTGCAAACTTGTCAGATTTCATCACACCACCTAAATCTGCCATCTTCAGCTAGATTCCCCATCTGTTTGTACCCTCTCTTTTGTTCTTACAGGCCTCTGTTTAGTGAACCATGCTTCATACCAAGTTCTAGGTACTCGCTGCAGTGCATATTTTGCGTAAAATGTTCGCTAAACTGTAGTCTCTGAAAGGAAAACTACGTGGTTGATTAGTGTGCTATGGCGCTCAAATCGACGAGTCTTGAGCATCAGTTGTGCAAATGTTTTGTTCTGTTATCTATGTCATCTGGACAGCTAGGTAATGTGAAGACGTGCATTGCAGTAAAGCCTCACAGAGCACTCATTGACTTTGAGTTAGTTTCTTAGTTTCCTTTTTCTTTGTGTGTGTGTTAGTGTGTGTGTGTGTTTGGGGGGGGAACCAAAGCCATATGTACACTCATCGCGACTTGGAGTACAGTTGCTGCATTTCTTGGCATATGTGCGTTTGTTAATGTGACCTTGCTTCGTGTGCTTTGTTTAAAGGTACAAGATCTAGAAGAAGAAAACAGTCGACTGCGCAAGTACCTTCGTGACGGCGATTACTCGCATGGGGACGGTGTTGCCTCCCATACAGAAACAAACAACCACAAGCCAAAGGCTAAGGTAGGGCTTCTCACTTTTGCTTGTTTGCTTAAGCGTAAGGTTGGCGCATGGATTTGTTTGAGAAAGTGCTTGGAAACTTTAGCTGTCTTAGTTTCAAATGTGATGAAAACTAGGTCAGTGAGAAATTTTGAGTTTTGTTGTGAGTTTTGGTTGTATTGCATGGACTGTTTTTTGTCTGGCACTCATTCCTTCGTGTCAGACAATCGTGGTGCTTATTGCTATGTGTACACCAAGGATAATGCAAACTAGTATGGGGCCAAACTTATGAGCCTTGACTAGCCTCATGTTTCATAACTCATCTTAGCCCATCTCAGTGGCCTAGTCATAATGAAGCTGGCCCAAAGGTCACTGATTCGAATGCTGGCAATGCGTCTGGAAAAAATTTCTGAAGTCCTCCATTACAGTCTTTCACTATCATATTGTTGTTTTAGGATGTTGAGCATCAACAATCTCTATTATAATAAATAATAATGCATATGCTTGCCAGTACACATTTAAACTGTCTGACTCCTGGAATTAAAAAGGAACAAGTTGAGATTCCACTGTTTCAATGAACGACAGCAGTTTAGTTGCAGGTGGGTCAGATTTTGCATATAGTACACTAGCACAATTTTCAACGCTTACGAAATGCCACTTGCCCATTGTCATTGGTATGAGTCTCTCCGCTAAATTGATAACGACCACAGGTTCGAGCAATCTCAACAAATGGTACCAGCAAGCCCAGCTCAAGTAACGTGGTCCCAGAGCCTCTGCCACCTCCTGTTCCTCCCCGGGGTTCTGACCACGGCCAGGTGAGACCACTTTCTGTTTCTGTGCCAACTACAGCAGTTGCATGCGGCCAGCATTTACGTAATCTTTCAGCTAATGGTTAATCAGTCTTGCCGTGAAAATCGTTGGGATGATGCCAGCATCGACTTTTGGGTTAAAAATTATGTAGGCTGTGTTAAGCGATGTGCCGCAGTGACTGTGTAAAATGTGGCTACGCTGGCAAGTGCAGTGCCACGTGTGCACTCTCTTGAGGCATGTGTCAGCAACGGTTTCAGGCAGGGGGGTAAATTGCATGAAGCTGACACAGTGGTCGTCCGCTTGGCAAATGGAGAAGCGGAAAGCTGAAAAGGAGAAATTGACAATATTGTACAAAAATATATTGCAATTCATATGCAAATAGAGAGGCGGAAAGCTCAAAAAGAGGAATTGACAATATTGTACAAAAATAGACTGCAATTCATGTTTAGTTTCAGTGCGCACGTCATGGAGTTCTAATCAAACAGATCACAAGTGTAAATCTCATTATAGGTCAAACCTGCCATCTCGGCCTTCACATAGGCAGATATATCAGAAGTAGTAGAGGAGGCTGCGATGTTATGCCGGGAGCCACGGGATACTGCTTAGTGAGCCGCACGTTTCCGTATCCTGCCCCAAGGGGTACGGAACAAAACTTCTGCCATGGAGATTTTCAGCCCAAAGGAAATCTGAAATGCTGAAGGGAGTTGACGCAGCATTATTTTCAGGCAGGAAGTTAAGACGAATGGACACACTTTTCAGAAACTATTGCACCTGAGCAGCTGGACCGTGGGCTAGAAGTGGCAATGCCTTCACAAGCAACCAGTGTGCCAAACATACTTATGGCTGTCAACACATATATGACACTTGTACAGTTGTGTAGGCACAGCCGATGGGAGCACACAAAGCTAGAATGTTTGTTTGCTATTTCTACCGCTGACCCACATGATGCTATGGCTCTCAGTGTATCAATCTACAGTACCTTCCTTACGAAATTCTCTGAAATTCAATGTGTAAGCATGCATGAAAAAAATGCAGCATACGAGAACTTACTTTAATTTTGATGCTTCCCTTACTTTTTAAAATTTTTAGTTTGTATGCCTTTAAAAAGAAAATCGACAGCCACCTGTTTTTAACACGAAGCCACAAGCAAATCCATATGAATTTCTGCAAAAGAAATCTGTTTGGATTTTTTTCTTGTGTTCATGCTACACAGGTTGTAGTCAACTTTCCTTTTTTAATCCTTATGCTACCTTGTGGGAGTCTGCAAAACTGATTTGCAGTATCCCTTCAACTGTCGTGTTTTCATGAAAGTAAAAGTGGAGCACACTTTAGCTTACTTTAGTCAAGTGGCTCTTAGCTACATTGGCAGTCAGAATTACTTGGAAGCCATCTACTATGGACTCTTGCGTCCTGTTAAACAGCTGTAAGATTTGAAGGCTATTAACTTCCATCGATCAGTTCTGTAACCAGTAGCTTCACTATCATGGTGTGTGTGTGGTGCAAATTCTTTTTGTGGTCTGTTACCACTTCCTGTGGTTGAGCCTAAGAGAGTATAACCAAGGATAAGGCCATTGGTTTCGAAAATGTGCAAAAGTCTTAATAGAAACTAAAACCATAATAGCTGCATAATACCAAACTACTCACTGTAGAACACAGCAGGGAACGTTAAGTGCTGGCTGGCACTATGAGATGCCAAGAACAACCTTGACCAGGCTACTGGACGCACAGCTTCTGCCCGTAGCCCAACTGCCGCTGCTTTGCCTGCCAGCACTGGAATCCGCAAGTCTTGAGCCGGAGTCCACCAACCATTCCTGCGGTCTCCTCGTGCGGGAACGCAATGACAGGAGGCTCCAGCTTGTTGTACTCCTTGGAGGCTCAGTACGCTAATTGACTGCTCGTATTCAACGCATGGACCTTTGATCTAGTTGCCATGTATCCTTGAACTCCCTTGCTCTCTTGAGCTGCAGCTTTTTCTGCCCTTTCGGTGGAGTTCTTTTTTTCGAGGACACCCGAGTTCTCCTGGTTGTAACCGATTGGCTCTTGGAGGCTCCGTGTAGTTTTCGGATTGGATACCTTTTCTGTAATTTTTCCAGTGTTGTGCCCCATGTCGTGCACATTTCACGTATGTGCCCTCTTTGAATGCGCACTACACGCATCACACATAGGCATCCAGGAGTGTGAAGTCCAGATTTTCTTTCTTGCTTTGGCTTTCACGCAGCCTTCACAAGACCTTCTTGGCCTGACGGTGCCAACTGTTGGCACACGTCTTGAAAACTTGTCCATGGATGACCTGGAAGACTTCAATCCAAGAGCAGAGACTGAGCCTGTACAAGCCAAAACTAACGGGTGTTCAGAAGCGTCCACCAACGGTGAGTTCCCTCGAAGCCGTACTTAAGAACGAAACCTTGACGCTTTGCAATAGTGTTGTGTTCTGAATGTGTCCGTGCATCTTTCACTTCCAAATGAAAGAAGACAGCTCGGAAGACTGAGTAAGTAAAGGCACACGTGAGCTTCACATTATTGTCGCTTTCAAGACTGCACTTTACACACTGCAATGTGCTTGAACTGCTTTAGTGAATTGTACAGGGGCATATTTCTTGGAGAGTGGCATCAGATGCTTAGAGGGGCAACTCAGTGGTGTGTGTTACTACTGCTGCAGGTAGTGTTGTGTTTGTGGAATGGTGATGTTATGCAGAACATCTAAGCTTTGCCAGAATTCCTTGTGGCTTCAAAAAGTCCATTGTAGTTTTTGCTTTTGAAACATGGGCTATGGCTCTGTGGCTAGCAGAGATGGCAGTGCAGATGGATGACTTTGCTTAATGGTGCATTCCGGAGAGCAGTGTTTTCGATGGGTGAACGAGAAAGACTTGGAACATGACCGTGCCTACTGCAGTCGCACCGCTCACACCATTGAAGCGCTCACCACTTGACTGACCAGTAGTTTTTTTTTCTGCTTATTTTTTTTTTCGCTCTTGTGGCAGCAGTAGCGAATCGCATTACTTGTTTCATTGTTTCTTGCTTTTCTTGCTTTTAGTATGAAATGATTAAAATGGCACTACAGCTTTGTGAAGGTAAATCTCTGACAGCAGCATTTCATTGACTGCAAGCTGTGAAGTCTGCACTTGGATGTTATGTTTTGAAGGTGAATTCACCGCCAAGTTTTTCAAGTTCTACTTCACACTACTCATTTTTTATTCAGTGTGATGTTAGAACACTTAATTATAGTTACAAAAAAGAAAACAAAGTAAGTTAGTCTTTTTTTTTTTTTTCAATGAATAGTCAACTTGGCATCTTCCCAATTCTCTACTGGCAAAAAAAAAATAGCATGTCTATAAAAAAATTTTCCCTAACAAAGAATTTTTTTATTTTGCTTGATTTTGCTGCAGTTTTAAAATACAGAAATTCTTTGCCCTTGCCGCGTCTTCACTACAAGTGGCATTATTAGAATTATTATTTTGAAGTGTAATTCATGATGATAATGGGCAGCGTTGTCATACTTACGTCGCTTATAAAAAAAAAATGGCTGGAAGGGGAAGACAGAAGCTTGCAATGAAAAGAATCCGTAAATGGGTTGTGTGCTCGAGCCGACATATAGACAAGTGGACTACTCTTCTAGGCTTCAAGTCTAGTTTTAGCCTTGAAAAAAAGTTTTTGTCGAAATGTCGGCCTGGTCACGGCTTTTTTTTATATCGCTTATAGTCGTATGACTCTTCCTTTTGTTTGTTGTCACCAGCCTGTTGTTGTCACCACTTCAAAATATTTCGAGTCAACATGCCAGTGTGCAATGGTGTCGTTTTAATGAAACCATAGCAGTTGGTATCGCATCTTTCAAGTTCATATTAATTCAAACAAAAGCGACATCATGCATCTAAACTTCTAGTGATAATATCGTATACACAGTCGCTCGAGACAATCTGGTCACTCAGTGATATTTGCTCCAATGCAATTCATTGATAAGTCATCCATCCATAATGGACTGGCAGGAGATCGCTTAAGACACTGTAAATAGAAGCATGAGCACAGTACTTAGATTTAGGCCCTTGTTGAAAAACCCCTCATGGTCAAAATTAATTTGGAAAATCCCATTCTGCCAATTACTTTGTAATCATCTCGTGGCTTCAGCTCATAAAACTCCAGATTTTGTGTGTTCTCTCCACGAGAACAGTTTTTGACACAGCTGGTGCATTGGTGTGGTGAATGCAGGTACGTTGGACACGCCGTCCAGTGTTGCCGCCGCCAAGGACCTCTTTGGTGCAGAGCCGTTTTCGCCGACAAAAGAGGAAGACCCCTTTGGCATGGGTGACTTCTCGGACAACCTTGGAGGTCAAGAGCTGGAGAATGCGATTGGCATAATTGACCGCAGGCTTAACGAAATGAAGGTGTGTTCTGCTCTTCGAAGCGGTACCGCTGGTCGTGCAGTTTCATGTCCGTTTTGCAACACCCGTAGGTATGATTGTAGTGCAGCCCCGCTGCGGTGGTCTAGTGGCTAAGGTACTCGGCTGCTGACCCGCAGCTCGCGGGATCGAATCCCGGCTGCGGCGACTGCATTTTCGATGGAGGCGGAAATGTTGTTGGCCTGTTTGCTCAGATTTGGGTGCACATTAAAGAAACTCAAGTGGTAGAAATTTCCGGAGTTCTCCACTACGGCGTCTCTCATAATCATAGCGTGGCTATGATGTTATGAGAGAACCCCACAAGTCAATCAATCAATCAATCATGATTATAGTGCAGTTTTAAACAGTCGCTCACCAGGTCAAGTAAGAAAATTTCATTGGGCACTGGAACTTGTTGTGTGCCCAGTGATAAGCATTCTGCCATAAGAACTTTTCAAATCTGTTCACCAAGAGCTGAGATAATCACTATTTCGACGCAGCACAAACTGCAATGCAAAGAGGCGAGCTTGCAACTCCTGCTACTTTCCCAGTGTAGCTTTTGCAAGCCAAATACCCTCCCTGCTCTCATTGGCATCAGAGCCAGAAGATCACATGACACATGCGCGCGAACATGTCATGCGCACGCAGTCACGTGTGCGCGACATGCCCGAGCATGAGTGTTGTGTTATGTGCTGGATTCTCTGTGGTCTACTGCCTGTTCCTGCGGGATGGAACTAGCAGTGTGCACTTGTTTGGAGAGGATGGCACAGATCCTGGATTAACACACCTAAACGCATGGCTGGGAAATGGTGTCTGACAATACACCAAAAACGCGTCAATTGTCAGGGCTGGCACTTGCACGGCACGGGAACAGCGAGAACACCAATGCATCTGAAATGGAGGGAGATTAGGTTAGTTTCATCTCGCTGCAATTTGAGTAAAATATAAATGAATAAAAATTGCACACATTCCACTTGTGTGTTTTATTATTTTGCTCAATATTGATTCATCAATTGAAACAGCAGATTACACAATTTAAGCACGTCGCCTCGAATAATTTGGTGTCGATGCTACTGTGTGCATTGTGAAAGCTATGATAGGGCTCTTCCTTGCAAGTCATTCCCTCCATCTAGGGGTGCATGCTCGAGCCCGAGAGGTGAAGAATGAGCGAGGTTCAGCTTGAATTTTGCAGCACGTAGCGTTGGAAATTGAGCTGACGTGATCGTGAGCGCCCAGTGTATGTATTGTGCTCATCAGCTCGAAGTGGTCAGATCTTTGAAGGGCCCTTTAAGCTTCTCAGTTTTGCAAGTCATATGTACAGTCACTTCCTCTCATTTCAGGATGGTTTCAGCCGAGGACTCTCCTTTGGAAAGGATGATTTTCTTCTTGAACAGTTGGACCCTTTGGGAAGCAAGCCACTTGCCTGAATTGATGAGTGTGAAAATTGAGTCAGCAATGTTATTGTGCCCCACACTTCTTTCCTTTTCTTTTGTTTTTTAATCTAAGCTGTTTTAAGCTGAATATTGAATTTCCAGATTTCTTTTTCTCATTTTCTCCACGTAATTTTGTCATATTTAGTATCAGTAGTGAGGCACAACACAGCAGAAGCAAGTTGCGTGTGCTGAGAATGGACCACACATATACGCCCAAGCCTACTTTCGTTTCATTCATTGTTTTAGACGTGTTTGTTGTAAGAGGCTCACATAATCTCTGGGTGTTTGCATATTTTTCAGTGCTTTCCATCTTCATTCCACAGTTCTTGAAAACTGCTTTGACCAAACCAAACAACTAGCATTTCTTTTCTCCTGTATGTGTGAATGATGCACGGTGCTTCTTTACCACTACTTTTGCACATCACCTAGAGGACAGCATATGGGTGCACATATACATTTTTTTAACTGTCTCAAAAGGCTAGTCTTCATGATGAAAGCCTTTTATTGTATTTTTTTAAAGCTTTTTTTTTAAACTCTCTTTATATGCAAGGTTCCTTTTTTTTTTTTTTTCACTTGCTGCGAATGTTGAGTGTGTTGCCTGAGAGGCTGTGCAGTTGGATGTGCATATAACCAACCTTGAATATAGAAAAGTATTTTAGCCTGTTGGCCTCGTCCAACACTGGTTTCACCGTGCGAGCAGAGCCAGGCATTAGAGCTGTGATTGTTTTCCTCCTTTTTTTTACTTTTTCATTGCTTTCTTTCCTTCCTCTAGCACAAGATTATACGCTGATAACATATCTAGGCACGCGTCTGTTAAGGCTTACCACCACTGTATAGGAAGCCATGCGCCGCTTTTTTCATTCATCTCGAAGTGTCTTAACAGATGTCATGCCTGAAATGAATGTAGCTAGGTCTTGTTCCAATAACTTCCTACCACAATGACCAATACATTTTGAAAGATACCGGAGGGAGGAGGTGTAGCTTCACGTATGCCGATATCTGGGAGGGTGTCTGTCACCTCTTAATAGCAATAACGCAGGTTTATGTAAGCCATGTCCAGTGTACACATCCTTTCATCCACTTCAAAAGGCAATTGTTGCATGCTCCTAGCATGGACTTCTTGTGTATAAGCCTACGTTGTGCTGTGTTATGATAAGGTAAATACTGGACAAAAGTGGCTTGAAAGGGCAAAAAAAACTGCATGCCGGAAAAAAAACTGCATGCAGGCAGCATCATGGTTTACATCCACTACCATTTCGTCTTGAGTCTTTTTGAACACCCAACCCAACGGTATCCAATAATTTTTAATCTGCCATCTTCGAAGACTACTGACCAGCTCTACACCCGAGACTTCCACTCCGGTTTAATTAATGCTCTTTGTTACATAAGTACGATGGCCTGCGTGCTTAATAAGGCTACGTTGAATTGTGGAAGTTTGGCATTTAAAAGCGCTTCCTCATTTTTCAACTTCCAAGTACGAGCCCTGTGATGTGGAACATCAGAAAGGCAATGCTCTGAATGGGTTTGTACAATAAGCTGCGTACAGGTCTTAAGCCATTGGGGCTGATACTTATGGCCCAGAACCTAAATGTTTTAAGGCCTGAGCAGTTACAAGGCCAAAATAAGCTTGATAGGATTGTAAAGCTTTAAATTACTTTGGTGGTTACGGCTCTTCTGCTACCGGTTGATATAAGGACCGACAGACAGTGTGCCAAGTTTCAAAGATTTTTTATATAGAGCCGGATTAGAGCTGTCAAATGTATTTGTTATTGGTGTTAAGGTGTAGTGAGAGTGGTTTTCGTAAATGGTCGTTCTTCTCCACATGCTATGCAATTTGACGGTGACATGACGGTAGTGTGTTAAAGGTATCGCGCCTGAATGTTTTTTTTTTTTTTTGAAGAACATGCCAGTGAGCCTTCGTTGGAAATGTTCTGAATTCTTGAATCTCTGCTTGTGTCTGTAGTAAAAGTTGTTGCAGGCAGTTGTCATGAGTATCTCTCAGATCTACTCTCATTGGCACCCAAAAGAAAGCACCATGTAAGAAATGTTGGTTCAAAGATGTGTAATGTGACATTGTTTGTTGACAATAAAGCTGTTTTTTTCTTTCATTTCTAAATTTAATAGAGATGACAGTCAAATATGCTCAGTATTTGTTGCATGTCTAGGTGTACGTTGATGGCATCTTCAATTGCCGTTGTGCCCTTGCATCAAAGATTGATAAGGTCGTTCTACTACCTCAGTTTACTGTAACTGAGAATAGATGCTCCAATAATCGTTCTCTATGCAGGGATTAACCCTTTAACCGTTTCACATGGAAACAGCTCGTTTTTGCTCAACTGTCGCCAAATCATTTTGTACATGTGGCTCGTTCACTTGATAGCATTTCCTCATTATCATTTTAAACTAGTTTCCAAGCTTGTTTATGTGTTGCTTAGCAAGTGGCGGCACTTGCTTGGCAGGGTTTAATTAACGATAATTTTACTTTCTTTACGAGACTTTCATTTAGAAAATAGCGTCCAGTGAAAGTGACGAGTGCATTGCTCGTGCATCGTTAAGAAACGTTTCGTCATTGTCAACCCAGACTGCAGATACTTGGATACTGAAGTTTACCTTGATTTTGGAAGTGAGAGAGATAGTGATGACACTATAATCAGTAGTTCATCAGATGAGCAAGACTGCCCCCTAGTCGTTACGGCACTCGACTGCTAATCTGAAGGTCGCAGGATCGAATCCCAAATGCCGCGGCTGCATTTTCAGTGGAGGCTGCTAACCCTAAAGTCGCAGGATCGAATCCTAGCTGCAGCAGCTGCATTTTCGATAGAGGCGAAAATGCTGTAGGCCTGTGTGCTCAGATGAACTCAAGTAAATTATGTGTAACATCTTGATACATGTATACCGATAGGTGGTATTCAGATTTACCTCTTAGTTTTTTTGCCCATAACCTAGTTGACAAGCATATTTCTCCATATATCAGTTCTACGGCACTATATTTGAAGAGCCTATCTTCGTCAGTGCATTTCATGGCGTTTACACGAATTATTTAAGGCAGATGGCAGAAACGCTGCTGTTATGTTCCTAGATTTTTTTGTATTTTAGTAATCATAGGAATTGATGCTTTGTGCTTGAATCCACCGCGTGTGCATGGTGCACATCAGTAAGACTTGGTTTTTAGACTGTGTATTTACCATGTGAGGACACATGCAGGAAAGAAGAAAAGACACTGCGCTTACAATACGAAGTTTATTTTCTTGACTGCAGAAAGTACGAGTCTCTATATAAAAAAACCGGGGAACTTCATTACGTTCTGTAATGGTTAAAATACAGTGGCCCAAATCGTTCAACTGTCGTGCGCAAAGGTGACTTGTGTGTCTGTACCATATGATCTTAGGAAAGTACAAAAAATGTTGTGTGCATGTTGTAAGTGGGCATGCACTTGCCCTCACCATTTTTGTAACTGAGTTCAGTGTTATGGTGAAGATAAACAGAAAGAAATTGCTGCTCAAGAACGTTAGTATGTACTATATAATATTTTGGAAACTGTACGTATTCTTTGTGTGGGTGGCATCATTTCATATTAGAACTGCGTGATATATTGCCCTGCATGAAAAATTTGTGCATCTACGTAGTGTCTTAAGCCGCGGCGTATAAATATGCCTGGAAGTTCAGCTCCAGAACCTAAAGTAGATATGAAAAGTTCGTTCACTTCGCTCCGTGACAAACATTCGCGTATACTGTAATTGTGTGCCACACTGGTTAACACTATTCATGTGCCTTAATACACATTCGAATCGAAATGGGGTATCTGTATGTCGGTTTATAAATTGTCTGAAACATACACATATCCACAAAAAAAAAATCTCAACTTGATTACATACTGTCATAGTTAAGGTACGTATTCCTTGTGCGAGTGGGAACATTTCAAATTACATCAAGAGATTGCCCTGTATACGCGTATCTACATTTGAAATTGCCTCGGCATACATACACCTCGAAGTTCATGTTGGAAACATGACTTGAACGTTACATGTGTAAGTTGCGTTCATTTGGCAGTTGATAGACTCTCTGAAGTGCTCTAATCATTTCGTGCCAGACAGGTGAATGTATGAATGTAGAACACAAATTTTGTTGAAGTCGAATTAAGGCATGTGTATCTAATCTCCGGGCCACCTCTGAAACATCGTCGTTTGGTTTGGCACACAAGCAACGTATAGGTCGCCAATCATGTTTGCATCGTTATTCATTAGCGGAAATCCACCACCATCACGGGTTCGGTTAAAGCACGGCGTCGGGCACGAAAGCGTTCCGTTCGTCTTGGAGTTGCAGAGCCGCTGTTCAGCAGGGTTTCCTGGCGAGTAGGACGTCGGTCAGGTCGAAGTACTGCGGTGCACTGCTTGCACCAGCCTTCAGCAGCAGCGTTAGCTGAAAGCAACAACGATAACCGTTTCGGTTCACCTTACGAACGTGGATGGGTTGCGGTCAAGAACAATGCATGATACTCCATCCTAAGGTCACTGCCGCACTACTGCTATTTAAAGGGACCTACAACACTTTTTGAGCAAGGCTTCCGTGAACACAAAACCCAAATATAGCTCAGTACGGGGCCTGGAATTTACAATAAATTCTCAGTCGCCTAGAAACCGCTGTCTTTTCTAGGCAAACACCGGTACAGACTCGAAAATCACTGCGTCACAGGCCAAGTATCAGCCATTGGCTGAACTGAGCATGGTGCATTTGGTCGTTACTGGGGCCACCGCGGGAGTCTGCGGCCCATCAAAATGCTACCGTCAAAATGTAAACACTGCAATTAACTTGTTGCCCCGCCGCAGTGGTATAGTGGCTAAGGTACTCGGCTGCTGACCCGCAGGTCGCGGGATCGAATCCCGGCTGCGGCAGCTGCATTTCCGATGGAGGCGGAAATGTTGTAGGCCCGTGTGCTCGGATATGGGTGCACGTTAAAGAACCCCAGGTGGTCAAAATTTCCGGAGCCCTCCACTACGGCGTCTCTCATAATCATATCGTGGTTTTGGGACGTTAACTCTTTCGCTACCGCGCCTATTCAAATCGTTCAATTTGAACGATGCATTTCAAATTTGAATTCTCGCGCCGCTGTGCAGTTTACGGGCACCTAGCGCCATCTAGGTTAGAAAGTGGGAAACACACGAAGGGACCTGCGATGTTTTGCTTGTTTTTTGCTGCGGAGAAGTCTTTTCTCGCTGCGATAAGTTTCCGGTTGCGGCGTGCGCGTACCGATCATGGCGTCGTCATCACGCATAGACGCTCCCAAAAGACGACACGTTTCTCGCGAATCCGGCTCATCAACAGCCGATTTTGAGGATGTAATGAGCAGCAGTGAGTCTGGAGAAGATGTTGACTCATCAGATTTTGGCACCGATGACGAAGATGCGTCAAGTCAAACCGCAACGTCCGACAGGTGAGTGTTTGCGGTATGCGTGCCGCACACTTTGTTGACTAATCAGTGGTTACAAGTGGCGGAGCGTGTACTCATAGCAATTTTACTCATTTTCAGGGTCTCAACGCTCTACGGACATGATTCCTTGCCTGCATCTGTCAAGCGCGTACAGTTTCTGCCGAGACGAAACCCGGGGGTCGAAGTCGGCGGCGCGCTCCGGAGTAATGCATGGCGCTTCGTCCGGGCGGTCGATTTCTTCCAGTTGTTTTTCACCACGCAGGTGATAAGCATGATCTGCAACTACACGAACAAATATGCGTGGATGCATATTTTAGAGAGGCAGACGTACGCGGAAAGAGACGGCTCGTGGAGGAACTTCAGTCCCGATGAAGTGATGAAGTGCATTGCAATGCTCATTTACATGGGAATTGTTGAGTTGCCTCGCCTTCATCTGTATTGGAACACCTCCGAATTGTTTTCTGGTCTCATTCCTCCGAAGATTATGCCGAGGAGCCGTTTCTTTGCGTTCCTTGCCTTTCTCAGTGTCATGGATCCGGAGCTGACAAACCCCGTCCGCGATGGCAAGCTGCACAGGATATCAAACCTACTGAAGCACATCAATGACGTCTCTTCGCAGCTTTTTCAGCCGTACCGCAACGTGTGTGTAGACGAGAGAATGGTAAAGTCAAAAGGAAGATCGGGAATCCGTCAGTATATGCGGGACAAGGGGGTCAAATGGGGGTACAAACTCTGGGTCCTCGCAGACTCAAGGACAGGCTACACTGTCCAATTCAGTGTTTACACCGGGAAGAGAGAGGCACCCAGCTCAAAGGAACTCGCTTATGACGTTGTAACGAGCCTCTGCGAGTCTTACTTAGATCAAGGATACATCATCTACCTCGATAACATTTACACATCCACGTCTCTGTTTGTACACCTACTTGAGCGGAAAACTCTGGCTTGCGGAACAACACGCAAAGATCGCCGCGGATTCCCCCCCAGCTGAAAGATACCACATGGGAGAAAAGAGCAGCTCGAGGAGACGTTCGCTGGATGCGATGCAGTGACGTGCTGTACTTGCAGTGGAAAGACAAGCGCGTAGTAAACTTGATGAGCACAGCACACACAGCAAACAAACACGTCATAGCAACGCGAAAAGTGAAGAGGGCAGACAGATGGACCAAGATTCCCGTTAGGAAGCCGCTTTTGATAGAAGAGTACAACAAGGGCATGCTTGGTGTTGACAAGTCGGATCAACTCATTGCTTCCTACAACGTGTTGATGAAATGCGTGAGATGGTGGAAGACGCTGTTCTTTCACTGCATCGACATTGCCATCGTGAATAGCTTTATTCTTTTTGAGACACACCGGAGGGATCACCCTGAAATAGATGAGCTATCAAGAAAAACTGGCTTTGACCAGCTCTCATTTAGAATTGAGCTGATTAACCAGATTCTGGGCATGGATGAACTCCCCCTCCTCCCCCTCCTCTGGACATGGACATGCTCCCCCTCCTCCACCTCCAAAAAAGCCGGAACACAAGCCCCAGGTGCAAGAAAAACGCCGAAATTCCAAGCTCTGCTACGACAAACGAAAGACACAGATGAAAACAGCAGTTTTGTGTCAGCCATGCGGGGTCTATCTTTGTTTCATCCCGACGAGGGACTGCTTTCGAGAATGGCACGAGACGCACCCTCACTAACTTTCTTTTTTGTGGGAAAAACAGTTTTTCGCAATAATTTTTGAAACTTGAACAACCTTTTTTCAACATAATAAGCTACAAATTGTATATCTTCAGTTTTTTTTAACCTCATTATTTTTTAAGGTATACCCCTTTTTAAAGTGTTAAATGTATAAACACTGTATAAACTTTTCTATATAATTTTTTTTTCATTATTATGTGTAATAAATATATGTACAACAACTATGTTATTGGACAGAACGTTCTTTTAGCTACATTTTGGTACCAAACAATGTAAATAAGGCATTAGTATCTAGCCGTAAAAAAATTATTTTTCACACCTAGTAAAAACGGCCCCTTTTCCCGCGGTAGCGAAAGAGTTAAACCCCACAAATCAATCAATCAAATCAATCAATTAACTTGTTAGCAGTGCCGGCTACGTTCCTCAACATCTCCCCAAGGCTTTGGCTGGCTCCGGTCCTGTGGACAGACCCACACCTGGATCTCCAGGTTGCACCATATACCCTTAATTTTCTTATTCAGCTAATTGATTTTGTTCAAAGTCTTTGAAACTGATTAGGCGTCAGGGAAAGTATTCGCTATGTTTATGAAGGAGTGTTAGGTCCTTTTAACTCGTTTATTTTACAACCTCGACATTGCGAAAATCTCGTGCTCTAAATAGGGACAAGCTATCCCATTGTGCTCGTTGCTAATCCGAAGGACTTCAAAAGCAGGGCCTGCAGAGAAGCCTTCGCTGTGATTCGGTGTTCTACCCCGCAGTGCAACAATGCACGGAGGTTGTTTTTTTTTTCATGCGTTTCCCTTTATCAAGAATCTGTTGGTGACAATATTGTTTATGCTTAGTCGGATCTACTATATACCAAATGACAGTTCTTCGTTTTACGAGTACCTAATGATATTCCCGAAAAAAGAGCTGCGTTGTAACAAATTTACAATTGGGAGCATCGCGCATCAAAAGTATATTTGAACAAATAAACTTGATTTCTATATACTTGATTCAAACTGTGTGTAATAATTAGTTGAAGCACACATGTTCACATGCTGTCACGTGTCCATAACTACACCATCCGTGCTTGGGGCCATTGTGCTTGCCAGTGGGAACTGATCTGACGGCGCTGGTTATTGATGAGTAGAGTATGAAGCGCGTTGTACATTTTCTTGGTATAATTTCGCGGGTCATCGAAAGGCGAGTGTGCGCGTATTGAGTGCACTTTTGAAAAATGCGTAGTTGTACAGTGTGTTTCAGAAATTTCAAACACGATAGTTTTGAAGAGCTCGTTTGGCAGAAATTCCGGTATCGGCGTGGGCGTCGTTGGTTGCAAGGAATATGCAAATAAATAATAAAGGGATCCTGGTCCGAATGAGGATCGAGCTCAGGCTGCCTGCGTGCCTCAAAATTTGTTGAAACTCCTTGGGAAAAAATATATATATATGATTGTCATGTGGAGGTGAAGTCTCCTTAACGCATAGATTGCGTGGCAGAAGCGTAGAATCGCTCCAGGCATCAAAAGATTCGAATTGAGCAACCAGTTGGTGTTTTAAATGACAACTCGTTACAAAGCGCTCAGACGTATTTAATCATCATCAGCAACAGAAGCATGAACAAAGTGAACAGCTTCGTGGATTCGCGTGTTGCCCCATGGAGGTGTAGCGGGCCCTTCGCTGATTAGCTAGAGGATTGATTATGGCGTAGTAGGCACACAACTGTACTTGCAATGTGCATTCGATGATACTTGGAAACGGCCAATGTTACGCGCGCAATCGTTCGTTCTGGCATGGTGGAAACGTGCACCGAAAACCGAAGCGGTTCAGAAGGCTATGCGCATAAGGCCGAATTACGCTATCGCGACTTACTCCCGTATTCACAAACGCTCCTCGACTCGACTTTCACCCTTCACTTGACAGAGTTGAGCAGTGCGCCACTACTCGGCTGAAAATGACGCTGCGCTACTCGAGAATCACAGCAGATTTTGCTTGGTATGTAGTGACTTGTCGTTCTTAGAGATGGCGCTCCCGTCGGCTTTCTCAAGTGAAGGTGAAGCGTTGAGTGAAGGGACGTTCTCAAGCGTCCTACAATTTTTGTATGAACATGCCTCATTACTAAAATTTACTATTCACAACTGCCCAAGAACTGTGCATGAAGATAGAAGTGGCGTTTGATTGTCTCTTTCTATTGTTAGTCACTTGTTTACACGCTCGGATTTCAATAATCCTGAACGACTATAAAGGAGATCTCCACACATAAAAGAATTTGCGGGTATAGTTGGAGGCAGTACTGGCATGACGAGTTAAGCGTGTGACTGGTAGCTATAGTGAAAAACTCGGGATTACTTTTGTACGCAATATTTTTCGCGTTGTAATTTTGCCGCCAATTATGACGTCTTGGTGACGGTCATGCTAGATGACGCTGGCGACATCGTGGCGCGTGGCCGTATGATTATTGTGATTGCAGTATGACGCGGCGATGTAGTTTTCTACGTCTCCGACGCCACAGTTAATAAGGTAACTCTAAGTACACGACAGGAAATCGTTAAAGAAAAGCAAGAAAGACAGCCACGGTAAATTAAGCTAGAATGGTAGGGGAAAATTGCTTAGAGATTTACAAAGACACCAAATAAGGAATTTGGAAAAGCAGCTTTGATAATACTAATGGCACTGCCTCGTGACACGAGCCGGTGGCGTTAAAAAAAAGTATTACGCAAGCTTCGCACTGGGGGTGTTGCAAGCCTGAAGAAAATGCAGATGTGGGCAGCCTTTGTTTCCCTTCAGTTTTCTTTTTCCTTGCTCCTATCTGTCTCTTTCATTTTTTTCTGTCTTTGTCTGTTTATTTCCTCCTCTCGCGTAATCCGTTTCTTTGTCTCTCTTGCTCTTTTTGTGTTTATTGCTATTCTTTTGCTTTCTCTTTCTCTCTCTCTTTATATCGCTCCTGCATCCTCTGTTGTTGTTCTTTTTTTCAATTTTTATACGTGGTTTAAGTTCGCTACACCGAGCCACGACAGCGCGGGCCCCTAACGTGCTCAGCACTTATTATCATCAAGGCGCTTGGACAACAACACTAAGACTGCTCCTTCGCGCGAGCGTGCACTTAAATGCAGGCTATGCTAGTCGTGGTTTCGACTGTGTTGCACCAAGCGACGACGATGGCATATGACCGCGTATTCGACAGCCCGGCAAGTGCTCCGCGTGTAAAACGTACAGGAAGAGAAACACGGAGAGAAAGTTGCAGCTAAGTGGCAGAAACCGGGAATCGTAAAGGTCGTGAAGCACAAACGAAATGACAGAGCTCCGACCAGAATGAAAAAGTTTAAAATATGTTTTAAAAGTCACAGTTTCGCCAAAAGGGTGAAGCAATGAATGCGATAGCAACATATTCGAATGTTTTACGAAGCAAGATCTGCATTTTTATGAGCAATAATCATTGAAGTAAACATGCGCTTGCTAAGTAACCCATGTTTTCTGCGGCGCGGCCACTGTAGATGACCACAACAAGGCTTGTGCGTAGTGACGGCGTTGATACACGAAGTGAGGCTGGCAGTCAACTCATTTAGATGCGCACACACATAATTCTACAAAACGCTGGTGTAAGAGAACACCGCCGCTCAAGGTACACTATTGGCACCGTTTTTTTTTCGTGTTGAGTGCGCAACCCGTAGATGCTCCCGCCTTCTGTGAGGGCACAAGCCACGCGCTCATCGTTGGTGTGATAGCGCAGCAACCATAAGCGCAGCCCCTTCCCCTGTTCGCTGACGAGCTAAGCGCGCGCGCAGACGACCCCGGCCGGGAAAAAAGATGTTCGCTCCCCAGAAAGAGTAGGCTAGCGCATCCTTCCTCGTGTATGTATTACATACATATACATATACGTGAATGATGGCGGCGACGACGACGGCAAAAACCAGCAGAGACTGTCCATATAATTGCTATCGCAATAAAAGACGCCTGTGGCTACTGGATGGTATCCACAGTACTAACTGTTTTCATTTTGGTCGGCGCATTTCATTTGTGTTTCATGCTTCTTTCTGACAGGACGCTGCTTCTTCAAACCATAGATTTCATTAACGCTAAGGTTCATAAGGGACAGAAAACGCAGTCAAAGACGGAACAGTATTAGGTGTGGTAATGAAATGAGACTCAATTCAGTCCGCATAAAATGTAATAAGCTCGCGCAGGACAGGCTGAATTAGGAAATGACTGGGGGATGCATTCGTCCTGTACTTGGTATAGAACTGGCTGGTGATGATTCTGGCAATTATGACGAAAATTATGGATCGTGAGGCCTGGACTGGGAAAAATTCTGCATCTGAAAACGCTTCGTGTTCTAAGCTGGTGGAAGTGTCAGAGGGTCCGTCTTCAAGATGAAAAAAAAAACAACAACAAAACAATGAGGCGTCTAGAGTACTGAGGAAAAAACATGGGGCCAAAAGTGGTGCCGAGATCGTTAGAGGCCTCTATAATATTCGATGTACGATGTGAAAAGAAATGATGTAATAAAAAAACAATATAATCTATATATAAATAGAAGAAATGCTAAACCACAATTGATGTTGCATTAGTAGTGAAGAACTAGACCCATTGACTAAACCAGGCTATAGGTCACTGTAATTGCTACTTTCTTTCAAAATGCTGGTTATTAAAGCCACCGTAGTCTGCCTGATTTCAAAGTAGTTGTTACTAAATCATGACTGTCGAATATACACGCAATCAGGTAATGCTTAGGTATAAGCGTTTTCAGAACAGATTGCATTTCAAACTTGCTGGTGAGCTCGCGGGAGCATTCGACAATTACTGACAAAAAAAAACTGTTTCTACCTCTAGTTCACACAACAAGCTTCTATCGTGGGCATTACATTATAGAGTTGGCTTCGAAGCCAAAATAATATTTCATCATTTCAGTACCGATTCGAAGATTAGCGATACTTCTACGTTATTGAGCACAGAGTCATTCGCGTGAGTAGAGTAACCTTGGCGCTTGTTTATTGTGACTTGTAGCTAGCACAGTTTGTTTACTTTGACTTGCAGCTAGCAACAGTCACGTTGGAACTTTTTTCTATGCCGCATCAAGTTTGAGGCCCACGGGATGGCAGTCAGCTTTCTCATAAGAGTACCAAGTACTGCAGTGAGAGGTGGTAAAGTACCTGACTGAGGTAATTCTCCATATTGTCACGGTTGAGAGGGAGTTCTATGATAGGGTACTAGTTGAGCCAATTGCGTCTGAAACCAGGCATCAAGGGAAGGTTATTTCAACTCCTCTAACATCATCGGAAAGCTGTCTCGGAATGCAGCTTACCCTAAGGTGATTCTTATTAGGGGCGAAGCTCCTAAAGCCGTGGGTCTATCCATGCTAGTGTGAGTGACAGACAGCCGGACGGACAGAAACATGGTCTTAAACATGAACGCACGGACGGACAGGCAGATGGATGGACGGATGGACAGAAGAACGGATGGAAGCATGGATGGACAGACAGGCGGACAGATGAACGGACTCACGGGCGGACGGACAGAAGCATACACTGAGAGACAGAGGGACGGACGGATGGAAGAAAGAACGAACAGGACGGACAGAAGCACGGACGGACGGATGCTTCATCCCACTAATCATCATCACTTGCGAATATTCTGTGATTTTTTTTTTTATTTTAGGGGCCAAGCTCTTTAGGATGTGGGTTGTTCCCTTCTACGTATGTAACCACCTCTAGTTTATGACTTACTTAATAGATGACGTTGGCCCCGCCGTGGTGGTCTAGTGGCTAAGGTACTCGGCTGCTGCATTTCCGATGGAGGCGAAAATGTCGCAGGCCCGTGTGCTCAGATTTGGGTGCACGTTAAAAAACCCCAGGTGGTCGAAATTTCCGAAGCCCTCCACTATGGCGTCTCTCATAATCATATCGTGGTTTTGTGACGTTAAATCGCACAAATCAATCAATAGATAACGTTGTTGGCTAATGTCCTTCGGAATAATATAACTATAGATGGCGTTAGTGGTTTTCACAGCATATCCATAGAGTGAATGATGATGAGTGGGGCGAAGCATCCGTCTGTTCATCCGTGTGTCCAACCGTCCATGTGTCCATGCTTCTGTCTGTCTATCCATAGCCTCCTTTATAAAGGAGGCTGTGGTCTATCCATGCGTGCGTCCATCCATCCGTGCGTGCGTGCGTCCGCGCTTCCGTTCATCCGTCCGTCTGTCTGTCCGTCCGTATGTTCGTTCTTGCTTCCGTCAGTCCGTGCGCCCGTCCATGCGTCCGTCAGTTCGTCCGTCGGTATGTGCGTCCGTGCCTCCGTCTGTCCGTTCATGCACACGCAGACGGATGCACGGGTGGAAGAGCGAACGGACTGACGGACGCACGCAATGATGGACAGACGGAAGCAATAATGAATGGACGGACGGAAGCATGGACACACGAACGGACGCTTCACTCCACTCATCATCATTCACTCCGTGGGTATGCTGTGATTGTTTTTTTCTTACGCCCAGTTTTAGTTTCCTATGGCATGAAGGGAGAGGTCGTCTCCGCTGTCGACGTCTACTGTTTGTTAGGCTAACTGTTGCCTTTATCATTTTTAGCGGAGTGGTGGTGAGTAAAGCTCTATCATCTTAGGGATGGGTGTCAAGAGATGGTGTTTCATATAAACAACTTCACCGTACAGGTCCACGTTTGTGTCTCTGGTTTTCTATAAGAAACCTGGGTGTCTTGGTAAATTTCGTCGGCGATTCTGACACCGCTGCTGAGCCAAGCAATATTTCAGGCAGTTACCACGAACATTTAAGTCATAATATGCATTGTATGGACCGGTGGCTAGTGGTGGGATTTACTCAATTTTCGTAGTGCATACCCGTTTATAATGCATCATGGCTGCGACATGACGCGCCGGCAAACCGAGATTCTAAGGTGGCACAAAAAAGTCGCAGTTTCACCGCAATGGAAACGCAATGAGCGCTACAGCAACAAATCAGAGTGCTATGGCTGGTAGCTATAGGTGCTTTAAGATCCGATCTGGCGTAGCTCTATAAAACGCTGGCGTAAACGTTTTATCTGTAAGCGAAGTGGTTTACATTGCTGCCCCCCTCCACCGGCGCCCCTTCAATGCTCCTTCGCCCGATGAAGTACGCCGGCGCGTTTTCTCTCTGCTCGATCCGCGCCCGTTGGCGGCCACCGCAAGCTTTCAATCGCACATGGAACATACTGAGCGGTGGGTGATGTTATCGATTCGGACTTTATACGGAACACGACGGTGATGTTAAATTTGCGCCCCGGTGTGTAAATAATTCCTATCGCAATGAAAAAAATCCAGTTTCACTGCAAGGGTGACGAATGAAGGAGGTAGCATCAACTTTCAGTTATAACATGGCTCTGGTTATACAAAGTAAGGCTGGCAGCTAACTGTTTTGAATCCGATCTCACGTAACCACATAAAGCACTGATGTAATAGAATAGGTACGCCCACTCTATGGAGAGCTGTGGTTTTCTTAGTCTTTTCGCGTTCAGAGCACAGCATGTCGAAGGGCACAGCACGCCTTCTGATGATCCCGGCGAGAGAGAGCGGGCAACGGGTCGTGACCGTGCCCTTCTGAAGATCAAGGTTCCCTGTTTCTGCTCGAGTGACACCTCTCCTCCTCCCCCCGCGCTCTATCGTGCTCCTTCAAAACGGATAGGGCGTATCCTCTCCGCTTGAGCAGCACTAAATGGCATTCTTCACATGCGGGATGGTGATACGCCCTCGGTGCGACGGAGATGGGTCGGCTCGTTTCATCTACAGCCGTGTTCGTCGTCCTTGATTTCGCACTTTTATGCTTATTTATCTATATTTTATTTAATATACAATACTGTAGCCCTTATTGGGACCATGCAGAAGGGCAGTACATAAACACATACGTTTATGAGTGAAGTCGGAAAGAAACGACGAAAAACCCATTGATCAACCATACAATGTGCAGGGGATTCGTTACTGAGTTGAACTTTACATGGAACATTACGGAAACGCCTAAAACCCGCCGAAAGAATCATGTGATTGGGAACCCAATATAATCTTGTACAGATAGCTGAAATGGCGAAATGTCCACAAGAGAGAATATGGCCTTCAGCCACCCAGTACTGCGGGAACGACATTAATGAAGATGTGCGCTGCTGATGCGCAGTTCAATGTCAACACATCGGCGTAGGGCGCCTATAGCTCGCTTACCTGCACGCGGATGGGACGGGTGATGGTTATGCTGTACGGCGTCCAGTGCGAGTAGTGGTGGGTCAGCGCGCTGCTCTTGATCACGTTCCGGTCGATCACCGAGAGTCGCACGTGCAGCTCGGAAGAGCCGCCCGCGCCTTCGCGGAAGGGACCCTTGCGGAACCGGAAGCGTAGACACGCCGAGGCCTCCGTGTCGTTTTCCGGCACTTCCAGAACTCGGTCCAGACTCACAGCCGCTGATTCGTTAGGACTCACGGTCGTGGTCAAGTAGCCACCACCTGTGGTTATTTGCGGTAATAAGCATCAAAGTTAGCATGATCGTCAGTACAGAAGGGAATGCATCATGGCCAAGGAACAGGAGGTGGATTATTTATTTATTTATTTATTTATTTATTTATTTATTTATTTATTTATTTATTTATTTACATTGATGTGATTTGAAGCTACAACGAAAACACCAGGGTCATTGAAACAGGCCACAGTATAAAGTGGCGGTAGCAGAGTTCAATGATGAACTGCAATTGGACCGTCTACTTAAGGCTTGATGCAGTGGACATTTTGGTTATCTCGTCTTATTCACTCCTGAAAGGTATGTCACGTTGCCGACACAGTCGTTCTGATCTGTTTTTATGACTGAATAAGAAGTTATGGGCAGTAACAGCGCACAAACTCACGGGACGAAGAGAAGAGACACAAATAAGCGCTGTTAACATGCGGAAGGGTTCATATTGGGCAAACAGGGCGTTGTCTCTATGTACGACTAAAAAAACACTCCGGAACCTTCAAGACCAGCACTGTACGCGAATTTGCCTTCACACTGCCACACGTGTAGGTGCAGGCCCTTGTTAAATGAAGCGACCGTGCTCTTCAAACATAGCGATCAGATCACAAGAGAACTAGTGGAAGCATTCTATATCAAAAAAGAGGGGGAGTGCTGCATTAGTCAGACATCAATATCTTTACATGAAAAAGAAGAAATCCTAATCAGTAGCACGCTTGTTTGAATAATATTCGTCGCACTTGCGCAGTTACCCGTAGCGTAAAATAATTATTGACGTCGACACGGTCCTTCGCCGGCCCGGGCCTCTGCGCATGTTCTGTGTGTTTTTTTTATCTTATGTGTTCAGATAATTTGTATATTTCAATAAATTCCTCAGTTGAGAGTCAACGCTTGTTTGTGTCTCTTCTCTTCGTCCCGTGAGTTTGTGCGCTGTTACTGCCCATAATGTATCACCAACTAGCCCAACTATCAGTCCGGATTCTGAATAAGAAGCTGTGTCCTTGTTGCGATATGGGGGCACACAAAGAGACTGGTATGCGGCGATGGCGTAGTGGTTAGAGCATCCGCCTCGCATGCAAGAGGTCCGTGGTTCAAATCCCGGTACCGCGCAGTTTCCAACCGGATTAAAAAAAATCCGCGTGTTGATGAAACTGCATTAAGAGGCCTGGGGTGCGGCCTCACCGGCAAACACCGCCGAAAACGCACTCCCTCACCAGAGAAGGATTGGCCACCCTGGTGCAGTATCTGGCCACTACCTCCCACATGCTTACGTCAAATAACTCACGGCCCTCACTCCCCAGCAGCTGCGAAGCAACTGACCACGGTGGCGGTCAGATCTGCAACGCAGCAGAGGGTGCTAAGAATCTCTGGATCCGGACAGGCCGCCATTGGAACCTGAACTTGGCAACGTTTAATGCTAGAACCTTATCTAGTGAGCGAAGTCTAGCTGTACTATTCGAGGAGCTAGAGGGTGTTAAATGGGATATAATAGGGCTCAGTGAGGTTAGGAGGACAGATGAGGCCTATACGGTGCTACAGAATGGGCACGTCCTTTGCTACAGGGGCTTGGCAGACAGAAGAGAACTGGGAGTGGGGTTCCTAATTCACAGAAACATAGCTGGCAACATAGAGGAATACTATAGCATTAATGAAAGGGCGGTGGGTATCGTAATTAAACTGAATAAAAGATACAAGATGAAGGTAGTACAGGCTTACGCGCCTACATCCAGCCATGATGACGCTTCAGTTGAAAGCTTCTATGAAGACGTGGAATCGGCAATGAGTAATGTAAAAACACAGTATACTATAGTGATGGGCGACTTTAATGCAAAGGTAGGGAAGAAGCAGGCTGGAGACCAGGCAGTAGGAGATTATGGCATCGGCACTAGAAACGCCACAGGAGAGCTATTAGTAGAATTCGCAGAACGCAATAATTTACGGATTTTGAATACCTTCTACCGAAAACGAGAAAACCGCAAGTGGACATGGAGGAACCCTAATGGCGAAAATAAGAACGAAATAGACTTTATAATGAGTGCACACCCTGGAATCGTGCAAGATGTGGAAGTGATTGGCAAGGTACGATGCAGTGACCATAGAATGGTACGGTGTCGAATTCGCCTAGACTTGAAGAAGGAACGGCAGAAACTGATACGCAAGAAGCCAATAAATCAGCTAGCACTGAGAGGGAAAGTACAGGAATTCAGAGTGTCGCTGCAGAACAGGTACTCGGCTCTTAGTGAGGAAACCAACCTTAGCGTAGATACAATGAATGATAATCTGACGAGTATTATTACGGAGTGTGCAGTGGACGTTGGAGGCAGGGTAGTTAGACAGGACACTGGCAAGCTTTCCCAGGAAACGAAGAACCTAATTAAGAAGCGTCAAATCATGAAAGTGTCAAGTACAACAGACAAAATAGAACTGGCAGAGCTTTCGAAGTTGATTAATAGACGTAAAGTATGCGATGTAAGAAGGTATAACATGGAGAGAATTGAACACGCTCTGAAAAACGGAGGAAGTGAAAAACGCAGGAAGCATTGAAGAGGAAACTTGGGATAGGCAAAAGTCGGATGTATGCACTAAGGGACAAAGAAGGCAAAATAACTACCAATATGGATAGGATAGTTAGAATAGCGGAGGAGTTTTACAGAGATCTGTACAGTAGCCGAGACAACCACGACCTTAATACTATAAGAACTAGCAGTAACCCAGATTACACCCCACCAGTAATGATAGAAGAAATCAGAAAAGCTTTGGAGAGCATGCAAAGGGGCAAGGCTGCTGGTGAGGATCAGGTAACATCAGATCTGCTGAAAGATGGAGGACAGATTGTGTTAGAAAAACTAGCCACCCTGTTTACGAGGTGTCTCCTGATGGGAAGAGTACCAGAGTCTTGGAAGAACGCTAACATCATCTTAATACATAAGAAAGGAGATGACAAGGACTTGAAGAATTACAGGCCGATCAGCTTGCTCTCTGTAGTATATAAGCTATTTACAAAGGTAATTGCTAACAGAGTAAAGAAAACATTAGAATTCAATCAACCAAAGGAACAAGCAGGATTTCGAACAGGCTACTCAACAATTGACCACATTCATACTATCAATCAGGTAATAGAGAAATGCTCAGAGTATAACCAACCCCTATACATAGCCTTCATAGATTACGAGAAGGCGTTTGATTCAGTAGAAATATCAGCCGTCATGCAAACACTGCGGAATCAGGGCGTAGATGAAGTATATATAAACATTCTGGAAGAAATCTACAGGGGATCAACTGCTACCATAGTGCTTCATAAAGAAAGCAACAGAATACCAATCGAGAAGGGTGTAAGGCAGGGGGACACAATTTCCCCAATGCTATTTACCGCGTGCTTACAGGAGGTTTTCAGAAGCCTAGAATGGGAACAGTTAGGGATAAGAGTCAATGGAGAATACCTCAGTAAGCTGCGCTTCGCCGATGACATTGCATTGCTGAGTAACTCGGGGGACGAATTGCAACTCATGATTACGGAGTTAGACAAGGAGAGCAGAAAGGTGGGTCTTAAAATTAATCTGCAGAAAACGAAAGTAATGTACAACAATCTCGGCAAGGAGCAGCGCTTCGAGATAGGTAATAGTGCACTTGAAGTTGTGAAATACTATGTCTACTTAGGGCAGGTAATAACCGCAGAGCCGAACCACGAGATTGAAGTAACTAGAAGAATAAGATTGGGGTGGAGCACATTAGGCAAGCAATCCCAAATTATGACAGGTAGTTTGCCACTATCCCTCAAGAGGAAGGTATATAACAGCTGTATCTTGCCGGTACTTAGCTACGGAGCAGAAACCTGGAGACTTACAAAGAGGGTTCAGCTTAAATTGAGGACGACGCAGCGATCAATGGAAAGAAAAATGGTAGGTGTAACCTTAAGAGACAAGAAGAGAGCAGAGTGGATTAGGGAACAAACGGGGGTTAAGGATATCATAGCTGAAATCAAGAAGAAATGGACATGGGCAGGGCATGTAGCGCGTAGACAGGATAACCGCTGGTCATTAAAGGTAACTGACTGGATTCCCAGAGAAGGGAAGCGGGCTAGGGGGAGACAGAAGGTTAGGTGGGCAGATGAGATTAAGAAGTTTGCGGGTATAAATTGGCAGCAGCAAGCACAGGACCGGGTTAACTGGCGGACATGGGAGAGGCCTTTGTCTTGCAGTGGACCTAGTCAGGCTGATGATGATGATGATGATGATGATGATGATGATGATGATGAAAGAGACTGGCGCCTCAGTGCAGCGTATATGTAACGAATGCACAGACCACACAAGTTCCTAAAAGCGTTTAAAACGTTTGATTCTTGAAACGCATGCACGAAATCTTGTTGAACGGCAATCTCTACGTAAGATCGTTTTTCGTGTTCGTCGCTTCGGATCGAGTGGCGCTTATGAACACGGCTATGAATGTAGGTTATGCGTTCATGTATTCCGAATATTTGGTTCCTAAAACCATGTAAGACTGGAAACCAGCTGTACGCCTTCATTTTAATCGCTGAATATGACACCGCGTTCAACAAGACCGTGCCGTGTTGTCGCCTGCACAGGACATTAGTTAATGCTTGCTTTCTCTTTCTTTCATAGTGCGCAGCTGCTGTGTAACGCTTGTCAGTTGATGTTAAAGTTCATTTTCTTTCCTCTGTAGTTTTCATATTTTTTTCCTCTCTGTGATACCCTATTAAACTGAAATAGCGTATGTACATCAAATTCAGTCTGTGAAAATGGGTGCACTCTGGAACATCAGCCACTACGATGTACAAAGCGACTACTGCAAATTTAGAATCAAGTTTTTCTTCCGCAAGTTTCACTTCTATTTTTCGCGTTATTACACAGAATTTATCGCTACGCGAACTTCATCGACAACTATGCTCCCAGTAGTAGTAGTAGTACAAAACTTTATTATATACATAATCCAGACAGGCTTGAACTCCAGTGCCCCGAAGAATATACGGGGTGGAGAGCGAAGTTTGTCCGGCAGGGTGGTGCCCCTATTCCAGGGCCCCACTGGCGCGAGCCATCCGTTCAGCTCTTTGAATCAGTCGCAGCTGATCCACTAGGGCTGGGCTAGACAGCAGCGCCTCCCATTCCTCCCACGTGCCAGTGGTGTCGTGCTCTTCGTCGTGCTCTGCACACTCCCACGTGATGTGAAAGAGTGTTGGGGGTGGCTCCACACCACGGGCACATATCTCTGTACGCCGTGGGGTAGATCAGGTGAAGAGTGTGCAGATTTATGTAAGTGTTAGTTTGTATTTTTCTTAGCGCTGTTGCCTCCGCAGCGCTGAGCTTGCTGTGAGGACGTGGATACAGCTGACTATTTTCTCTATAGTACTTTAAAATTGTTGCAAAACAAGGGTCCAGGGGTGTAGGGACCCTTGCTTCTTGCATTGGCTTGAGTGGCTCGGTGATTTGTGAAGCCTCGAGCCGCCTCATCCGCGCGCAGGTTCCCTGTCACGCCCTCGTGCCTCGGTGCCCAAGTCACAGCCTGTACGTATTTCACTGTGGGGTCCCATCCTGTCCCAACCAATATACGGAGCGCTTGTGCTCCAATTTTGCCCTTTAGATAGTTTCTGCAAGCTTTTTGCGAATCTGAAATGATTGTTAATGGAGCCTTTCGCGTCCATCCCTCTTTTATTGCGAGTGCTATGGCAACTTCTTCTGCTTGTGTTGTCGACGCCTGATCTATTGAAGCGCAGGCTGTAATTTTCCCTCTATGGTAGGTGGCTACACACACATATCTCTTTGCATTGGTCTGATAAGGCGCGGCGTCAGTGAATCTGGTCATGTTCAAAAATCTTGTCTTTTTGTCTATGTAGTCAGCCCTTGCCTTTCTTCTTCCAGCATGCAGAGTAGGATCCATGTTGCTTGGTATTGGCAATACGGTGTACCATTTTCTGAATTCGCTTGGTACTTCTTAAGTTTCTTGGTGTGTTTGTAATAAAGTATTGCGCCCTAGTTTTGTTAGGACTGCTCTGCCCGTTGGGGTCTGGAGAAGGCGGTTTTCTTGCGATAATAACTGGGCCTCGGATAATTCTTCAACTGTGTTATGAAGACCAAGCGCCAGCAGCTTGTCATTTGAAGTATTCCGCGGTAATCTCAGGGCTGTCTTGTAGGCCATTCTAATTATTTGGTCGACCCGAATCTAAAGCTGGAAGTCAAGCTCGACGGAAATGTAATTCCGGAGAAAGATACCGTACGCATACTAGGAATGTGGCTTCAAGCTAATCAGAGATGTCTGCACACACTAAATCAACTCAAAACATCAGTACAGCAGATCTCACGCATGATCTCGCGAATAACAAACAACCATAAAGGCATGAGAGAACAAGATACTCTAAAATTGGTCAAAAGCCTCGTCATCAGTCGCATTACATACTCGCTTCCGTATCAAATTATGAACAGGGAAGAGAAGGAAAAAGCAAACCAAATAATTAGAATGGCCTACAAGACTATGCTCCCAGAAAAATTATTTTTCTTATAGTGTGCCTGCAACGAACTCTATCGTTTGGCAAGGCTGACTTTGCAGCAATAAGAGTGCATGTGCAGGGAAACCCATTTCAAATGTTCCTTTTTTGCATGACATTTATGTGCAAGCTTATCTACACACAAGCCATGGTTGAAAGTTTTAAATGCAATTTTATCCATGTACGTATCATCATTCGTTTTTTTTAATTCATTCTGCTATATTTATTCTGCGTACTTAAGGAAATCTGCATTCCGCAGTAGATGTCAGACGTGTGCAGCAGAGGCAACGGCGTTTGGTAATCGGGTCGCACTACAAGTGGTTGCCCGAGAAGGATTTCGTCATCTGAGATGCAGCAAAATTAGCTATTATATAAGCAAAAAACAAGAAAAAATAGTGCCCTGTGAAATGTGGCGCATGCAAATTACCATAACACGTACGATCAATAATATACACTCGAAGAACAAATAATTAAATGAATTAAAGCGTGTGGCGTGTGTATTTGGTCTCATAATAATAATGCTGTTTGTTGGTTCACTGCATATTCTGGGCTAACTGTTTTTTTTTTAGTATTGGCTACTCTAACGCAGTGATATTAAACCCTCTCCTCCTACCCGGATAGTTTTTCTGTACACATGCACGCATGCAGACGCACGCACGAAGGTACAGAGGGGGTGGTTGAATTCCTCTCCCAAACAAAAAATTCTTCCTACGCCCCTCGTTGGCTACTGTTCTTGGCGATGCGCTTCTATAATACAACGCTATGAAATCATACGAGTGTACCACTGTACCTTTTCCACAATGCGACAGTTCCTCATAGGAAAAAGTTGCCGTAAAAAAAAAATTCGTACATGACCCTTTCAAATGGGGCCGGCTTACCACCTATTAGGCGACGCACTTGAAAACTCCCGTAGGGCTCTTCCTTGATGGGACAGTCGAGGCTAGGCTCGTGGAAGTTGCAGTAGAAAATGGTGCCCGTCGGTAGCGCCACTTTGGGACCAGCTGATGTCTCTGACTCTGCAAAATAGAGAAATATAGTAGAAAGGTAGAGATGTTAAGCAGGGCTGAGCATGGTTCTCCTCTGAGGAAGGGGGGAGAAGTGTTAGAAGGAGAGAAAGGACGCTGTTGCCGTCGACGCAACAAGAGCTTCGCACTGTCTGACTCTGCAGACGTTAAGGTGAAAACATCAGGGCAAACCAGGACGGATCACAAGGATTAGATTATAGAAGCATTGTCGTTGTGATTCTGTCATCTATTTCTTGTGGTCCGTCTTTGTTTGCACTAATATTTTCACCTTAATGTTCACCTTTTTCTCGCAATAATGTCTCCAGAAGCCTTCCGTTGGGCCTTACCAACTAGGCCCAACAGAAGTTTTCTGGAGACATTAATGCGAGAAAGAGATTAGATAGACCGCTTAATGGGGGATGACCAAACCGAACGTAAAACCTTCGTACACGACGACGCCACTGTGAGGTGACGCTGCAAAAAAAAAAAAGGAAATGGTCTTGTATCGATTTTCACAAAAATATTTTATGCAAGAAGTGTTTCATAGAAAAAAAATATTCTAGACAATTAAGAGATATCTTGTTACCTAAAAAGCATGTCGAAAGGCTGGGACTGTTATTGAATACAATACTTTGTGTTTGTAGGGCCCAGTCCTATGGCGGATTACAATGTTGGTTAGTGTCCGCTACACTGCAGCGCGCTAGTTATTTTTCTCGATTCACCCACACGATTTCCGGATTCCAATATCTTAAGAAAGCCAATAAAATACTTCAAAATAGTACGAGCGTCCGAAAGCAACAACTAAGGCTATCCAGTATTTTAAAAAAGAAAAGAAAGAAAACACAACTCCGGAATAATTCACTATTGTAGCCAACCTGCGCTGTTTCTTCATCACGCTTCTCACTCTGCCAGGGTAATGTTTCATCTCTGATAGAAAAACAAAACAAAGTAGGAGCATCTTATTATTGCGAAACTCGCACCTACCGTGAAAACCCTTATGACCTTCGTCTACATGTAGGGCACGCTATGATCGTGCACGCTTTTATAAGGTATATTCTCAGAATAGATTTAAAATTGAGGAAGCCGGGTAAACAATAAAAAATTAAGTATTGAATTGGTGACATGCGAATGATTGTCAGCGTGGGTATCTGTCTGATCTTGCCTCTGGCTTGACTGTTTCATGATGCCTGGGTCGAATTCTCCGGAGCCCTCCACTACGGCGTCTCTCATAATCACATGATGGTTTTAGAACGTTAAACCCCACATATCAATCAATAATCATGATGCCTGAACAGGTCGCATCTGCTTCTGTCGTCCTAAAATTACAAAAGAACCCGACTTCTTTGAAATACGAGAAATAAAACGCTGTCGTACGTGCGTACGTTACCCACAAGCATAATCGCCGTGAATTCTGGCGTTTGTACCGCAGCGTGATGTTAAAATTTAAATGAAAAACTCGCAAAGACACAGTGCCGTTCCAGGAGGAAGTGTACAGGCTAATCCTCCTGTTCTATAACCGTCATCACCACGTTCGCATCTGTCATGGACGTAATGTGCCGAGTTCTGAGATCTACAGATTATCCTATAGTATGAAAAACAGTCGTCGCGAAATTTAAGCGCGCGTGCACAAAATGTAAGAACATGGCGTAGAACGTAGTGTAGGTACTCAAGCACAAGGAATTCACATTCTTGAATTCCTCATGAGGTTTTTTTTCTGCTTTTTATGTTTTGCACTTTTTTTAAATAACTCACGGCTCACTTCGCACATTCTCAGTGAAGACTGTTGATGCTCATAATTTTGTTCTGTAAGTTAAAAAAAATAAACATTCAAATTTAGGCTTGTCTGTTTCCTACACTGCCCTTGTGTTTTTGTGAAACTTCGTGATTAATAGGAACCTATTGCCTGACTTTCAGATATATACAGAACGTGCTTCTTGCGAAAACGTGCTTGAGGTGGCGTCAAAGCAGCTGACACCGAATCGGAAGTCATCACTTCGATAAACGGTGTTGCGTGCAAATGGGCTATGCTTACTTACTGCACAAAGAGCTGAATGATGCCGACTCGTTGCGCCCTCCGAACAAGAAGTGGCCGCTGCTGTTGCCCACGCACCTGGTTCCGGGTTCGCATCGCGAGCATGGCTCTCCCGGAAGGTACACGCGGCTGTCCAAGTAGTTGCCGCTGCGGATTTCCGCCAATGGTCATTACAGAAAAACGTGCAGTACACCATGCTTTTGATATTATCATCACAATCTTCAGCCTATTTAGGTCCACTGACGGACGAAGGTTTTGTACCAGTGATCTCTAGTTTACACTATCATGCTGAAGCCGATTCTGTGTTGTCCCTGCAAACCTATTATTTTCGTCACTGCACCTAACTCTCGGCCTTTATCGACTGAGTTTTTGACCCCTTGGTAGCCATTTTGTCCCTCTTACTGTCCACCGGTTATCTGTTCTATGCACTACGTGCCCAGCCCAGGTCCATTGCTTTCGCTTGATGTCAACTATAGGTAACTGTAACCCTTGTTTGTTCCCTGACCAGTTCTACCGTACTCCGATCTCATAATGTTCTTCAAGTGTACAGTCACTCCAACTACCACTTTTGACATGTTGGGCTAAAACGGAGAATATAACAAAGCAAATAGAGAAAAAAGTTGAGCACCATGCAGTGAACAGAAAATCGAGTTACGAAATACGCCAAAAGAAATTACGAACACAAACTAAGACACATCAAACTGATGGACTCTTGTGTCCTATCCAGGGGTGTTTCTTGGCTATATAATATGAGTGTTACATTTTAACGCACTTAGCAGTGACATTTCCGTTGCGATCCGCCAAATTATGTTGCATGTAATTCAGTGGTTTATTATGACGCTTTTACCAACTCATTTTAACTCTTTAGACGTACCACAATTAGCAGTCAAAATTTGTGACATTTGGAATGAGGTCTCTCTCAAGCACAAATACTTATTCGTGGCAGTATCCTCTGTCAAATTATCTTAGAAGCAAAGATCATACGTTGTGTCGTCCTGCTCTAAAAACACATGCATTTTCGGTGCTGTGAGTGGCTTTACACGCCTAAGGTGTCTTTTAAGCTCTGGGTATGACACGATGATCAGGTTACTTCTGCAGCTTACAGCATATGCTACACTCTAAACAAATGTTCAAAGTGTATCATATGCTGCGACTTTCTTATTAATTTTTCGCTGCGATTGTCTCAGAAAAAAAGCTCAAGTGTAGTTATTGGAAATTTGTAATGGGTGTAAGCTTTTAAAATCCATTTTCATTTTATTTATAATAAAATTTATCTATAGTACAGGCACGTCTCCTTCAGCTTTTCTGAGAAGTTCCAATTTGGAAACCTTAGAGCGCAGGCGTGTCTGTGAAAGACTGAAAATATTTCATCAGATCTATAACAATAACCTAAAAATTGATATAGGCAAATATATTCAACCATCAAAATCACGAACAGTATGGTCGCACCATTGCAAGCAAGTTCAAGAATTTTCATGTAAAACAACTACTTTCCAAGAATCATTCTTTCATCGAACAGTACGTAGTCGGAACGCACTGCCCTATGAAGCTGCATCATCCACAACTGTTTCAACATTCATGAATGCGATAGCAAATGTGCCCTCCAGTCCTTCACTGATTTGATGTCATTAATATTAATATTATTACTGGCACTGCATCTAAACTCTTCTGTGTGTATGAGTTGCATTGCTTTGTTATGTTTTAAGCGTTAGCTCGTGTGTATGTTACTTTGTGCGCACTTGTTAGTTTTTGCTCATTGTGTCCATTTGTAATTTTGTTCGTTTTAGCCCATTGTTTTGCTGTATCAGTCGCTCGTGCCTTCTTTTAGGCAAAACTCGCTCATTCTGTCAAAAAGGGGCAAAAAGTGTTATATTGACTCATGTTTTCAATGTTTTTAAGTTAGAAATCTTTTAGATATTTTTCCCTCGACGCATTATTTCTGCTATAAGTAATTCCTGTTTTTTTTCTTGCATTGTAAAATGTAATAACAAAGGCATATGTATGTACCCACTCCTGCCTACTACTGCGCTTAGAAGTCTGCAGTATTGACTAAATAAATAAATAAACAAATAAATAAATATATATGCTTCTCCAGCCAAACGCATTTGTTTCCTAATTTATTTGAAAACAAAAGTGATTGACCTTGTTGAACAAACTTTGCGATAATGTTTAGTGTCCATTCGCTCATGTGTACGTGCGTTCACGTGCAATGCTCACGTATAAGTATGGCGCCATTTCCGCCATAGCGCCTGAGTCACGATTAAACTCAGTAAAGAAGCTTTCCTATCCAGCGATAGCAAATACTTTGACTCACTCAGGCTGTTGTCGTATGGCGCAGCTTGTGGTAAGCGCTAACTTCGAACTACAACTCTAAAGGGACACGAGAGATAGAGAGAAAGAAAATTCTGATATCATTAAACTACACTCTCACGACTGATATCGTCACGCTGGTCGCGAGGAGACGCTTGGTAAACGAGAAAACGCGCAAAGAGAAAATGCTGGTGGCACCTCCACCTCGATATGCCCGCACTAAACGCCGTTACGTCCTATATTTTGATGGCGCCTACTCAATACTACTCTGTTTATAAACAGAATAACTGTTGTACATATGTTTCGGATGGGGCCAGAGACTTCACATGCCAAGAATTATGAAATTTAGTTTATCCAAGGTCGTCCAAATAGAATAAAACTCTCTCTCTCTCTCTCTTTATATATATATATATATATATATATATATATATATATATATATATATATATATATATATATATACTGAAATCTTCAACGTCACAATAATGGCAGATTCGGTGCAAATTTTAAGAATAAATTTCCACCTTGATTTTCTCCTTTGTTTATTAACAAACCTATGACGATAGAATAAGTTACATTGGAGTTCTCGGCGTACAATTTATTGTTTCTCTTTAGTGTACTTTTGATACCAGGTGATGGGAATATACGCAGTAATAATATAAAAAGAAGAAACATGTCTAATTACTGCACTTAATCACTAGACCCTATCACTATGTCTAATCACCTGGTCATACCATACCAGCCACACATCGTTTTCCCACGATGGAGGGCATATACAAACTTGAGAATCTTCGCAGGTTTGAGGTCGCAGTTCATATGTAAAGAGCTGTGTGCGTGTGCGTGCGTGCGCGCGCGCGCGTGTTTGTGTGTGTGTGTGTGTGTGTGTGTGTGTGTGCGCGTGTGTGTGTGTGTGTGCGTGTGTGCGTGCGTGCGCGCGTGTGTGTGTGTGTGTGTGTGTGTGCGTGCGCTTTTGTATGATTGTGTATCTGTAAAAAACAGCAGAGAAGAAATACGTAAAATAAAGTATCCACCGTGAATGCGCGGAAGAACACGCGCTCACTCAGCAAGACGCAATTAAGCAATCTGCGTTCGCGTTCGACAAATCGAGCCGGATCACTCACGCTGGGCCGTAGTTACACACGTAAGACTGCACGAACCAGCGTCCCCTTGTGAACAGCGAATAGCCGCAGCCGATGGCCCACGTCTTGGCCCACACCATCTGGTTTGAAACGCACAGAAAACATTTGAGTTACGTACTTTGCGATGATAATGAAAATAAGTTAGATTTATAAATGAAAATTAGGACAAGCAGGCAGTCAACTTCGAACCACCTCTGAATGAGAAAACGAAAAAAAAAACGTCCCTCAGATTTTAAAAGGGTTCGCAGCTTCCAATAATCTATAATTCTCGCCACGATGTATAGATATCGCGGAAGCATGGTTAAACGATCATTTAGCTGCTCTAACATTCAGTGGCACTCACCGCACGGTGCTCCCAGCTTGGGTCCCTAGCGTACTCTCCGTACTAACCTGTACTCTCCGGGCTAACTTTCTGTGTGTTTAGAAAAAAGTGTTTAACGATTTCGAGTACTTCGCATTCGGCTATGGGACAGCAGTGAGCCGTCCCGAGTACAGATAACTGACCAAACGTTACACCATAGGCAACGAAGGAGTGTTTTGTGCTCAACCTGCAGGACAGACGCCACGGCAGATAGGCAGTAAAGCTCCGCACATTAGCTACGGGAAATGCTTCCAGATGCAAGCGTCGACCCTTTTTGTTACCCTCTTCGTGCTTCTAATACTTTTACCAAACCTTGCTCTTGATATCGCCAATGTGTCTTTTACTTTAGTGCATGTCTGCTTGACATATACGCAATTTTTTCCCTAAAAATTGGCTATGTTTTATAAAATAGATAGGTTGGCTGATTCTAGCTAATGTCGACTAGCATTTGGTACTCTTTGTTAACGTTGCTTGATGAGTTAGTGAGTGAGTGAGTGAGTGAGTGAGTAAAATTTTTATTGAGAATGCCCGGCGGTATTTATCGGTGTGGGACTACAAGCACCCCCGCCTGGGTGACGGCCTCGAGTTCTTGGACATGGGCGGCTTCCTGGGCGTGCCGGTGCCGTTAAACAATTGCGAACGTTGCTTGATGCTGATTAACATGGAGCAAGTGTTGGCCCTCACAGTAACTTAGCGGTTATGATGGTGCGCTAGGCACACGGGTGCGAGTTTGAAAACCGGCCATGGTGGCTGCGATTAGATGGGTGCCAACTGTATAAACACCCCCGTGCTTGGAGTCGTCCAGAGCGTCAATGAAACTCAAGAGGTCGGAATTCATCCGGCGCTCCCGATCATGGCGTGCCTGATAAATATATCGGGGTTCGGGCATGTGCAACACTAAATGCTCTCCTCATTCGTAAGAGCCTGATTGTTTTCATTCATTTTCAGAACAAATATTGCTTTGTCCAGCGAATTTTATCGTTTGTAACGAGGGCAGTGGACATGGAGCTCGAGTAGAGGAAGAAGAAGAAGACGTGCTATGATCGCAGGCTTGCATTCAGTTAGCTCTTGCGCTAAATAAAGCTCTCGTTCGCCGAGTCAACTCCTGCTTGTTCAACAATCCGTTTCACTTTACTTACTTTATTTAGGTTACTCTCGAGCCCAGTCACTACCTGAAGGCGAGAGGAAAGTGTCATAGCCTGCGCAGGTGTTGCTTGTTTGGCCAGCTGCCGACAAAGTCACGAGAAGCAAACAGTGGTGTCAATCACGCCATGATGATTGTTCGCGTTGAACGTCTCAAAGTCGAAGGACATTTTGTAAATTCCAAAGAGCGTTTCGAGAACGCCTGTGCCCATTGAGACGGAGGTTGGTCTGAATAGAACGTGGTGCGTGCGTCCACCTCCTTGCATCATTGGACACGCAGGGCACAGCAACTCTACGCAGGTGAAGCGCGAGTGCTGGTAGAGTCCGACGTGACCGGCGTCCGTTGACGCTCCCCGACAGCCACCTGGCACCATGCCAGGGCGCAGACAAAAGGACGGACGTGAGCATGGGGCATTGAAGGCTTGCTAAAACCACCATAGGATTATGAGAGACACCGTAATGAAGGACTGCGCAAATTTCGACCACTTGGGGTTCTTTAACGTACTCCTAAATCTAAGAAAACAGGCCGCAAGCATTTTCGCCTCCAGCGAAAAATGTGGCCGCCGTGGCAGGGATTTGATCCCGCGATCTACGGGTCAGCAGTGGAGCACAATAACCACGACACCATCAAGGCGGGTAATCATACGACAGGAAGACACTTATATGTTGAATTCCAATGGCGGAGTCGGTGCAGCCGACCGACTTCGCGAGCGAGCACTCGACTCTGGCGTCGAGCAAATCCTCCAAATCCGCCATCGGAACACAACCCGCCCTGCTGGAGCAAGGCGGAAGCTGCCACGTTACCCAGGATACCTTGCGCGTGGTCTTTTCCGCTGTCTGTTTCCCACGTGGTTTACCAGCATCGCCGCATCGTTCGTTTGCTTGTTCAGCGCTATTCACCTGTGTAGAATGGATATCACGCCAAGCGTGCAACAGCTATTGTCCACGATGTCTGCTGTCGCTATCGAGTAGCAGAAGCATTGCCGCACGCTTTGCCGAGGTAGCCGAGCCGTCCGCCATTATCAACACAACTCGCGCCGCACCAGCCGCGCCCCCAAGCAGGTAAACGTGTTAAAGGAAATGCGTCACGCTGAGTTCCAGTCCACTCCACCGATTTCGGCGGAGCAGTTTTTCCTGCTCCACGGAGGGACTCCCGCTCTGAATCCCCTCCGGCTCTCTCAATGGAATTTTTGACTCTCGCTCCCACTCTGTCATTGGAACACACTTGCTCTTAAAGGAGCAGAAAAACTTGCTCCGACTCCGCCATTGGAATTCAACATTAGTTTTATATTTCTTGGTCACTGCAGTTGCTGAAGCAAAATATCTTAAACCTAGAAACGTCTCAAAATCTGGTCTATAGTGGGCTCGAATAACAAAATTACCAGCGTATTGTGATAAGATAGGAATGTTAGCTTAAAGAACACAATGTCCACTTTGTTCCAACTGCATACGACTGCTTCAAAAGGCACTTTAAAACTAATAAAGCCATTGTATACGTTGTCGCAAATAAGATGGCACGTTATTGGCGCATTAATGAGCAGGTGACGTGCCTGGCTGAATGTGCCGTAGTACTGGCGGTAGACGTAGGGCGAGATGGCGGCCGGAGGAAACTGCTTGACGCCGTTGTACCAGTAGGCGATGGTCGATCGCCAGTAAACCGGCGGGGCCGTCTGGGTGCGAATCTTGTAGTTGCAGATATTTTGGCCCACCATGAAACTCTCTGGTGATTGAATAGGAATGCGAGTGGTTGAACAATAAAATGCAGTTGTAAGATTGCTTGATTTTTTTTCGTATGCATACAAATTGGTCAAATTGTCTTCTTTGATTTTTTTCTCTGATATTTACGGAAAGATTTAGGTGGCACAAATAAAGGCTATCAGTTTGCGCAAAAAAAAATAAAAAAGAACACCTTAGCAGACAATATGACAACAACTTGTAATGCAGAAGAACGGAGTGGTTGAGTTCGTTATGCAATAACATGCTGTAGAGTAAACAGGAAACAATAACTTGGAGTACGCTTGAGCTTCGCCTTCACAAGTGGGGCACGTTCGCATCCCTGTCTCAATTATTATGCCTGGCTTTGCTTTTCGGACACCCATAGTAGAGTAGATGTTAGTCGTAAAATATAGATGTGCCGAAGTGTATGTGCCCTGTTACTGGAGTGGTATGAATGAAGCCTTTGTGTTCTGTACACGCTGTAAATAATTTTTTTCTAAACACCAAGTACACAAAATTGTTAACGACTTTTTCTGAGCACACAACATTGAGGCCCACGGGACGGCTTTAAGCTCTCCAATCGCAGAGTACCCTGTACTTTAAATCGTTAGCCACTTTTTCTGCCCCCCCACAACCCATTCAGCGGGACGGCTCAGTGCTCTCCCATAGTTGAGTACAAAGTACTCGAAATTGTTAAGCATTTTTTTTCTAAACACACAACCCATAGTAGAGTACCGAGTACTCTGAATCGTGAACCACTTCTTCTAAACACACAGCTCTCCGATAGTAGAGTAACACGTACTCTAAATCGTTTAGCACTTTTTTTCTAAACACACAGGACCATATACATACTAAACTTCCATGGGACAGACTAATTACGGGATAGCTTCCTGCGCTCTCTTAGTGCTGAGTACGATGTACTTTTGGTCACTACGCATTTTTTTTTCTAAACACTCGGTCTCAATGGAATGTTCGTCCCTACTATATTTTTAGTAATGTCCTTTTCTAACTGGGATAGCTTCGTGTTATCCTATATTAGAGTAGTGCGTACTCTAAATTGTTAAACATTTATTCTAAACACATCTCAGCCATGCCCTAAGGAAGGAATGTCTGTGCACGTAAGGTTGGCCATTTCACACGATCCTATAGTGCAAGTACAGTGGCGAAGTTCACACTATGCCATTGATTTGTTTTTTTTTTTTTTTCGTCCGATTTCGCGAAGTGTACAACTTCCATGTGGTGACACGCGAACCTGCGCAGCTGTACTTTTTTTTTTATGGCGTTTCTGATTATGATGAAAAATTGAACTTGTGAGATTTGTAATTGATGGGTCTTTAAACCAACCACTCGTAGAGTGATTAAGACGTGGCTGCGCTGTTTCTACGCGATTATTACATGCGTTAGGGGCACTTAGCATCATTAAATGACGTTCGTACGCATCTTTTCTTTTCTTTTCAGAGCAGCTTCAAGTACGAGCATGGCTCTGAGGTAGAACGCCGTCTCGCCACGCGTAAGTCCTGGTTTCGATTCCCACTCGAACAGAAATTATTTTTTATTTGTGTATTTGCGAATCTTGAATTTTCGCTGACTGACAACGCTAAAATTTGTGCTCGCGGCCAACGGTGCCGACATGGACACCGACACTTGAATTTTGGCGAAATAAGTTCTTTAAAGCTATCGCGTTAATAAATGGACATAACATTTCACGCTCAGTACAAAATTATTCATGTGCAGTTTTGCCGCCATGTTTAGCACCTTCGCCCGCGAAATTCGGTCAGTGTCAGAGATTTTCCTCAACTTAAGTCGTAGAAAAAAGCAAACACTTCCATAAAAATGAAATCGAAAAGATGGTGTTGTCCTAAAGTAATTTTACTGCTTGGATAGTTTCTTCACCCTAAGCGCCAATTTTGCAGCTAGCAAATTGGAAACACTTGCGCACGTGTTCTCGATTAAAAAAAATTGTTAAAGGCTTTCTCCCCCAGCATCCCTGCGAATAATGATTGCATAATCTAAACTGCGAGTCGTCATCGATATGAAGCTGTTAGAAGCAGAAAATTTCAAAACAATTGGTTGTTGGTCAAGTTAGGAGCAATAACAAGTCATCTTGTAAAAAGTATTGGAGGAAAAACAGCTTTACAGTAACGTATGCTGTCCGGCTAAGTTGGTGTGTAGTTGTGTAAAATACCGTTGGCGCAAACTTGAAAGACAACGAAAGAAGAGACCCGGAAAAGCGACATGGTGTGCTTTTCCGTGTCTCTTCTTTCGCCTTCTTTCACGTTTGCGCCAACCATATTTTACACAGCTATACAGTGCTAGGAGAGACAAGATGAAAGTCTGGCCTGTAAATTCCTGTCTGCACCTGCTATTTTTCTGTTCACACTTTTACAATATGTTCCAACAACTGGCCTTGCACAGCAACATCTCAAGCCCCATGCTGTCGTCATGCTTGCATGAGGCGAGCTTCACTGAGAAAGTGGACACTGCGTCTCTTCGTCTCAGTCAGCATCCGCAACCGTCACGGGTAGCGTTCAATGACATCACGAGGGGTGTATATTACGTATACATGTGGGCTCGTTTCGTCACGCAGCTGCTTCTTCTCCAAGCGTGTCTTTCTAAAGAGAGAGTGATAGAAATCGCCTGGCCTTCTGCTTTGAATTTTGAACCTTATCGCGCCACAAGTGTCAGACGTTGTGTCAAGCATTGTGTATAAACGACCGCCCCCTACCAAGCTACATGGCGTGCTCGTTGGTTTGCAATGCCCAAACCTCGCGAGGAACTGCTTTAGTGCGTGAGAAGCTATTTAGTAAACTGTCTGGATGCTTCGTTTCGTTCTCGCAACAGATGTATACAGATGATTCTTGTTTGAGTGCCCGTATGTTCTCGCTCGAGTGCTTGGATGCCTAATTCAAATACCCGTATCACCTCGTGTCAGTGCCAAAACAACGACACTAAAGCTTTAGGTCAAAGGTCACTCGAAGGCGGCCGACAACGGTAACTAATAGCACGAAAGAGTGTAGCTGTAAGCCTGTTGTTAATTAATGATTAGCAGGGGTAACCGCAAAAGCAAATAGAGCACAACCGCTTCGTGTTGTGTCTTTCCGGGTCACGTGTACTTTTGTTGTTGCGTTTTATGTTTAAAAAGCTTAGAGGACGCTAGAGCTTCACGTTGAAGAAAAGAACGCGATGGCGCAATGCAGCCCCGCGCGTATTGCTTTCTCGGTCGCTAGCCTGGCTTCGGTTCTTTGTTCTCCAACCATGACGTAAGGAAACTAACGACTGTGCGCGTAACATTAGTCGTTTCAAGCTATGTTAGAACGTCTACTGCAAGTACAACTGTTCAGTGCCCGCTGTGCCATAATTGTATTTTTTGCGAATAAGTGAATGACCCTATGTGCGTCCATAAGCCAACACACGAACATACATTTGAGCGCTTTGTAATGAACTGGACACCCACTCATTGTGGAATTCACGTGTTTTGACTCCTGGCCGATTCGACGCTTCTGCCACGTGCGTTATTGTTATATATTATAATATTTATATTATAATATACCAATATATTACGTGCGTTAGGAGATTTGTTCTGCTAGGTGACATCCAGTGTTTTTTTTATTTTTCGGTTCGTTACCGGCAGTAGCGTGGCTCTGTGATAAATACCTGCTTGCTACGCAGAAGGCCTAGCTTCGATCTTCACTCAAACCACAGCTTTTTGTTTTTTTATTTTATTTGTTTCACTCAATTTTTCAGCCACGGACAAATTAGTGATTTCTCGCTCATTATCAACGACGCCAACACTGTTGCCGACGCCTACGCTGGAATTTCTGCGAAGGGAAGCTCTTTAACGGTACCGCGTTGAAATGCCGTGGCAGTCACGACTATCACTATATTTTATAAGTGACAGTAGTCTTCTATGAACAGCTCACCGACGCGTCTGCAGTCCGCACAGTCCGGCTTGATGGCGCACATGCTGGCCAACTTCTGTGCCACGGCCGCCAACTCGTCATTCCACTCCTAGAAGACACGTATGAAAAATACCGCGGCAAATTTTCTATGAGGAACTACCACAGTATACACAACACATATCGAAACTACCTCAGTATACCAAACACATAACGGAATGAAGGCAGAGACGTACAGTAATCTGCAGGGGTGACGTTCTGGATGGGTATTGTGTAGTGGAGTAGCTGCAACAAGTGGTATGTGCCTGTTGGTGGTATACCAGTTCGTGATACACCACTTGGTGGTATACCAGTTGATGCACCTGCTCCAATACACGTGTATTATGTATTTATTTATTTATTTAGCTTTATTCACCTTATGGTTAAGGTGATTGGTATTACGCAGGGGGATGAGTTGTAATAAAAAAGTTACTGAACAAAAGGCAGTAATTACTGAAATTTATATTATTGAAGCTCTTCATTGCACAGTCGTATACACACGATTGGAAAAATTCACGGGGTCGTCACATATTTCGACGGCGTCAGCTAGGTTCTACAAAATTCAAGATCCGTAAAAATGAAGCACATGGTTGCTCGGCCCAGAAGCAAAAAATGAAACATTACTTGAGGTAAATTACTTATCGATTAATGATAAAATTTTGGCGGTAAAAGCATTAAGGTGTTGAACCTTTCGTTTGGGATTCTTCTCTCTTTTCCACGTGTGTTATACTATTGTTATGATGTCAGTCTTATCAATGTTATTGGCTCTTATCAGTTCCTATCAGTATAATCTCTCTATATCATCTTGCCTTCGTGCATAGAGTTTCGTACAGTATTACCTAGAAAGGAATCTGGCGTTGTGATAGTGTACCTCTAAGGGAATTATGGGAAGTACAGGCTTTGGATTGGATAGGGTTATCTAGCGAACTGCCTACAGACGTTTTTTTTTTTTTTTACAGTTTCAGTTTCGTTCATCGTGCAGCGCCGGTAGTGGGGTGTGGTGAAAAGGGCTGAAGCAGTGCTTTTTTTTTGTTCTAAGAGGCTGACGACCAGTAGATCTTCTGATTTGCTGTGACGTTGGGGCTTTACGAGTCGTATTTGACAGGTTAAACAAAGCGTTGTTCACTCCCCACTTCGCATAATGTAGCCAGTGCAAGATATTGCTTCGAGTTCGTTTTTCACAAGCACGTCTTGCCTAAACTGATTTTCAATCGACTACAAACCGATGCTGAAACTAAGTGGACGCACTGTCACGCTCTACTGATTTGGCTTGACAACAAAACCAGAGGTGTGTTGGGGTCAGACCACTGGGACCACTTGGATAGACGCACTATAGCGTCGCAGAAGACGAAACGATAAGTGTTTATCTCTTATTACTGCATTGTTATTTCCATAAATAGATAATTCATACTTTCGAGAGGAAAACTAGCATGTTTGTTTTCAAGTGTTGCAAAAAATTATTCATTAAATCTTGACGCCATATCTGGAACGAAACGGCAGAGCAATGCATATTCTGATTGTTGAATTTGCCCAGTTTTTACTTTTGTCGCGCAGTCACAAAACCTTTTTGCAATAAAATTTGCGTACAAATAAATGAAGCAAATTTCAGTCAAATCAAAGTTCATATCATTTTGCTTTACACTCGGGAAAAGAATCGCCACGAATCTCGAAAGCGTAATCCACCCTAAGCAGACCCGAAGCCGGGGTACAAGCGCCGCTGAAGGAGCCCGCGTAGACACTAGCGCCAGATTACCCTCTATGTATTATTGTATGAAACTCTATGCCTTCATGCTTTTATACCCACTTGACCCCATATGTCTTTGTTTTAAGCTACAGCCGGGCTTATAGTATCCATCCATACCAAAAATAGTTCTGCAACGCATAGAGCAGCGCGCTTGTTTCGCATGGATGTAACTCGCCGTTCCCCGCTTACGCTCCCCAGCGGCGAAAAATTGTGCCTGTCGAAGACGGTGGACACAACACGCGTCAACTTTCCCTATAATCAGGCAGTGTCGTTCAATAACTATAGCATGTGCGAATAAGCAACCTTAGCCCAAGTTTGGCGTACAATCAGTCATGCCAGTGTTGTACCATGCAGGGAACTTTTCCTTGTCCGGGGAATTTCGGCCTGTAGTTTTGATCCAAAGGGAAAAAGGGATTATTCGTGATATTGCAGGGAATTTCAGTGATGGTGAAACTCTTCCATGCCGACCAATAATTATCAGTCACATTGCACCTTCATCTGCTGTAATCGGTTCTGGCGCATGCACCACGAAAGCATTGTTTCTGATATTCACGCGGAGCGGTTTTTGGCTCACTATTGGTTTTACACTTGAAGCCCACAATGTGCAGTGTACTCCGCGTGAATATCAGAAACAATGCTTTCGTGGTGCATGCGCTAGAACCGATTACAGCAGATGAAGGTGCAATGTGACTGCTAAATATTGGTCGGCATAGAAGAGTTTCATCATCCCTGAAATTTCCTGCAATATCACGAATAATACCATTTTCCCTTTGGTTCAAAACTTCAGGCGGAAATTCACAGTACATTAGTTATTTAGAGAAGCTTTTGTTGTGCGGCAGTGGAAGTGGAGTCGTGATTTCAAAAGTCACCAGTACGTGAGACACGTGTGTCTTAAGCACAGTATGTGTGTGCGTAATTGGCGGTGAAAATTAGTACAGTTGTGCAGGAAAATACGCTGGGAATCATCAGCATTTGCGGGGGAAAATCCCTGAAAAAAAAGGGAATTTTCATGTCTCTGATTATGAATTTTTCGCCGTAGTACGGAACATCACTGAGTCATGCTCCTCTGGCTGTCACACCGCTTTCTTTGGTTCCACTCCCACCGTTAACTACTACAGCTACCACAGGCATCCGTGGCCACAGGGACATGTTTAATCAGTAATCAATCATTATGAACATTAATCGACGCTGCCTCCATCAGCGTTGCGAGGTGAGAGAGGGAGGAGTGTAGTAGAGGATGGGGCGCACATGGACAATGGGGTTGTAAACGCACCAGGAAGGGTGCCTAGATGAGAGAGAGAGGGAGGAGTGAGCTAGCAGACGCTGCTTGCATGAGCGTTGCGAGAGGAGGAGGGCCCGCGCATGCGCGGTAGGGACCCGTCACGCCACACACCGGACTGAGCTCGAGCATAAGACGCTTTGCATCTAATAGTCGCCAATCGTTGGGGTTCACCATCCCATGGTTATGAGGGACGCCGTAGTAGAAGGCTTTGAAAATTCCGACCACCTTCATATATTTTGTGTGCACTTATACCAAAGTACACGAGCCCCAAGCACATATGCCTCGACCGTAATTGCGGCCACCACAGTAGGGATTCGATCCCACGACCTTCGGGTAAGCAATCGAGCACAGTAATTACCAGACCACCGCGGCGGCGGCAAAACTGTAATCGGCTGGGAAGCTTAGTCAAGCTTAGAAATTTTTTTTCTTACCATGCCCCCTGGTTTCTAAAGTGGCAAAGAACGTGATTGATGAATTGATTGATTGATTAGTTGGTTGATTTTGTACCTCACATGTGTTGTCGACGCCACCGAACAGTCATGTTTGGCGTCTCATGAGGTATATAAGTGAGTCGCGTTCAAAAGCTAAGTCTCATGAAATAAATCACGCGTCTCACGGATAAGACGATATCTTTTGAAATCTATGACGTTACACTTACATGAGCGCACATAGACCTGGACACGAATTTTTAGAATTAAACGTCAACCTTCATTTTTTTGTTATTTTTAATTTTGAAGGACCCTATAATCGCTGTATTAGTGACCGTTAATATACCAGTCTGAACTGATTTCTAATTTTCCTTCGTCAAGCCTCTTGAGTCAAAACTACGTTGAAGCTGCCGTGTTCGTGTGCTATGTCATGTCCGGCTGCTGACCCGACTGTTGCAGGATTGAATCCCGCTCGTGGTGGCCGCTTTTTGGATGCAAGCAAAAATGCCTCACGCTCGTGTACTTCCATCTTGGTGCACCTCAAAGAGCCACAGGTGGTCGAAATTTCTGACACCCTCCACTACGTCGTCCCTCATAATCATATCGTAGTTTTAGAACCATAAACCCTTAGAATTATTAAAGCTGCTAAGACAAAATGGGAGCTAAAATTTCAAGAGTAAACTATGACGTTCGTTACAAACCTAAAATTCATCAGACCTATATTTAATTCATATTATTTCACACCCGCCCACCGAAACAAACAAAAGTGAGAACTTTGCTACATCGGGCGGGACGTTGATTCAATAGACTTCGTCACGGCAATGTTTTCCACGAGTGAGGCTTTGTATGGCTACGTGGTAGCGAATGTAAAGTATCTCGATAGATGGAAAACTTTGTCGATTCGGGTGGTGGCGTTCATTCGAGGTTCGACCTGGCGTCAACGAGCGTTCGTCTCACCAGATACATCATGTTCGCGGCGGCAGGTAACCCGCTGGCGGCCTCGGCTCCCGAGGCGAGGCGGTTGCGGAAGGCGTTGTGCTCGTCCAGGATGAGCTGCCGGTCAGCCTCAGAGACGCCTTCGCGCAGAGGGTGGCACGACTTCGGAGGCCGCACGCACTGCGTGTGTCTCCGGCTGTAGCGCCGGTACAGGTCCGGGCAGGCCGCTGCGTCGACCTCTCTGCACCGACGCTCATGGGATGAAATTCGTATACTTAAAGATGTCATGCAGCCTCGAATATTACGCGGGGCTCATAAATATATCACGTCTCGCACAAGTCTTGATGAAAAAACAATACAGCCCTCTTATAGAAACGTTTGCTTCAGTGACATATCGTTGAAACTTGACGATTCGTAGGATTTATGTCCACGCATTTCCCCCTCTTATTTAGCTTTTAAAAAAAAAAACTGTGGTGATTTTTTGAGTTTTTTGTTGTTTCGTTTTGCAGCATATCAATGGTTGTATTTGCGGAAAACAACAGGAACAAAGTGAAAGAAGTTGACAGGACAGACGTTGTCCTGTATTGTGAGCGTCTGTCCTGTCAAGTTCATTTCTTCCTATTCCTGCTTTATTCAGTCATACAATCCACAATATGTTGCCCCCACTAACCCGGCATATCACTATATGGACTTCTTTATGCACTGCTGTGGAATCACAATAGCAAATGTTACAGGAATTCTTATAGAACTGCCGATCTTGCACTGCCTTGCCTATATAATGAAGTCATAGTGACTGCACGCGGCATCGCATATTCAGAAATATCGACGGTATGTAGTTGTAATGATGTACAGTACCATACACTGTTATAGGGAACACTCGAACGATCGCCCCTTCTTATACTTACCTTCTAATAGCAAGTGGATGTGGCAGGATTGTTTATGCATGGCACTGTTCTGTCAAAATGAGTTGAAACTGTCAACCACTACTATTCTTATGCGAATATTCGCATAAGAATAGTAGTGGTTGAATAGTAGTGGTAGCAAAAGCAAAATTCAAAGATGCTCTGCACGCAAGTGTTCACTTTAACAGTGGAGCCGTCTGTACATTATAGCACGGCCGGTCTGGCAGGCCGTGTTTATAGTAATATGAGCCGCAAGCGCTACAACTGCCCCATTTATTCTTACCGCACTTCGCGCATGTAAGTTTCAGGTTCAGTCGCGCTGACTTGAAACACGAGAGCGCGTAGCCTCACGAGTTCAGAGATGGCGCATGGTTTCCACAACCCCATATTTCCATGTTTCTCTCACTTTGGTGTGATACCGTATATGAAAATAATATTTAGCCGTGGAAATAAAATCAAGTTGCAACCACGCGTTGCAAGTCATATCGAGCGCACCTGCGCGCACGGCTCACAAAAGGAAACCTACTCGGCTACGAATACCAGCATTCTACGTGTGAAGATCGGATGAGCCCAGGGTGAACTAACAAAATGAAGGTATTGATACACGATTTAATGACTGTTTTAAGTGCAGTACTTGCAATTGTAGTGCAGTTAACGACTAATCGCCGTCATTGTGACTTTACGGTAATTACGAATAACTTCTTTGTATAGAAAACGCTTCAATAACTTCACGGGAACACCTCTCCTTCAAAGGCGGAACTGTTTATGATGACCGCAGTCTCATCTGTCGTAGACGAAAGAAGATTCATCATCCTAAACCGGCACGCGTTCTCTTCGTCCTCTTCTTCTTCTTCTGCACTCATTGAGTGCATCTTCATCTTCCGCTGCACTCACTGCACTGCTGCACTCACCAAACGAACCGACGCACAGTACCCATTTGTATCATTCTGATACGTGACCCGCAAGTAAAGCTGTTCGCATTTTGTGCACCGTACTGGGGAGCGCGCCTGTGTGAGCCGTACCCGTCGGAACTCGGCAGCAAGAGGGAGACCAGGCCAGCCACATTTGTCGCGTCCGCCGCCAGAGAGAAGGTCGACGCAACGCAGAGCCACACCGCAGCCCACGCAGCCACTGGACACCGCAGCCTAGCGGGAGAGCGTCACCTCGGTGCCTGCGATAAGAAGTGGGTAGTACAGCTGTTGGTGAACCAGAATCGACCTTTTTCGTTTTCCTGCGTTGCGCTGTAGTGCAGCACTGAAAGATGTACGGTACGCTAGACTATCCTGCGTTGCACTGTTGGGCATCACCATGCACGGCACTACAGGGCAGTACATGGTACAGGGAATGATAGTCTGCCATGCGTGTGGACTACCAGCGATGGAAAGGAAAATGATAGGTGTAACCTTAAGAGACAAGAACAGGGCAGAGTGGGTCAGGGAACAAACCGCGGGGTTAAAGACATTCTAGTTGAAATCAGGAAGAAGAAATGGACATGGGCCGGGCACGTCGGCGGGATAACCGCTGGTCATTTAGGGTTACTGACTGGATTCCCAGGAGAAGACAAACGCATGAAGAGGAGACCTAAAGTTAGGTGAGCTGATGAGATTAAAAAGTTCGCAGCTATAACGTGGCAACGGAAAGCACAAGACCAGGTTGATTGGCGGATCATGGAAGAGACCTTTGCCCTGAAGTGGGCGTAGTTAGGCTGCTGCTGATGATGATGATGATGATGATGATGATCACCTTGAAGCGGCTCTTCATTTGTGTTTCTCTTTTATTCGTCAAGTTCTGTTCTACTCGAACTATGACTCGAAACAGTGGTTATTCCATTTCTCCCAAGGTCTGATTCAATATACATAATTCTTCAACTACTTCCGAGGGTTTCCACCGTTCTGTTCTGACGCGCGGAAGAGTTCGCCAGCGTGACCGTGACCGAGTCCCGACGCGCGACGGGACAGAATACGAAGAAGCCACCGATGACGCGCGTGCGTGTGTATTACACAAGCGTCGGAGCACGAAACAACTGCGCCCACGTTCGAATCACGTCGGGACGACGCAGCCGTAGCCGCGGCACGGCAAGCTCACGTAAACGACTCACGGACGTTCGGAAAGTCGGCATTTTCCGAACGGAAACCGAGCGGGGCCGAAAGAAACGGTTTCCGGAGGAAAGCGTGGCGCATACAAGGTCTAGCCGCGATGCCGGCGGAGTGCGTGATAGTGCGTTATCGTGTTGTTGTTGTTCTGCTGTCCTGCCTCTTCTTCGGTTACGTGTGGCCGCTTCCCTTCCCGACTCCCTATTGACTGCCAGAGAAATCGAGAGAAAGAGAAAGAGAAGCATGGCTGCGGGTACCACGGTGGCTGCGGGCAACTGAGGCAGTGCGGCTGCCTCGACGTCCTTGTGTTTGTTTTCTGTTTGCAAACCGTGTCGTGGTCTTCGGACCGGAAACCGGAGCCTCCGGCTGGCCCACCCAAGAGAGATGCAGTCTTGCCTTACATATTCATGAGTTATCGCACGAAGGGCACACTCTGAAAGCTAGTTTTAAAGACATGTGTTTGTTTCTACTAGCGTTCAAAGCGGTATAAACTTCGTGGGCCGTCCGAAAGTTCCTCAAACCTATTGACGAAGCAAACGGGTTAAATGTTCTATTTCCAACTATTACAGTCGGTTGTTTGGAGTGCTTGTAGGAGTTATTGCGATCCATTTGAAAAAAGATAGTATCATACTTTGCCACAGATATTTTACGTCTTTCCAACACATCTGAAAAGCACAAAATTTGTGTGAAAAAAAACATTGAAAAATTGTTTTCAGCAGGAGTGCTTTAAACGAGATACAAAGATTTTATGTCTCCGAAAATCACGGTTGAGTGTTGCTGCCCCCTTGCCCAGTGACCTTCTAACTAAGTTCTAATTATTATTGTGTCACACAAATAAAAGCGCTCGTATAATGAATCAATCATATGTAGTACCACATACAAAACCACAACGTATATGCTGCTGAATGGATCTGATAAGCCAACCCCCAGCGTATATGTTCAATATTATAGGATTCTTATTTACGCCTTTTACAAGAAGAAGCCACCCCAAATATTCACGTACAATGTTTACTTGCAATCACATTTTCTACTAATTTTCTACGGAAACATTTTGGCTACGTTTTTCTGGTTATTTCTTTGTTCCTCAGAGTCTCTATTCTCATATTGCATTGCTATCTACGCTTGCAACGACTCGATCTATATCCATCTATTTCTCGTTTTAATCTCATCCGTGCTTTAAATTTCTCTTGATTTTATTGCTTAACCTCAGCACCTATTTTAGTAGGTGCATGTACTCTACGGATTCTTTTAAGCATAACCTGGCATTCCCTGAGGAGTCATTGCCGGACTTCTTTTGTTGCAATAGGACAAGGCCTCATCGTTATCATGGGTTTTCGCCTCTGTTTTTGTTCTCAACTATTGACGACTCGGGATCTAAAGCATTGCCCTCTGTGTTATCATACCATTTACCGTTTGGTACTTTCCTTATCGAACTTGTAAATTTGCATGCTTTTTTTTTTTTAGTCATCATTCGTATGCAGGGCGCCTTCTGTGTTTTCCTCTCTTTCTTGCCGATGACTCCTATGTGTATATTTATAATTTAAATTAGCCTGTACTTCTCTACGAACTCTTTTTACCACTACCCCTCGCTCTTTTCTTTTTTGCACGAAATGAATTTTGCGCCACAATGAACCCGCTATTGTCCTTCTGGGCCAAGTGTTGGTATACGTCAAGCCAAATCGGGCGCCCCCACGGCTCTTCAGTCCCGGGCGAACTTCCTCAATTTTTTTTTTTCCTTTTTTAGCCCCCTCGTACAATTTCTTCTGAATTATCTATTATTCATTCTTCAGCGGCTGCATGTCATCGTCATCTACGTCCTTGTGCTCCATAACAACCCATTATTTTTTTTGCCTACATAGTCCTAGGCTCTCATAACCAGTTGACATACCTATGTAAGTTTGTTCTGAGCTATAGAAATCTGTATGCGCCAAGTTAGCGCGAATATATCACACTCTGAAGGTCTTAATCTGAGACGTTCGACCACAGCACATTTAATTTTTTTCCAACCATTTGATAGCACCAATTTTATCCCTTACATTGCTATTCTGCACCAAACAGGTTTTACCGTAATGATAGCCTGCACGAGTTTGTTGTATTCCCACTTTCACTTAGAACAACATTCACCTTGCTTTCGCGCAAATGGCTCGGAATGATGTTCGTTAGCAGTGTCTCACCTTTCGAACCTACCTATTCTATTTGGTGCAATCGGATTTTCAGTAAACTATTACTGTGTTAAATTTTAAACTATCTTAACACTCTGTGCCACTGGAGCTAGTTTGCTACGAACTATTCACATTTTTGGCTTGAAATTATTTCCAACAATATCACTCGCCTAAAGAATTAAAGAATCATGTCGTTTCCTTCGAAGGTGCTCCCGGAATGCAGGGTATAGCGCACGCCCTCTTACGTGCGCTACTACATTCAACTGCACAATCTGACTCGTGGTCACCGAGATCAGCTCCGGCAACACTGCACGTTTCGGATCTATTTTTAGAGGCCGAGTCTGGCTCGAAGACGAAGCAATGCACGCTCGGCTGTTACGCTGGTACGATTGTCGCATGACCACGTCAAAACCACCCGAGTTTCATCTACTATAGGCTAACATATAATAATGCCGTTTGTTATGCGTAATACGACATGCACGTACAGTAAGCAGGAAAGCATGTCAGGAATAATAGGTTAACGGAACCGCAAGACCACTAACATTGAAAGGCAGCGCAATTGGAACAGAAACGACGTGTCTTAGATGAAGCGAAAATTACGAGAAAAAAGTTGCGGAAACTACATACATTATAAAACGTAACTAAACGGATGCTAGATAAAAACGAGAAGCTTTTTCGTTTTATCACACAAATAATACGCATGCTGAACTATTCCGCTCTATATATTTTTGCTACATGGATAAAATAAATAAGCAAATCTTCCCTAATAGGAAAAAGGAGGACAAGCAAACCTTGGGGGACTTTGTGCCTGATGTACTGCTTTTCTTCATTAGATGCGAAGCATCTTACGCTCGAGTTCAATCCTGTATGCGGCGTGACCACCCTTACTGCACATGCGCGTCTCCTCCTCCCCCTCTCTCTCCTCTCCTCTCCTCTCCTCTCCTACGCTCCCCCTCTTTCGTCCATCGCAACGCCGACGAAGGCAGCGTCTTGTAGCGAGTTTCTTTACTGAAAAAAAAGGGGGGCCACAGTTTTGGCACATGGCTGAAACAATGAATGTGATAGATACACGTCGGTTTGTTGTACGAAGCAAGGCTAGGAGATATAAGAACTATATGAACTGTTGTGAACATGGTCGATTCCGCTTGAACTGATAGTAATGCAGTAACCACAGTATCTAAACAGGTGTTGTTGTGAGTAGTTGACTGCGTGACGTCCGACAAGAAATCCAAGTTCGGAATCGAGAAACGCGATAAGCCGACAAGCCACTAATTTTCACATCGAAGTACATCACGTTGAAGTCGCCAGTGACTGTCACCGGTACATCCTGTAGGCAAACCGCATGGAAGTTGTGCTGCAAAAAGTTAAAGACGTAAGTCCGCAAGGTTCCTGGTGAGATGTACACTGTTGCGACGACGAAGCCGTGTGATGTCTTAGCGGTGCAAGCGCCACCATAACTCATCTGGTGCATCGAGTTGAGTTTGCCCGTCTAAAGTGATAGTGGCGGTGCGCATTTCGATGGGAACCGAATTCACAGGCAACACTGTAGTACCAGCAACTTTCTGCAGTTCCAGCACTGCACTACTGCAGTACCAGCAACTTCCTGAATAGTCCTGGATCTTA